GCACTTGAGCCTACAGAAGACGACGACGATGCGCGCTGGTGGCCGCGATTCTGGTTCTGCTGTGGTGCCTGGAGTGATTGGCCCTGCACGTTACCATAGTTCCAGGACTCAAGTCCCGTGCTGGTGTTGTTGGCCGAGAGCATAGGCGGTTGTGCGAAGCCCTGGGGAAGCTGCGGTGTGGGTGTCGACTGCTGGATTCGGATGGCCGGGTTCGCGAAGTTGGTGTATGCGCTCGTCATGTACGAGTTGGGTGCACTGCTGGATGAAGTGCCGTAAGACTGCTGCTGGGACTCGAGGTAGTCGTTGAGGAGCTTCTGGTCGTAGAGGTGCTGTGCGGCAAACTGCTGGGGCAGGTGTTGATAGGAAGAGTGTGAAGACGGTGGTGACGGTATGGTTGAAAGGTGGTGACGTTGTGTGGGTAGCGCTAACATAATGGTCGGGAGGAAAAGTAAGGGACCAGCGCGGGTGGCAAGTTGCTTTATACTAGTGGGCTACCGGCCGATGACTCGGTTAGTCTTCGCCGATTTGAGTGAAAGACCACTTGATGAGGTGATCTGGGGCAGCACGCTGTCGAAGACTGTCGAAGATTGTGCTGTCTGCGTCGGCTGTGCTCGGAGTATCGGGATTAAGGTGTATGTGTGCGTCGTAAGAGATTGCAAATTGCTGAGCGACAGTTTAAACGGCTTGGGCTGCTGAGTACGCGGAATCGGTTTCCTTTCATACCTCATCCTATGACGCAACCCATGCTGGGGCTTGCAGGGGTGTCTACGCTAACGATACGCCGACGCGCAAAAGCGGCGCGATCGACACCACCCTCACGCACCCTGCATACGGCCGCCGCGGGCCCTGTCCGACCGAAGGCTGTGCAGCTCCCGGCAGACGACTGTCTACCATACAGAGTTTTCCACATGCATTCGGATAGCAGCCGAGAGGGCTTCCCCCAACGTCCATGACTTGCTCCCAAAATACTGTGCAATCGCTTGTGCGCATCTACGCGATCTCTGCAGGCATGCTCTCCACGTGTAACGGAGCCCTGCGAACCGAACCGTTACTCATCGCTATGCCAGCCGCTCTAGTGTGCAGTCGGCATGTAGGTTGTAGGGCATCGTGCGACGGACCAATTCCAAAGGTCTGTCCATGGTGACACGGCCGTATCTGGTCTAACAGCTGGCCGTTTAGTCTCGCTGGGACTACGATGCTCCAAGACGGGCTGAGCAGCATCGCTCCATGCACAACCTACTCGACAGCGCATGCGGATTACGAATGCCAGAGATGGAGTACGCGACGGGCACCAGCCACACCTCGGCCAGCGTGTACAATGGTCACATGTCCTCACGCGTGACTCACAGCTGCTCTTTGACATTTCAGTTATTGGGCCCAAGACCGCGATATGATACTGCTTTCAGCTCGTGTGTATTGAGCGCGAGGCCACGCGGTATCGTTTGGAGATAACCGCCAATAGCCTACCCCATATTCTGTACTATTGATAGCTGGATCTGGTGGCTAAACGGCTCCCGAGGACCACTCTGCTGGCTAGTACAATGCACATCTCTTGAAGAGATGCTGAAACTGGAGATCGATCCACGAACCAATAAACTGGGATGTGCACATACCAGCTGCGATACTACTAGGTCAGCTCAGGATACCATCTATCCTGCAGGTGGAACCTCCACTTCCGCTTCGGCATTGGCAGCATCCTCTACTCAACAACGGCACTGCCGTGCGACATCCCTACAGGTCGAGCACAGCCAAGGTTACACAAGGAAAAACTCTTCACTGAGACTCTCCCTGCTGGAAAACGGCATATGCAACGTGCTGCAAGCATCCTGTGGAGTCGCATAGCAGCCCTAAAACCAACGTGGCATCGCATCGGAGCCCTCGAACGGGTAAGATCGGTGGAGAAGGACTCAAATGCAGGGTCCATCGCATCACCATGTGGCAGTGCAGCCCTATCGTATGCACGGACAATGTAACTGTTCCGGCGGCCGCGAGGCGATCTGGACCGTTCATTCGCGCGTGGAAGTTACTAGCCACATTTCTAAGCCGGTGCCCTGCGACCAGAGGCTTCTGTAGCCTTCGATTCCACAACCCGAGTACTTCTTTCACATCTTGCATTCTCATGCCATGGGGAATACTGTGTCCTTCCAGTCGCTTTCGTATTGCGTCCATCTCCGTCGGACCGAACGAATGCTATTTGGTCGCTTACAAGGGTTCATGACATCATCTCTCTGAAGTCTCCTCACCATCCATCCCAAACGACTGCCGTGCAGAACTCCTTGCTTTGCGCTTCTATTTTTGCGAAGCAATATGTCCCCAATGAATATCCTTTCCCTGACGTCTTAGTCGACAACCTGCTGGTCATTGAAACTGCCCATCATTTCTCGAAGCTCGCCCGATGTGGTCATCGATCGCCAACGGCTGAGCGGGCACCATTCCTAGCCTTTGTGCCCGCCAATCCGCGAGCGCGGGATGATGAGACCCTGCGTCTGCTTGTTTTCGACAAAGTTTCTGCCGGTCCACCTGCTATGATAGGAAGCATGACTGCCGATCATGACGCCTGAGGCCTGATAGTCGCGTGTTTGTGACTTGTCCACTCACAACGCAGCTGTGACATATTCGATGCACCGGTCGCTATACATTTTCAAGTATGTATGGATAGCATAGTAATGCTGGCTCAAGGATTTCTATTCCTATTCTCTTATCAATACCCCATCTGCCGGGATAAGAATTTTACAAGTCCTGCTCGCATATGCAGGGCAAGCCACCCGATGTTCTTCCACCCAACGGTTCTTTTGGGGTTCGTGAGGCTTGCAAATGTAACATGGCGTCGACCGTTTCCGGTTTTGTGCCTCATGGCATTCGGGACCTGGACTGCAACGTCATCTGTCATGCGCTCAGTCACAACCCCTCTCCTGACTGATGCATCACCAAGATAATTGCTTCTTTGTTACTGGAGATGCGACCTGATCTAGCGGATCCTGCGACACCAATACTGCGATGCGGAGTTCATCCGGTCGTTCGGTCGGTCGACTTCGGAGAACTGCCGAGTCAAATCTCACCACACCCTCTGCGCTGACTGCATTCTCCGCAATCTGTTGGTCCTCAACACCTCAAAAGCATTCCTGCTTCCTCTTTCGTTAACCGGTGGCATCACCTCGGCCGTACCATAAAGCGACTTTACGCCGAGACACACTTTAAGCGCGAAGACGCGCGGAGTTGCGTTATCTCCGGCTCCTACCTAGCCCGTTGCAAATTATTCATGCGTTACTCAGCGCTGACAGAGCATGAATCTTTGTCGCAGTCGGTTCAGTATTTGTCGTTGCCCCGAGGTAAACCCATACGTGCTGCATACGAGAATCCTATACACCATCGGCGCAAAATAGCCGGGTGCATGCAGCTAGTCCACGTTACGAGCCTCTTGCGAGGCTGATGATGGTAAGCAAGCTAGCTTACGATGGATCAGGCAACGGTACGCTCAACGCGGGTCTCAATACGGGTGCCCGTGCGCTAAGCCCTCTGTCTGTGGGTTGCGCTTTCTCAGATCTTGTTCTCTCGCTAATCTGCGATCAGTAGTGTGTCTCCACCTGGCGACACTGTCAGCGCTGCTCGTTTGGGGCCGCGTAGGCTTTGGCCACCTGCATGTCAGCCTCGCAAGCCTTGATCCTTGATGTAGGTGTAAGCTTTTGGACTATATGTAAGGTTACCTAGGTATGCTGGATGACTGTCGGCGAAAATGTACCGTAGAACCGTCTTCCACGTGTACATGGGCATTAGCGTCGACGTTGTTGATGCCTTAGCAGCGATCTTGGTCTTCGCAAGCATGTGGAGAGTTTATCATTCGTTTAGTGTGGCTGTCTTTAATGACCCCGCAGTCTATGCTCCTTCCCCCTCTTCACACTGATCGCTATCTCTCTGGTTTTGATTCGGATCTTCCAGGGCCACATGAAGATCCTGCTGTGAAAGTAAAAGTCGGATCTGCCTATTGTAATCCTGCTCATTTCTCGGTAGACATCAGCACTCATTGTAACGACTGGCTCACATAAAATCGTGCTCTCAAAGCTACCTAAATCTGGAGAGCATAGATGATACCGAACCTGAGTTCTCAAATAAATCTAACGATAACACACCTGATGCGCAATTCGCCGTTCCCCACCCCGAGATACGAATCGATTCGGTCTTCCGTCTAACAGAGTTGATCTGCTCAATGACTGTCGGTACTGAGCAAGAAGCTTTGTGTGCTTACCAGGTATAGTTACCAATAGCCTTTCCTATGAGTTTAACATCTTGCGGATTTGCTTCGTTTCCAGCAGCATCATTCTTTGGTGCATCTCGCAGTCCGTGGTCCTCCTCTCGGGGGACGGATTTCCAAACTCATATACTACGTGGTCAGCCACCGTTCTACCAGCCACATCTACGAGTCTGCCGGATTTCAAACTGCAATGCCAGTAGGCAACGGTTGATTTCACGCAGAATTCTAGCGTTCTACTCTCATGGACTGTTGTTCTAAGCGGCTCTCTACGAGTGTGACCCGTGCCGCAAGGCTCCAGTTCCTGGTGCATATCTTCGCTATCCTGCCACAAGGGAATGCGCCCGTTCCATGGAATGACGGCTAAGTACTGCAAAATCGAAAGCTACCCAAGGAGTGCCGATTTGCATTCAAGTTCTCGGGATGTGCATTGCTGGCATGCTGGGTGCGAGGTAAGTTCGTGCTCCCGCTCCAGCGAACGCGCAGGATGGCGCCCGGATGGCCAGCGAGTTTGGTATTCTTCACAGGATTCTGATTGACTGTACGTATACTACATCTGTTGAATGTGGAAAAGTCGAGAGTGCGGAAGCGGACGCTCCTACTCTTGCTGTTGTCCATCATCAGTTCCGCAAGGGCGCGCTAGCAGGAGTGCCTTGCCATATTTGGCATAGAGCAAACATTGAACATCGAGCCTTGCGCACCTCGTTCCCTTCCAATTCCTACCACAACCCCGCTGTTGCGTATCAATCGCATTCACTCACTACACTCGAAGGTGCGGTAGTGGTCTTACATCAAAGCGACGCTTCCTCACATGCTCTACGCTTAGCGATCTTCGTCCTGGCCCCCTGAATCGCCGCGGGTCTGACTCGTTCAAAAGCGAAGTAAGATGGCCATTGCTTCTGAACATCCCGGCCTGGAGGTCACGATATGCGTTGATGGCCAGCCCTTGCCTGAGTACGAGGACGATGACGAAGATCCGGCACCGAAAACAACTACAAAGTACATTGAAGCGCGCTCAGACAGGCACTTCTCGATAGTGACTAGATTCAAGCCACCATTCCCAACTGAGTATCATGTCAGGACGTGGCTATCTATTGACGGAATCGGTATGGACAGAAGGCTCTGGCTGCGAGAGGGCCTCTTCGAGAGACCGTTCGAGAAGGCTGGTATTCGTAGGCAAGAAGGTGAAGAGTGGGTCAAGCAAAAGTTCTCTTTTGCCAAGCTGAACATTGGTAAGTACTCTGAATACCGTCTGCTTTCGTATGCTGATTGCTTTCCGCAGTTGAAGAGGCTCGTGAATCTATTCCTAATGTCGCTGCTATGAAGCAAAGTCTCAGTACTACTGGGTGTATCACCATGTCCTTTCAACTCGTCAAGGGCTTCCAAGAAGTGCAATTGGAATCTCCAAAGCACTACACGCCCGCCCATCTTGCGACCCTGAAGGAAATCCCTGAGAAGGCACTCAAAGGTGACGCCCTATCGCACCAAATAGTGTATGTCAGAAGTGGGCGAGCCTGTTACTAAAAGAGGAACTAATCATTCGCAGCTTGTCAAAGTCTCAAAAATGCCGCCCGGGACGCCCTACAACCAGCTACAGGAAATACGACTTCGTAGGCAAGGAACCATTCGCAACCTTCCACTTCAAATATCGGTCACTTGGTGAGTTATGTAGTCGGTCATACAATGACTGAATTTAACACCTTGTTAGCAAGCTTACGGGCACTTCGGCTTGCGCCATTCAACGAACCCACGCCTGTCCCTCTAGAAAAGAGATCCGGAGAGGACCTTACCCCTGCCGAGCTGAGAGAGCTGCTACAGCGAGTACGGCGAGTATGTATGCACAGTGGCTTGCTGATGTTGATACTGACGAATGTATGTAGCGAGGATCCGAGAGCGCCTCCATCAAGCAAGAGGCTGGGGCTACTATCAGAGTCAAGCGCGAGAGGACTATTAATGACGACGATGAAGTGACCTATGTCGAGACGCGACAGCGCAAACGCCCGCACGTGGAACAAGACGTTATTGTGATAGACTGAAAGGAAATATCGATTCCGTCTTCACGGCGCTGAGCCCAAGGTGGTGTCGAAATGTTGAAAGACGGTCTACTTCGAAGTGGGAGCGACCTTCAAACCTTGGGCCAACTCAACTTTTACGCATGGAAATATAGTGACAAAGTATTGATGCATGGCACCGCCTCTAGAGGCGTGTATGAAGGATGAGGCTAATCCGCCATGGGAGAACACATCTTTCTACATATCTAAGAATGTTTAGAGATAGCTACTCGGGAAGCTTAGTAACCGCTAATGTACTTACAACATGCTAGCGCCTGTTAGTGAGCTCGTTGCCTCCTCTGCTACCATGTGCTAGCTTCATTCACGCCTAGCTTGCGTCTCTCACCTCGCTCCATCAGTAATCGGTAGTTAAGGACTTCAAGCAGTCTACTTTCAAGAGCTCTCATCCTTCTTCCTTCTCACCAGTAACACGACTTACTTCCAGATATCTTGTTGCATCATGGCTGTTCTTCCTTTCTGCCCTGGCCTTACAGTGAAGATCTTCGTCAACGGCGCTCCCTTGCCTGAGTACGACGACGACAGCGACACTCCCGCGTCGCCTACAACGATCACCAAATATGTCGAAGCGACGTCTGGGGCTAGGTTCGTGATTAAGGTCTCGCTCACAGAAGGATTTCCGTTCTCAGAGGGTGATATGGAAGCTAAGATTAGCCTTGATGGGCGCATTACGGCACATCATTTTATCTCCAAAGACATTTTTTTGGTCATTACATCTGCGAAGGGCGTGGTGTCCAAATCGGCGGATACCCCAAAATACAGAAGTATTGCTTCTCCAAATCAAAGATCGGTAAGCACCACATATCGCCCATGATGTATCTTTGTAATGCTTGATATTAAAGCCGAGCTGACAACTAGGAAGTTGAAGGTAGTACGCCTCTTTGTGACCTGACCTTGATTGGTATCATCGCTATTGGCTTGACATACATACAAAATCTGCACTCTACCAAACCAAATGATGTTATCGAGAGTATTTCAGCATCGACACAAGTTCCAGAAAATACGCTAAAAGGCCAAATTCGCACTCATCGAGCTGGGTACGGCGGTTCTGTATTTTTGGAAGACAACGCTGATAGCTATAGTGTATCTGAACCCGTAGCTCACACGAAGACTACTTGGGTCGACTACGATGACATTACTGAATCTCCTTTCGCTACTTTCGACTTCAAGTACCGCTCCATCAGTACGTCACTGCATTGCCCAAAACGTTACAGCTCCAGCTCATTCGCGTAGATGCTCTCCGGGCTCTGGGTCTCATCCCACGTGAACCCACCCCGTTACGTCTCGAAGAGCGACCTGAAGAGGAGCTCAGTCAAGATGAGCTGCGCCAACTCGTCAAGCAGTTCAAGGTATGTTGATGGCACGGGTTCACAACACCACATAATCACTACTACAGGAGCAAAAAGTTGCTGCAGTCCAGGTCAAGAAAGAAGCCGTCGATAAGCGCAAGCGGATTGACGAGGCTATTGAATCCAGCGATGACGAGGAGGTCGCGGTCATAAGGTCTAGAGACCGGAAGCGTCACCGTGGTGCGGATGAGGAGGTTATCGCGCTGGACTAGAAGTTTGTGTTGATCGTGCAAAAGTTATTGCTTTATGGCTTTCCACGGTGGGAGCTGACGCGATAGGGATATGACGAGGCCCCACAAAGGATACATGTGCTCATACTCTCACCCTCAACACTGATTGAGTGCTATGTCTTCTTCAACAGCGACTTACTGCAGTAAATGGTAAGACTATCACATTCATTTTCCGTCATCACTTGTCCCTAAATCCAACGTAATGTACCTGTAGTCTCAATTCAAGCGTAATATCTCTCATCCTCTCGGGTACAAGCACTCACATCAGACCCAACCGTGATGCCATACCGCCTTTACCTGGTTGTCGCCACACGCTAGCGTACATTTGGCTTGATATATATCCATCATCCTTCTCTCCTACCATCTACTTTCCACTTTTCTCGCCGTCGCCCGAATCAGTTTACGACATCAGCATGGCAATCCATGCGGACTACCCTGGCCTGACAGTCGAGATCTTCGTGGACGGTAAGCCACTTGAAGAATACGAACCTGAAGAAAAGGAGGAAAATGAGCCTAAAACCACAACGCGATACATCGAGTGCCGGTCGGGTGCGCAATTTGCGATAAAGACGAACTTCAGGTCACCTTTTGCGCCAATGAACATATCAATTTGCGTTCGTCTGGACGGAGCAAGAGCCGGTAGTGTGTTTGCACAAAAGCATGCAATGCTACAAGAGTTATACACCCAATCAAGTACAAAGTGGAAAGAGGGTGGAAAGTGGCGAGCATCGAAGTTTCTCTTTTCAGACCTTAGCATAGGTATGCAAGTCCCAGGTCAATCCGTCAAGTATGAATGTATAGCTTAGGTGCTGACACATCCCATTAGTGGAGGATAATAGCGCGATATCGTCCGAAGAAAACCCAGAGACTCTGGGTTCTATAGGCATGATCACTGTAATGCTGATACCAGTTCTGCGCTGGAAGAAGAGAGCTATACCGCGTGCAAGGGAGCAGCACCTGCGGGAGATAGGAGCAATCTCTGAGGAAGCCATCAAAGGCGATTCACGCTCTCATATGATACGGTATGCCCCTATTATATACTTCAATCATATGCATGCTGACACCTAGCAATCAGACTTGCACCAAAAAAGACAGTAGCACCTCCTCGCGAGTGGAAAACTTGGAAGGCTGAGCAGCCTCTGGTGACATTTCAGTTCAAGTATCGCTCGACAAGTAAGTCATGAGCAGAAACACGCCATCAGATGGCTTACATAACGATAGCTGCACTCAAATCTCTCGGCATGATACCACGTTCACCAAGTCCGCCTCCGATCCCTGAACCCGAGTTGATCAAGAAGGAAGAATCACCCGAGCCAACACAGAACATCGCCCCAAACGTCGTATCACCTGCTGCCACACTACGACCCAAAACTGCCAGTGTCACCCCAACTCTGCGACAGCCAAAATCCGGTTCGCCCAGTCTTAACGAACACGACGGTCTCACAGATGAAGATATCATCGCGCTCATCAAACACTACCGGGGAAACGACAAGGGATTGGCGGGCCAAAATAGGAAGCATCTACTGGTACTGCTTAAGCATTATGTGGTAAGTCTGCACGATACTTGAGTCTAAACGGCGCTGACCATCTACAGGATAAGGATAATGAGAGTGTACGCATCAAGCAAGAGGCGACCCCCAGTGAATCACGAGTACATATCAAGTGTGAGCATGACGATGATGGTGCTGCGCGTGGACAGGGAAAGAGGCGCAAGCCTGAAGTCATAGTTCTGGACGACTGAACAACATGGGCGGTGGTTAGATGAGAGGGCTGAGAGTGTGATTCTCTGTGGTCCATGCAGCAAAAATTGCTTTGCTTTGCGAATTGAGTCTGGGAAGAGACATGATATGGGTGAAAAGTACTTAGGAAAGAATCGGTTCAACGTCTTCTTCAGAGGAGTACTAGATGGAATGGTTCAGGACATGAACTGCCAACGACCATCAGCGAAATGAAATCAAATTTGCGTAGAGCCATTGCCCAAATTCTTTCAACCTCGATCTACCAACGCGCAGCCGTCGCAGTAGGCGTAGCATACGTGTCGCTCCAACTCGCAGTGTATTTTGAACTTCCCACGACCGTTTGGCTCTTCACATCCGCAAAAGTCGCGCTCGTGACAACACTATCCATGCCGATCCATGTACTCCACGCAGTAGCAGTTGTAACACCATCGACAGGTCCGACGGGTACCGCGGTAGTCTCAGCCCAAGCACCAGACCACACGGTAGGACCTGGGATAACGTAGTCGGTAACGCAGGGAGTGGTGGAAGTCTTCGGCTTCCTAGTCTCGGTGGAGCAGTATACCTGCATCGTGTCAGCGAGCGAACGACGCGCCAGAACTTGACTATAGAACACTTACGTTGTGCACAACACCAGGATCCTCGTAAGAGTACGCTCCAGGGAAGCTGACGCCCTCGGGCAACTCAACCTCGCCATCGCCTTCAACCTCGATCTGGACACAGTCGGGGTAAAACTGTGCGCCTCTCTTTGGGTTCGCGAGATAGCTCACATCGCCCTCATGCAGACCAACCATCTCCGCACGAATGATATAGTGTCCTGCCTTCAGCCCCTCCGGCACCCTAACATTCATATGCCCAAAGTTCATCGCAATATCACCGGTAGTACTCCACTTGCCCGCCTGCGGAAACGGATTACTTTCGAACTTCCCCTCGTGCCAAATCTTAACGAAGGAGTTCTCCGTCGGTGGATCAGGTGAGATGTAGATGAGTGAAGGGCCGTGGTGCGAGTTCGCGATAACCTCGTCTTTGTTGTTGCGGTTCTCGTGGTGCCAGTCGAAGGTTAGGTTGTCGCCAGGCTGTACTTTGATGGTGTCGTGGGCTTGAATATCGCCCATGACGTTGCAGCGCATGTCGATGGAGTCGAGGTCCTTGACGGGCGAGTTGTTGTAGCCGCCTTTGCCATTTTGGCCGTTGTAGGCGGGGATGCGGACGCCTTTGAAGGTTCCTTGGTCTATGCCGTTGACGAAGACGCCCTGGATGGATTAGTATGAGATCCGGGTGAGCTGAAATTGTAACGGTCATACCCAAATGAAGGTATGAGCACAGGCTTGACCTGCAAGAAGCGAGAAGAGAAGGGCAGAAGTGAAAATCATGGTCGTGGACTGTGGACTTGACTAGATTTGGAGAATATCTAGACAGAACGCAACAAGAGATGCTACAAACATCACAAATACATATACACCCAAGTTCTGATGCATCGTACAGTACGCTGGCAGGTGATGAGGCTAGTGTATTGCGATGCATTTACCCGATCGGACTCAGATTGTTAATATACGATGAGTTCGCATACGTCCAAACACAGCTGCAGATCTGGAGGCTCCAACGGGAACACCGGACGTGTATCCGGCAATGTGTAATTGGATCCGTAGACTGCGTTGGATGATCGTGGTGGGCGGGGGTGTGGTAGTATATGTTACATGATGTCCAAACACTCGATATGTATCGGCTGCTTCTAGAAGTAATGAGATGCCCCACGCTCGCCTTGCGACGAGTCACTTGAACAGGACTGTAAGATATGAGTCTCTTGCCACCGTCCGAAGATATGGCTTTGCTGTAAAAACACCCTGTCGAGAGTGGAGGTGCTTAGATATCAGTAAGGCGACTGGCTGCTGGGAGGCGTAGGCTTTCTGGAGAGGAAGATGGGCCTTAACGTCGAACACGACATGTGTGATTGCATCAAGGCTACGGTGATCGAATGGGTAGACAATTGCTTGAGCAGGACTCTGAACCAGGGTCGACAGTAGGTACGGCACACAGAACACATTGCTTGACGGTGCGGATCAAAAGATGCCTGCCTGGAAGGCTGCCTTCCCATGCAGACGGAAGGTCCATGGGATTCTGCTAACAAGCACTGCACGGTGATGGAATGTGACCTCTGCTGATTCCCAACCTATCAGTATACTCAGAATGAGTTTTCCAGATCGGGCGCCCAGCCATGGGTCTAAGTCTCTTCTGCGCGCAGCGCGAAAACAGGCTCATTCATTAGAGAAATGGGAGCCTGCCGATACGCATTGTATTTTGTTGCTGGCGGTGATGAAGAGGAAAAAGAACGACGGCGAGGAAAATCGCGGTTTTGAGGCTGGGGCGGAGCGGAGCTTCGGTGATGCTAGACCGGATTCGGAGCGCTAGGGCAAGAACATCTGGCCGCATCGCCAACTGTGGTATCCACGCAAGTTCAAGTGCGTGAGCTTCTTAAGACGTTGCATTATCGTGTGCAGTTGTTGCCTTGAGGGAGGAACAGTTGACACGTCTCGGTACATTCTGCTGCATGCAACTATAGCTCCCCGTCTCGCGCCTGCTACATTTCACACCGCCCCGCCAAATCTCCCATCGTGGGCGCCCTCGGTCCCTCCACCACCAACCTTCGACAACCCTCACCCACCCCATACCTCCCCGATCAGCGCAGATAGCTGCAATCGCCCAGCATGGCCGACTTTGAGGCGCTCAAGGACCAGTGGAGCGACATTGAAGACAGGGATGGCGTCCGTCTCAGCTGGAACACGTTTCCCAGCACGCGCATGGTACGATAGGCAACGTCGGCGCGAGGGACCCAAGACACTGATGCGGTTTACAGGAAGCTTCGCGACTAGTCGTTCCCATTGGTGCACACTACACTCCTCTCAAGGAGAAGACGGACACTCCTCTGCTTCAGTATGAGCCTGTCAGCTGCAGAGCGCCATGCAAAGCTATCCTCAACCCCTACTGGTATGCCTGGCATAGTTTCTGGCAACTTATCTCAAGCTGACATTGAGACAGTCAAATTGACATGCGCGCCAACCAATGGATATGCCCCTTCTGCTTGAACCGCAATCACCTCCCCCCGCACTACAAGGACATCTCCAACCAACAGATGCCCCCCGAGATGCATCCGAACAGCACCACCATCGAATACCGCCTTCCCCGACCCATACCGAGCCCGCCCATCTTCATTTTCGTGGTAGACACATGTCAAGAGGAAGACAGCTTGAAGGCGCTGAAGGACTCGATCATCATGGCTTTGAGCCTGCTCCCAGCATACGCGCTGGTTGGTTTGGTCACGTACGGTACAATGGTAGGTATAAGAAGCTTTATCGAAAGCTATAAGCTGACAGCTGTAGACACAAGTACACGAGCTGGGCTACACCGAATGCGCCAAGTCGTACGTCTTCCGCGGAAGCAAGGACTATTCCACCAAGCAAGTGCACGAGATGCTCGGCCTTAGCCAGATGGCTCCTCGACCCGGTGTCCCACAGCAGCCTGGTCGACCACCTATGGGTCCTCCAGGTGGCGTTGGCACGCGCTTCATTCTACCCGTATCGCAGTGCGAATTGCAATTGACCAACGCTCTCGAGTCAATCCAACGGGACCCCTGGCCTGTCGCGAACGATAAGCGTCCCTTAAGGTGCACCGGCGTGGCGCTCAGCGTCGCTGCTGGTCTCCTGGAGACGAGCTTCATGAACAGTGCCGCCCGCATCATGTTGTTCAGCGGTGGTCCAGCCACCGAGGGTCCTGGTATGGTTGTTGGCCCGGAGCTGCGCGAGCCCATCCGATCGCATCACGACATCGACCGCGACAACATCAAGTACTACAAGAAGGCACTGAAGTTCTACGAGGGCCTTGCGAAACGCATTTCCCACAACGGTCACATTGTTGACATCTTTGCCGGATGTCTGGACCAGGTCGGTCTTCTTGAGATGAGGGGTCTTGCAAACAATACTGGTGGACATATGATCCTGACGGACAGCTTCACATCGTCCATGTACAAGCAATCCTTCGTGCGCGTTTTCAACAAGGATGCGGATGACAACCTCCTCATGGGATTCAATGCTGAGTTTGAGGTGCTGACAACCAGAGAGTTGAAGATCACTGGTCTTATTGGACACGCTGTGTCGCAGAACAAGAAGTCAGTCTCTGTTGGCGAGACTGAATGTGGTATCGGAAATACTTGCGCCTGGAAGATGTGTGGCATCGACCCTGAAGCCTCATACGCTATCTATTTCGAGATTGCCAATCAAGGCGGGTCCAATGTGGCCTCTAACCAACAGCAACAGGCTCTTATTCAGTTCCTCACATACTACCAGCACTCCGCTGGCCAGTATCACTTAAGAGGTATGAACTCCCTGAAACGTGTCTAGACCAAGCACACATACTAAGCATTCATAGTTACCACCGTGGCCCGACCCATGAGCGGTCCATCTGGCGACCCTGCTATTGCACAGTCCTTCGACCAAGAAGCTGCTGCTGTCCTCATGTCGAGGATAGCAGTCTTCAAGGCTGAGGTCGACGATGGCCCTGACGTTCTTCGATGGGTTGATCGCATGCTTATCCGACTATGCGCTCGCTTCGCTGAGTACAGGAAAGATGACCCGTCTTCATTCAGGTAAGGATTCATCACTCTGGGGCATTGAGTCTTCGCTTCAGTATCAGATACTAACTATTCTACCAGGCTCGAGAAGAACTTTACACTATACCCGCAATTCATGTTCCATCTTCGTCGGTCGCAGTTCCTGCAAGTCTTCAACAACTCGCCCGACGAAACTGCCTTCTACCGTCACGTCTTGAACCACGAGGATGTTAGCAACTCTCTCATCATGATTCAGCCAACACTCGACAGCTACGGCTTCGACCACGAAGGCGGTCAGCCTGTTCTGCTCGACTCTAGCTCCATCCAAAACGAGACGGTGTTATTGCTCGACACATTCTTCCACATTCTCATCTTCCACGGCGAAACAATGGCCGAATGGCGGAAGGCTGGATACCAAGAGCAAGAAGGTTATGAGAACTTCAGGGAGCTTCTGGAGGCACCGAAGGAAGATGCCAAGGAACTCATCCAGGATCGTTTCCCATTGCCTCGATTCATCGTCTGTGATGCCGGCGGTTCGCAAGCTCGTTTCCTGCTCAGCAAGCTCAACCCCTCGACCACACATCAGACCAGCAGCTATGGCGGTGCTGCGACAGCTCAGACCATCTTCACTGACGACGTCAGTCTGCAGACTTTCATGGACCATCTCATGAAGCTCGCAGTATCGGGCACAGGCTAGATTCGCTGTATCTTGTAAGCGTAGTTGTCATCGATAATGCAGCGGCGAGGCAAAATAAGGATTGTATGTGTGGTCTTTGTGTTACATCATTAGCGAGAAATGAAATCCTTGAATGTCTATATACCCTCAACTGCGACTTATTGTGATCTCATAATATTCGTACTCGTGGTAGATAAGCTTTCGATGTTTGTGGTAGCCATATATGCCATCTCCGCGTCAATCTCTTCGTGTAGCGCTTATATACCCTTTTATAATCTAACCAAGTTTCCATTCTTCCCGAACCTCTCATCTACTCGTCTACATCTTACTAACATCCCAATCCTTAGCCTCGCTCCCCTTGACATGTTCCTCCATTAACATCTCCCCCGTACCCGGAATCTGAAACGGCTCTGCAGGCAACGTGATAGCAATGAACCTCGCGGACTCAGTTTCCGACGCGTTATGCCACTTATGCATGGTACCGCGCTGGATAATATGATCCTATTCCACGTTCATCAGTACTATACTCACAACATCTACCACATTTGTAACAACAGTCGCGAATCCACCGTTGTAGTATTTCTAGCAATCCCAAAAACATCCAGAAGCGAAAGAAAACCGATAAGAAGAAGGAGTACGTACACCAGGTTTCAAATCTACCATCTCTCCAGTATCAGTCTCCATACGAACATGGCCATGAGTACAGATTGTGTAATCGATGGATACAGTGCGGTGCATCATGCTGGCTTGACCAGGAGCGAGGTCGCAGACGATAAGGTGGGAGCCAGATCCATTGGCTACGATGTTGCGACCGGTGTAGCTTGATTCTCCTTCTGTGGAAGTGTAGGCAGAGATATCTTGGTCGTTTTGGAGGGACGCTGGGACGGATGATGTAGCGTCTAGTCGGGGGGTTTGTGTTAGTACATCTGCTTGTTATTGACCGTATGTAAGTTCCCCAAGGTCGTTTCCTCTCTTCTCTAAAGTCTAGCAATGGGATGCGGCACGAGATAAGAAGAAACGTACAAGATCGAGATGTCCCTCCAATACCAGGATATCCATAGTATTGCAACACCGGGCTTGAGTGAACAGTGCTTTAACCCTCTTCGTTGTGCGTGATAATGTAGCGTTTGGCTGGGGGCAGCGAATTGACAGACTCGTACATCTGCGATGACGCAAGGCGTGCGTCGTTCTCTGCCATTATGAAGTGATGGATCTGAATAAAAATTGGGAAAATGAGTACGATGAGGGGTAGGTGAAGAGACACTCTTTAAAGCATGGCAGTAATGTAGAGGTGATGGAGATCTTGGCGTAGGATGCGATGTCATCTTATACGAGGTCTATCTTCCATGCCTATTAGAGGTAAGATCCACTCTACAGAAACTTCCCATGTCTGGATGGGTAGCTCGTGTAAGCGCGAATATTCTTCGTGCTCCTTCTATATGAGGTTTAAAAGTGGAGCAGAGACCAGGGTGGAAGTGCCCACTTGAGGAGTACCACGTCAAATCAAGTGGACAGCTTGAGAAAAACACACAAGGCGTACGGTAGGAGACAGAAGTGGATGGTAAAATGCTGCATTGGTATGGATACGCTAGAACCAAGTTTTGTCTACTTAAACGCCCGGCTCATCGATGAAGAATGGTGCAGGTGGTCGAATGCAAAAAATCGTAAACTGCCGCGGCCATTAAACATGTACAACGAAGCTGACAGCTGTCAGAGCTGACATCAGCGCGTTTAGGCTTTCGCCTTCTTGGCCTTCTTCGGCTTGGCAGCGGTCTTCTTCTCCTCAACCTCTTCGACGATAGGTTCAACGACGACCTTCTCCTTCTTGGTTCGCTTGCTCCTAGGCGTTACTTCTGGGACGGTCTCCTCGGTGACGGTAGTAGTCTCGACTGTGACATCGGACTTGCGCTTCCTGGTCTTCTTTTCTGGGGCAGGCGCGACGACCTCCTCCACCACGACCTCAGCAGCCTCAGCAGGCTTGGCCTTTGCACCCTTCTTGCCCTTCTTTGCTGGCGCAGGTGAGGCAGCCTCGACTACTTCTGTGACCTCAGCAACCTCTGCATGTTGTGGTGTTGCTTGAGCTTTGGCGCCCTTCTTACCCTTCTTGCCCTTGGGAAGCTCGGCAACGGTGGTCTCCTCAGTAGCCGCCTCAGTGAGAAGCTGCTGCGGCTTCGCGGCCTCGAGTGTAGTAATGCTGGTGTGCTTAGGGACGCTGTCGACAGTCTTGAGCGCTGGTGCTTCGAACTCGTAATCAAAGACCTCCTTCAGCTGCTTAGCCTTGCTTGTCCTTCTCTTGTTCTCGTTCTCTACGCGCTTCTCCCATTGCGCACGCTCCACACCACGCTCCATCTCGAGGCCGGCCTTCTTGTTGCGAGGATCGACCTTGAATCGCTCATTGGCACCCTTGAATAGGTCGGGGTGTACCTGTTCGGCAGGAATAAGGTGGACCTTAAGGATGTGACCGAACAGTAGGTAGTTGTTCATTGTTCGCGCGACGATGTCAGCAACTTCTTCGGATTGGAACTCGACAAATGCGAAGTGCTTGGAGGCACCAGTCTTCTTGTTGCGTGACAGGCGTAACCGGTTGACCTTGCCGAATTGCGAGAAGTACTGCTTCATCTGGGGCTCGAAGAAACCGCGGGGCACACGACTAGACGCGTTGTTAGCAATATGTAGTATCGAATGGACTGGTCTACGTACCCAACGTAGAGGACACCAGGCTGGTTGGACTTGGGTGCCGCCTCCGCCTGCTTGATCGCTTTCCGCTGCTTGGCGCTGAGCTTGGGAACCTTTGCTTCTTCGTCAAAGTTGACATCCTCATCAGCATCGTCTGAGTCGGAGTCGCTGAAGCCAGCGAGGAGAGCTGCCGTCTGGTCGTCTTCGGCAGCATCGTCTGCGTCATCCTCGACTGCTGTGACCTCGGTGACCTCGACCTCGGGTTCAGTCACCTCTTGCTTCTTCCCTCCCTTTGTCTTCTTCGGCTTTGCGACTGTGGTAGTCTCCTTTACTACGGCGACAGCATCCTCAACTGGTTCGGCCTCAGCAGCTTTGCCTTTCTTGGGCTTCTTAGCCTTCTCCTTGGGAGCCTCTGCTACGACAATCTCCTCTGCGACGACAGTCTTGCCCTTCTTGCCACCCTTCTTGGGCTTTTCTTGCACTTCAGTTACCTCTACAACTGAAGCGACAGGCTCGGCGGCCTCAGTGTCGACCTTGGCAGCGGCCTTGCCCTTCTTCGCTTGCTTCTTAGGCTTCTCCTGTACTTCGGCAACCTCGACTACCTCCGCGACGGGCTCGGCCATCTCGGTATCGACGTCGGCAGCGGCCTTGCTCTTCTTGCCCTTCTTTGGCTTGACAGGCTCAGCAACGGCGACGGGCGCAGCTTCCTCTTCAATGTCCATGAAGTCGGCGGCTTGCTTGCGTGCAGATTTCCGCGTTGGCTTGGCTTCGACGGGCGTGACATCGTCCGACTTTCTCGGCTTCTTCGCTTTTGGCGCCGCCTCTGATGCGCCTGAGAAAAGTTAGCTAACGTGTTCGGAAATTTTTGACGTCGCAACTACTCACCCTTGCGCTTCTTTCCTTTGGTATCTTCGACAGCCATTGTGATTTCGTGTAATGGCGTGGGGTCTGTGTGGTCGCGAATGTTGTTACGCGCAAAAGTTCGGAGGAGAGCTCAGACGCGGGAACATTTTTCGTGGCAGTCGCGCTAACTGACACTTGCCAAGATAGTCCCCAGCCTTCACCATTAACCTACAACCCCAGATACTCACCCTACATCAAGCGAAATACTTGAAATCGAAAACAACTAAACAGCCTCACAGCAGTCTACCAGACAATCAACTCAACTCACTCTGTACACCACGGAAAACCCAAATTTCAACATGGCGCCCACTGTAGACATGAGCGACAAGAACGCGTGGGATGATTCTCTGCTGATCGATTCCTGGGAGGAGGCGGTGAATGAGTACAAGGTACGTTTCCACACGCGTCGTTTTCGTAGTTTCCGCGAGGAAATCGACTAAACAAAACAGAAATACCACAGTATCCACCAATCAGGCAAGAAACTTGAAGACGTCCTGACGGAGGAAGAGCTAAAGGAAGTACGGGGGTAAGCAGCTCTCCAAGCCTTCACATCACGATACTAACGTTTCTAGGGACTACGGAGACCTAATGGATGAGGCAGAGGTCGTATCGGCAACAGCAGAGACCAACGGTGTCGCGGATCATGAAGATGTAGATATGCCGCTGTCAGAAACCAATGGCGTTGCTCAAAGCGGTCCGTCGCCGCAGCAGGTACGTGTACATATGAAACAGCCCAGTACCGAACCCTGTCTTACGAGAACCAGGAACCAGATCTCTCCGGGCAGCAAGAACCGCAGATCCAATCGCCAAGTGCTGCGGCTCCCCCAGTGCCACATGCTGCCGGCACTCTAACAGATGCCATGCCGCAGGCTATCCTTGGAACAGGTAAGTCGTGACTCTGACAGCCGTTACTTCCGGATAGTGTGGGAATTTGACAGTTGATGACATGCTGCTAACTTCGAACAGTGCAAGACGAGAATATGAAGAACATTATGATGTCCTGGTACTATGCCGGTTACTACACTGGTTTGCATGCTGGCCAGCAGCAGGCTCGCAAAGAGCCCCCAGCGACACAGTAGCGGATCCAGAGAATGACGCATTTTTGGAGGCAGTGCGCATCACACTGTGGCTGCCGAGCGAGTTTAGAAGACGAAGCAGACATATTGAGGCTTGAAAGTCGTTGTTTTGAACCAATGGGGTGAGGGATGCCATGGTCTAGTCCCTGCACGCGACTGACGACCTACACAGTTCGTGCCTCAACTCCTCGGGAACACAGGCTGCGAGATGAAAGCTCTGCAGTTCCATGCGGCTCACGAGTTCCCAGCCCCATAGTCCAGGCATCCTGATTAGTTCTGTCCCTGCGCCTATAGCCTTGGTGGTTCTTAGATTACTGCATTGGGCTTGTCTGGCGAGAAGCGAGACGGATCTGCGACACCACTGCGACAGTCTCGAACCCACCTCCAACGGTTCGAGTCCCAAACACCACCCGCCGTTGCGCCCAAGCAAGTGCGCATCACCAAAATCTCGCCATTCTTGCAGGCGATCAACGTTTCCCCCATGCCATGCCGAGCGCAAGGGGCTGGTGTTTCGCCATGTGCGCAACGGCCTGCACGCCTTCCAAATTCAACAATTTCATGCGTGGATTTAAGGAATAGACAATCCCCAGGCATAAACTTTCTCCTCATCTCATCGCTCTTGCCTCATAATACCAGTGCTTCACTGTCTCTTTCTCTTACTTCATCTGCTTCTTACTGTCCGAGCCGGCCCTCGTAGTGCCCTTTCAATCCTTCAAACCTTCTATCGTATATTCTAGTGCTTGCAGCGCAGGCTTACGTTCACTTTTACGACACTTTTACACGATACGCAATCTAGTCATAATGAAGTACTTCACAGCACTACCCCTAGCGGCCGTACTTGCTTCCGCCGAGATGCAGGTTATGAGCCTTGCACCCGAAGTCGCAGCTGGTGCGATGACGCATACTGTAAGTACACTCGTACTATTTACTATTGAACTCAAACTAAAATACAATAGGTCGTCGTTGGTGGAGTCAAGCCCGTCGAGACTGGTATGGCACCCGTACTAGGATACAGCCCCGAGTCCATCAAGGCCGCCGTCGGCGACATGGTCGTCTTCGAGTTCATGCAGAAGAACCACACTGCCACTCAATCAACTTTTGCCGAGCCCTGCAAGAAGAAGGAGGGAGGCATGGACTCTGGCTTCATGCCCAACCCCGAGGGCAAGGCTGGTGTCACATGGAACATGACCGTCGAGACAACAGAGCCGCTCTGTAAGTTTTCTACATTCAGTGATGATATAAACCATTGCTAACAGCATCAAGGGTTCTACTGCAAGCAACAAAACGGTATCCACTGCGGAAAGGGCATGGTCTTCAGCATCAACGCCGCCGAGACTGGCGACAAGACCATGGCCGACTTCAAGGGCCTAGCCATCAAGACCAACGGCACCGGCCTCGTTGCCGGAGACCTCCAGTCCGTTGACCCCAACGCCGCTGCCGCCCCTACCACCGTCACCGTCGAGGCTGGAGGTGCCGCCGCAACCGGAACCGGCGCCGGTGCTCTCGCCTCCGCCACTGTCGTCGCTGGACAAGGAACCGACGGTGCCGGCCAGACCTGCTCCTGCCAATGCCTCTGCGGCATGGCCTCCTTCCCCGAGACCGCCGCCATCAACAACTTCGGCGGTTTCCCCGGCATGATCGCATAAACGCTTCACGAACAACTTGGAAAAACGGTGTAATGAGGAGGAGGAGGAGGAGAATGGATTAACTAGGTGTATGCGCTTGGTTGGTCTTGGGGGAGGTGGTGGTCGAGAAACAACATTCTTACGACGGGTTCGGGCAAGAAAGCTTCTGGTTTAGCATCTGTCCCCCGGATCCTTATACCATTTTTATCATTTGCTGGGGCGTTTCGCATTATACCGTAATCCACATGCTGCGATGGTAGCCGCGCGGTGGTGCTGTTTGAGTCAAAGACTTGATTGTAACGTTGTAAAAATCTTTAGTATTAGAGCTAGATCCAAGAGATCGCACTTTCACAATCTTTGCCGCTCTGAAATCTGCTATTAGTGTTTGGTGTTTGCGTTTCAATCGTGACGAAGACCTGTGTGTTGCATGGGAGAAGGGCGCAATGGGCTCCTCACGGCGTTCAAAGTCAGAAATCGGTGTATTCGGTGTATCCAAAATCAATCCAAGCACACTCCTTCGCCTTCTTATACAAACCCAAGAAACTCCGCTTCATGATGATAGGCCTCTATACAGCTTGACTGCGACAGTGCTGTTGTGTCAAGATGTTGTCGTTGTCGCGTTGCGCATCTTGTCTGACCGCTCATTTCTTAGCGCCCTCAGCGGCCTTCTTTGCCTCAGCTACACAGAGAGTCAGCGTCGCAGTCTCGAGACTTTCGCATGTCGGATTTTTTTGGCCTGGACGACCAAGATAGAAGGGTTACGACGTACCAGCAGCCTGCTTAGCGCGCATGATCTCTGCTACGTTCTCCTTGGTGCGCGCGAATTCGGTACCGGATTGCTGCAGCCTGTGGTTAGCCAGCACCCTCCGACGCCCTTATAGCCAGCATTTCAAGTGCACACGTACAGTGTTCTTGCCTTTCTGTTCATCAAGTCAGCGAGTGGATTTTTGAAAGAACAACGACCGATATGACCGCTGTTCGTGGGGGTGAAAACGAGGCTCAAACATACCTTTCCAGCCTGCTCCTTGAGGTTCTTCTCCCTGGCCTTGTCGCGCTGGTTGCCACGCGCCATTTCGTTGTCTTTGTAAAAGAAAATCGATCAAAAATTGTCCAAAGCAGTCTTCTTGGCTTTCTGAGGTGGCGTGCAGGCTGTTGCGAATTAGGATATTTCTTGAGGGCGCGCTGAGGAATTAGAGGTTTGGGTAGTCAGCGCGGCGGAAGTTCTGATAAAAATAGCGCGTTGTTTGTTTCCGCTGGCCAATTGAGGGCAGGGGCTAGAACGTGGAAAGTGGAAGCCGCGATTCTGGGCTTCTTCGCCACATGCGTCGGCATTCACGATCTTCCTTCTTTATCGAGATAGTTGTTTACTTTTGCGGAATTCTGTTGTCGCACCGAAAACATCTGTTTGATGGATGCGACGTCCCGTTATTCTGCACGTGTCGTATCCTGCTGCTGCTGCTGTCAGCCACGGAGAACGGTTCCAACCTAGGTGCGCCGCAATGCCTCCTCTTCACGCACTCACATCCCGCAACTTCAACCCTTCTGTACTGGTAGACAACGCCATACATGCGGTTCTCCACAGTGCCAATTATACAACAAATCTGCAGCAGTAGCCACTGCAACGTGTTGAGCTACCCCGCACAGGGCTGAAGGCTGCCATTATAGCTGTGATGCGCCCATTATGTGCGCTAATATTATGCAGATAAGATGAGCCATCAACTGTATAAGAAGGCTGAGAAGCCTCTTTGAGCAGCCTTTCGGTCCGTTGCTCTGACTGTCAGCTATCGCGCTCAGTCCATTCTCTTTCATACCGCTCGTCATTCACCTTCGCTCTTCTCCTTGTGTTGCCTGCCTGCCGATTATAGGAATCGAACACGGCAGCTCAATAGCCGTGGCGGCAGCATAGATGGCCCAATACTTCTACCAGTCACTGGACGAAAACAACAATGAGATCCGGCTGATAACACTACTCCCCGCGGCGGATCGAGATAGCGAAGTGATCTGCGATATCAACATCGTTCGACTCGCAGAAGACGACATACCACAATATGAAGCGTTGTCATACACTTGGGGCTCCGCCGAATCGCCTGTCAGGCTCCGAGTTTCGCCAGACAGCGACCACAACATCGATATCACCAAGAATCTTGCGGAAGCCTTGCCGTACCTTCGTGATACTGCTGCACCCAGAATACTATGGATAGACGCTATTGCGATCAATCAAAAAGACCTGGGCGAGAGAGGTCAGCAGGTCCAGCGGATGGCTGATATCTTCAGCTTAGCAGAAAGAGTTATCGTTTGGTTAGGCATGGACGATGCTAACAGTAAGACCGTCATGGAAATATGCGAGTTCCTTGTCACGAAGGTTGAATTCGATGACGAAAAGGGTGGACTGAGAAGTCTTTCCGATCAACCAAATGATGTTCACTGGGGCGACGAAAGCGAACGGCTTCCCTATGATATAGAGACCTGGCAAACCATTACCGATTTCTTGCGGAGACCTTGGTTCCATCGACTTTGGATATGGCAGGAGATCCGCCTGGCTAAACCAAACGCAATGATAATGTGTGGCACCGACTCGATGCATTGGACACAACTCCGACCTTTGCTGGGTTGTATTGTCTGCAAGGAATCCTCGATCCCGTCTGAGATCCGTGGATTCGAAGACGCCTGGAAAAGCGTCTTGAATGGCTATTTTCTTGCGAACTTAACCAGTTCAACATTCAGGCGTTTGCTTATGATGATGCAACATGCTCGATGCGTCGATCCGCGAGATCGTGTATACGGCATTCTGGGACTATTTTCCAGGATGAACATGCCAATCGATCTACAACCAGATTACGAGAAACCAGTGGTAGATGTATACATGGATCTGATGATGCACTTCACACAGAAGTCGGAGAACCTTGATCTGTTGCGCCTATGCCAATACCGTGAGACAATGGCAAGTTGGCCCTCGTGGATACCTGATCTTACGGACTTTGAGGTGGGCTGCGAAATAGAATCGCGGGCTTCCGGATCTTCTACGTGCGAGGTGGCGCTGTTACAAGACAGGGGCTTGAGAGCGACGGGGAGGAGACTATGTCAAATTGTCAGTGTGGATAGTTCTGTTGTGCCATATGGACACTGCAATCCTAAGATTCGACGGTGGGCAAGAGGTATAGATATGACTTCTAGTTATGTCGATGGCAGACCCATGGCCGAGGCGTTTTCTCTTAGTATTTGTGCAGGCGCCGTATCGGACTTGCATGTGCCACCTCATGCGACAGCGCCAAATTTACAGTCAACTCTAGCGTTCCTCCAGGACATCCTAAGGCTTGAAGACAACGAAGTCGTTAAGTATCAGGGCGAGGATGTTGTATCAAAGCAGGTGTCATTTGCGTGCGCGCGCCGAGCGTTCTTCACAACATCCTCTAATCATTTCGGCATAGGCCCCTTAGGTGCGCGCGAGGGCGACCATATATGCGTACTGCTGGGATGCGACGTTCCCATGGTTATTCGCGCAGATTCAAATGGGAGGTATAAGATCATTGGACAAGGTTACGTATCTGGAATCGGTAACAACGAAGCATTTCTGGGCCCCTTGCCAAGTGGATTTAAAGAGGTGTCACGTTATGACGCTGAATTCAAGGTTCATGATCGTGTCTTTGTACATCAAGAGACCGGGAAGTTTCAGATCGAAGATCCGAGACTAGGTACTGAGCTGCCATCAGGTTGGTGTCGAGGACCAGACGCGCAAGGATTATACCGGGGATATTTTAGCCATCATAGCGAACCAGACACATGGATGGACTGCGATCCTAGGTTGACAAAATCGGAGCTGTTGAAGCGCGGAGTGCCGCTGGAAGATATCGAGTTTTCGTAGTCAGCAAACATGATCATAAGCCTAGTATTTACGACTCTGTTACGTCCTCGCGGGCTGAGCTCTCGAAAGCTTGAAACTAATGTGAATGATGTGAAGGTAGTAGGGCTCGTGATGTAAAAGAAGGCTCGCGATAAGCGGGGCTTATCTGTCAGACTACGCGCTAAGCGAGACCCTGATCAAAGTGATCGCGCTCTCCCGCGCTATTTGCAGAACATTTCCCCTCGCTTTTACACCAACTTATCCACCTGATCCACCACGATGCCTATTTCCAAGAAGGACAGAGTACGTCGCACAAGGAGCTCTTCATACATGTAACAACACTTGCTGACATCATCCAAGATTCAGCGCGAGCACAAGAAGGCCGACAAGGCTGGCACCCGCGCGCCAGTCAAGGCGAACGGTCTTCCCGTCAAGGCACCGAAGCCGACGTCCATCGTAGGCACTCTTGCACTTCCCAGTTGATGCTCTTGCATTCCACGGCATCATTGCGCATAGCTGACCACCCGACCCAATACAGTGCCAGAACTGCCGCCGCGAAATCGTCAACACCAACAAGGCGCAGCTCGAGGCCCACGCCGCTAGCCACGATGCTACAACATGGCCTAAGGAGAAGTGCTGGCCCAACGATTTCTGAAGAGTCAGGCCTAGGCTAGGAAGAAAAGGCTGGACACATATCTGTGGAGGCACACAAACGTGGATATCCTTAGTTGAAGGAACACCGAACAGAGGGAAGGCAAATGACCGACTTCGCCTTATCGAGAAAGACGTCCTAATCGCTATTTGGTCAACCCACGCAGCCCCAAGGAAGGATATGTCTCACCGTAATCACGTACGCTCGCTGTGGTAGCCGTACGTGAATGCAGCGTGCGAGCAGTGAGTAGTCACATGGAAGACTCAGTATTTGAATGGCATCTGTCACATATTCAAGAAAAGAACTACTTCTGCTTCGCGCTATTTGGTCGCGCACACAGGGCCTTGCAAGGACTGGCCTGACCAGCGATCAGGGTGCATTGCCTCTCCAAATCTGACATCTAGCCCTCACAGTCTGTTCAGTGGAGCGTTCAAGATATGTACCTAATACCACAGCGCTAACCCAGGACCCTTCCGCTGTTTCGCGATAGCAGCGGTGATCTCTCCGCTCGTTCTACACCCTCCTCACCATCGTCGTCTACGCGCTCAACGTCTCCATGGCTATTCTTCGTCCTCCAAACAACATACGCGTACCCAAGCGGCGGATAGAAGAAGACACTGCACGAAGTTAGCCCTGAGTTACTTTTGTCGAGGGTCGTAGACTCACAACAACAATAGGCTGGCGAGCGCATCACGCTGGACCCGTCTCCTAACAAGTTCCGGTTCTGTATAGTAACCTCGATGTGGGCCAAATGCGGAGTCCAAGATAAGCCAAAGCCATAGTCCTGTTGCAAAGACCGATTTCGCGATCTCGAATATGAACGCCTGAAACGGCGTTGCAATCGCCTTGCGCTGAACGTACACGATGAACACGATGCCGGCGGACATGAGTGCCGTTATGGAAGATGCACTGCAAATATTAGTCTATCTGCGCACGAGATGCATGCTGTGATGTGACCTGGGGCAAGAGGACATGCTTACAAGAAGTAGTAGTAGTTCTCTTCATAGGGAAACATCATCTGTTCCCATGCAAAGAAGCCCAAGATGACCATTGTGGGTATGGAAACAATGGCTTGAAATATACCAAAGCCACGAAGAGCCTGCTGCCCAAGAGGGCGACTCTCAAGGCTCGCCATACTGTTAGAGTTGGCCAAATGTGCGAGCTGCTGGCTTCAAGTGGATGTAGTGTACGAAGAAGACTTTTGTCTGCTAGTATCCTATGTAAATTGAAACGGAACCTCGGCGTACCTTGTATTCTTGGAAACCTGGTATCGCTATCAGGTGCAAACGCTGCTGCCTGGCGTGTGAAACATCAGGCCGGCTGAGGATTGTGGCGCAGCATGAGCGTCGTATCGATGCGGCTAAGATATGCGGAGGTTCGCCTTACTGAGCCGTTTGATTGCACGCATCCTGGAGTCTTGCCAGATAAGAGCTAATATACATCGATAAGTTACTATACCCCTCACTTCTTCTCCAACCTCCCCTTCTCATCCTTCAATATCTCCTCAACAGTATCCTCAATACTCGGTCCCTTCGGCTGCCACCCAACCAACTTCTTCGCCCTCTCCGCCTTACCCCTGCTGTTGAACCCCCAACTCACAGCCTCGAAGCCGGCCTGCTCAATCGCCTTATCCTTACCTAACTGTTGCTCCTTCATTTCCTTCTTACTGACAAGACCCAGCTCCGTCGCCTTCTTACCCATAAGACGCGCGAGATCAGCCCAAAGGTGCTCTCCGTTCTCAACGAGGTAGTAACCCTGTTCATTCCAAAGCTTAGCGTCGGTGTTGTTTTTCACCGCGGCTTCAGTGAGTAGGACAAAGAGCTGTGCGAGGTCGGAGACGTGGACGTTGTTCCAGCGTGCTTTTCCTTGGCCGATGATAGGAATGTATTCGCCGGTCAGGATCAGATGCGCAAGTTCATACGCTTGTCGACTCCTGGTGTTCGATGGGCCTCTTCCGCGTCCGTAGATAGTTGGTGGGCACAGGATAGCTGTTTTGACTGATTCAGATCCGGCTGAAAGTACGAGATCGTCGACGTTCTTGTGGAATGCGTCTTTAGGTAGGCCAGTCAGGTCTTGCACGGCGGTCCAGTCGTTGTATTCGCGTTCTGACCATTCGCCTAGCTTGTTGTCGTCGCGCATAGTTTCCCAGCACAGAATGCCGGTACCGCCAGTGTGTAGCCAGAAACCGGGCTTTTCTTTAGAGTGACCGGATTCAAGGCCCTTTGCGATCGCCTTTGCGGCGCCTTCGTGGTCGGACGCATCTGCGGTGTCTGCAATTGTTAGTATCGATCTTATGGCCGAGCGAAGCTATTGGCGACTCACGAATGACTACATCTGCCTTTGCTGCCTCATCTTCCAGGGTCTTGGAGTCATCCAAACCACCGATGACGATTCGGACCTTGGGGAAAGTCTCGGTGACAGTCTTTGCTTTTTCCTCTTCACCATTATCAGCACAATGCGCCATTCATAATGAGGAGGGTGATAATTACCTGTTCGCACAAGAGCCGAAATCTCGTAATCAGAGTGCTTGTCGTACAGCGCAAAGAGGGTGTCGCCTCCAATGTACCCAGTCGCGCCGGTGCTGCATGGAAAGAAGCGTCAGCAGAGTTGATTAGCTTTGCAATGTATCTACATACAGGAAGATCTTAGGTGCCATAATTGAAATAATTGAGATCTTTGAGAAGTACTATAGTCCTTTAGGATCCCTTCAGATGCCTGAGCTGATACACTTCATATCATAGATGTAGCGCGACAGCTGTGGATGACGTCATTACGCTAGAAACATCGGGACCACTGGAAGAACGTTTAATCGCACGGCAAGACTCGAATCTAGCCCTCCTGGTGGTGCATCTAAAACGTCACTTTCGCTCCTGTCGTTCTTATTAATCCTACCAAATGTTGATGTATTCTGCAGGAAGCTGGTTAGCAAATTCGTGGCGCGCCGCATAGCCGCACTTCTTACAGCTCGCATCGTCACAGCATGTTCTCTTCTCCGTAGGTCCTTCTTCACCTACAAATGCGGTACAATGACATACCAGGAGGAGAGAACGCCAGCTCTGTGGATACCTAGGCACGCTTGCACTAGTACAGGTACATGCAATTGTGCCCCACGATCTCGGTAGGATCCGGCGATAACGTTCCTGGTCAGTCGTCTTTGACACTTACCACGCGTCACAGCTCATGAGGCGGCGTGGGCTGTCACATATGACACATAACGGTCTTGATAGTGTTTAGCTTTACGATACAAGATGTTGGGTTCATGGAATTTAAGGACTTGATGTCGAGACTAACATAATACCAAGATAAGGTAGCCCACTACGATTTAATGATTAAGGACTATCGACACAACTATGGAATACTATACATCGTCGCTTACACCTCGCACCAAGACACAACTCCGATCGCAACGTCCTCACCGCCTAAGCCACCTCCCCGACCTCAGTGAACCGACTGCCAGCCTTGGAAAAAGCAGCTTCCTTCCCACCCTTCAACATCATATCCAAGAAAGCAGCAACATACGTAGTCGTAAGACCCGTCATCCTACGTCCCTCAATAGAACCCAGCAGCTCTCCAACCTGCGCTGGCAACTTCCCATCCAGACCCAATGCAGAAATGACGAGAGGAAGATCCGAGAAGCTGTAGTGCGCTGAGTGCTTAACTTCGAACTCCTTCTTCCAACCAGTGAGGTTTGGCCAAATGGTCTTCCAGGACGGATCCGTTTCTTGTGTCTTATTCTCGTGGCCCATTAGCATGAAGGGCCCGTTGAAGCCGGTCGTCAGCACGGAACCGAACATAGAGCCGTCGAGGTTGACACCGCCCTTGAGAGAGGTTATTGACATCATCGCGCTGGCAGCTGCTGCGCCTCCTAGGGAATGTCCGACAACAGCCATGTTGGGCGCTTTCTTGGCGCCCACGTATCCCGGAAGTAGCTCTCCGATGACTGAGGAGTTTCTCATTTGCTTGGAGACGAACTCGATGTCTGCGACTCGTGTGTTGAGTGCAAGCTCAATCTCGGCGTCGCTATCGATATCGACACCCGTCACGATGGTACCATCTGGGAACTCAACCATGTCCGCATCGTAGGGGTGGTCAATGGAGAGCACCAAATAACCAGTAGCCGCAATGTTCTGGAGCATGGCGTTGTATAGATGCCGAGATGTGGCGAGTGCGCCTGAGAAGAGGACGACTGGCAAGTCTTTGGAGCAGCCGCCCCGTTTTGCTTGAGTCATGCAGGTCTCGAGGCTCAGTGATTGGAAGCTGCCGTTTGGAAGACCGTATGCACCGAACTTGGTGTCCATGAACGATGCGGTTGCGGGAGGCATGTAAGGTTCGATCTTCTTGCGGCGGCATTGAGTGGTCGGGTAGAAGCTGGAGACCATGATGGATCGAGAGCGGCCGTCATCAGCGAATGGGTCCGAGCGAGCATGGTCGGTCAGCGAGGCGGAAGCGATCATAACATCTTGATGATGGGAGGCAACGATTGGCAGCGTAGTTTTGGCAAATGTAAAGCCAGGCGAAGATGCCAGAAGTACCAGCAAAACTGAGGTGCGAAGTCCCATGTTGTGGTTGCTGATGGCGGCGGAGATATGGTATGTGAGATCTCTGAAATTTGGAAGAAGCGAAAGCAGAGGAAGGTGCTTGTAATCAATTTGTTCGAGTGCATGAGTGGTATCTATAGTTCTGGCTGAAGGTAGGCATCTACGTGAATGAGATGCTCAACCCCCTTCCGAGCGCTCTATCGTGACCAAACGCGGACATGACAGTGGATACGACTATACTCTGGTGACTTTGCTAGTGCAGCAGAGCCGCATTTTGGACCGACGTGGGTAGTGGAGGAGATCTTGCTCGGCAGCTTGTCGGTGCCATTGGTCTCTAGTCCCAAGGAAGCCTAGACGCGTTCTTTCGTTTCCTAAAACGGTCAAGGTAGCTGGCACCGCCTCTAGTGGCCCATGGCTCGTATGCTTCGCCCTTCAGCGACGCGATACCACTTCCCAAAGCATCCTTTATGACATCCTGCAAATCTCGGATGTTGTGGTAGACGACGCCTCATCGCTTGCCTTGCATTGGCAATCTGCCCTTGTCGCTACACAACTTACCTTCGCACAATAGCCACGCATGTCACCCAGCATTGGGCCGTATGATGGTCGTAAGGCTAGACGGAAAAGGTGCGAAGCCTGTGTTAAGCGCAAAATCAAAGCAAGTTATTCAGCCCTACGAAGTCTGAAAGCTCTAATTGGTTATAGTGCAATGGAGGCGTTCCTTGCGATTACTGCAAAGGGAGAAGACAAGCGTGTGTGGTGCCCACGCGGTCGGCAGTTTCGAGTTTTGTCTTCGTCAACCCGGGAGCCGAGAAGCAGCTTCAGCCACGATCGCCAATTAGTCCAGGGAGAACTGAGCAAAACATGGCTTACTTTTTCAGCTCATTCCTGCCAATGAATGCTCTTTCCGGTGGTCTGATAGTGCGAGAGGAGCTGCAAGGCATGGTGCATTCTTCGGCCGCGTTGAGGGATGCTGTTTGTGCAGTAGCCGCCTTGCACCGATGCCAACGGGCCCAATGGGACGATCTGGAGACTAAAGACCTTGAAGGACGCCAGGGCGCGATGCAGCTTTACGTCGGATCCGTAAGGAGTGTCCAAACCCGCATTACCCGCAATAAGTTTGCGGACGATCCATCTACACTCTGGACGACCTTTCTGCTCGGTCTTTTCGAGGTAAGCGCGAATTTGATACAAGAGGTGACAATGGTCTAATATGGCCTAGCTGATGTGCGATGCCAGCGGGACCAACTGGCTCTCACACTTCCTGCACGGGACTTGCGCAATCCTGCGGCTCCAACCACCCTCGTGCCTTGCTCTTCCAGATCAACAGAACAGGCAGAAGCGTACCTTTTTCCTTTCAGCCCGTATATTCGAGATATCACGGGCCTTGATTTACTCTGAACCTACTTTCCTCAGTCAGCCTGTGTGGACCACCGCACTAGCAGATCTCTGGAGTGGCGAAGGTGCAGCACTTTGGCACCCGAAAGAAGCGCTCTTCGACATGTTGCCCAGCTTTTCTGAGTTGGGTATACGTGCTATCCAATTCTGTGAATTTGAAGCAGAATATTTGCCAGAGGAAGTGCAAGCTGAGCGTGCACAGTTCCTTGCTGCTGAGGGCTTACTACTTCAGCAATCCTTGCATGAGTGGTGGGAGGTCAGCAACTCCTGGCAGCATGCATCGGGTGCATTGGACCTAGAACTTCTCGTTGGCCACACATACTACCACGCCGTTAGCATCTACCTCTCGGGTACTTATGACTACCACGTACATTGGACCAAGCCAATGGCACCATGTGCGCCGATCTTGGCTCGCTCTCAGATCGAGTGGCACATGCGTCAAATCCTTTGCCTGAGTCGCGAGTTGCTGGCTAATGGGGTTGCGGGTGTGCTACTGTTTTTTCCTTTGAGGGTCGCGGGAGCGCGTGTTCGGGATGCTCGTGACATGCACGAGGTCTTGGATTTGTTTCGTAACGTGCTGCAGCGCGGGTATGCCGTTGCTGATGCAATGATAGCCGATCTATCAGAACTGTGGTCGGATACAGCTACACCTTAGGTTCAAAGCGCAGATGCGCACTCCAATCCAGGGTTTCCGTTGTCGTTTGTGATGTCTCTCCTGTTTGAGTTTACGATGTTGCCTCGACAGTCCAGGCCGGTAGACGCGTGGGAACGTTCGCAGCCGGCGTGATTAGGGGCTTGGATAAGTTTCCGTACATTACGAAGTAATCGCCGTCATGTAAAAGCTCATACAGCCCGGTAATCGGAAGGTGAGTATTTCGAGAGAGTTGTATTTGGGTGAGCGGCCAATCATGTTGATGTTATTCGCTCCTGCCGCGCCTTGCCGCATTCAGTGCTAGCAGAAAAGGCTTGGCATCCCAGCACCGCTCGCAGCTTTCTGACAGCAACGTCAACGCCGCCGCCCACGCATTGCACCTCCACACGCAACTCTCACACCGTCAAAATGGCTATGGGACCGTCTGAAACCCTCGCGAAGACCAAGACCACGTACGTCTGCCCTCCACCCGCACGCAACACCGGCCAGCTTCCCCGAAAGAATCCGTTCTTCGACCCGCCTCGCATCGCACAATCATTGGAGTAGGAAGGACATCACGCTGACAGTGGCATAGTTGGCACATCGGCTCATGGGGTAACCCCTACGAGGGTGGTGGCCGACCCGGCAAGGGCGTCGTCACCTACGCCTTGAGCCCCAACCGACAGCGCCCCATGGCTACCTTCATCGGCAAGGGCTTCTGGAACGTCATGCGCCGCTCAAGGAACCAAGTCCTCTACTTCATCCCCCCTCTGGCTATCGCATACGGCACCATGCAGTGGGCTATCGAGAGGTGAGTCAATGGATGTCATCAAGAATAGCAGGGTCATAAACAGGCAAAGGTGCATTGGATGGCAGGCTGACAATGACATCAGGAACGAGTTCCTCAACTCCAAAACTGGCCGTGCCATGTTCGCCGACGAGGAGTAAGCGGGTGTATAATAAGAGATGAAGGAGGATGTATAGCACGAGGAGTTGGAGGAGGGAAGCGGAAGACGACAATTCTCTTTGCATCGAGCCAACGAATAGACTGTACAACCAACATGCACCTTCTTTCCATTTGTATCGCGTTGCTGGCCAACTAGATGAACGTCTGTCCCCCCATACACGGCCCTTCGTTGATCACTTCATACTCTGGGATCACACCATCCTCAAAAGGCGCAGTAATGGCGACGGTGTCTTGATCACTTGGATACGTCGTTATGTGTCCCTTGCCCGTTATATCCGCAGCGAACACCAGACCGCCCTTACCCCCAGGCAACCACAGCTCTCGAGATGGGTCCTGGGGTAAACTGATACGCGCGAGTCCAGATAGGAAGTGTACGATTCTCGATGGTTTCAGCGTAGCTTAGTGTACATCCAATCTACTCACTGTGCTACAGGCGCATTATGCAATCCGCCGTCAAATCGCGGCGGCTGAATGACATAGCCTAGGTCCGTTACATTGCCTAATGCTATGGCACGGCTTCCCGCGGTGCCTGCTGTTGTGGATACCGTGAAGGGGTTCTTCAGGCGCCAGCACTGAATAGTAGTGGTGTTTTCCGGTGTGGTAATTAAAGCAGGGGCTGTAAGATAGGTAGTGTTGTATGAAGTATCAGATGCTTGGGCAGATATGAGAGAAGAAAACGTGAGCGCAAGAATAGTTAACAGAGAGTGACGCATGGCTATGGCGGGACTGATCATGAACCGGGAATCTTTGATGGTTTCAAGACGCTGTGTATCTATTATACCGGTCCGGAAGGACAAGGATGGCGCTGACTGCAAATGAATAAGGTTGGTGCTGTCGTGCGCTACAGCTGCGGGCTGACGACCCATGGTACTCGCCCCAGACCAGGCTCGATGATGGAACTAGCCGGTCGGTGCATATATCGTGCATCTGCATGATGTACATGCAGTGGCTTGACGGAGTTGTTCGGGTACAAACTTCACATAAGATCTGAATGTTACATGTATTGCAACAGGCTGATCAGAGACTTTACTGTATCATCAGTTGCATATCCAGTTTGCTAGCCTAGGTTCTCTGCTCCGGTCCTATCGCCACCCGTGTTCTTCTCCCATATTGTAGAGCTTTGCAAAGGACAATAGGTGTCTACAAGTAGCGCAGTTTTCTGTGAACCATTGGGGCAAAAAGTACAAGAGGCTCAAAAGCAAAAGAAATAGTCGAGTCAACGCGTGGTTCTAGACTCGGGCACATGTTCACGCGTAATGCGGGCAGGAGCCCCGCTTAGTAAGGCAGTCGGCGTGTCGGTGGGCATGGGTAGAACTTCGATGATTCTGTCATATCCTAGCTTTCGCCATCGAAGCGCACCCGCCACAAGACATTCTTCTACTGCCAGTCCGAGGCAGTCTGAACAGGCGCGGTAATACAATCACTCTACTTTATCTTCCACATACCCCATTCCATCGTTACATTATACCCCACCCCGCAGTCCCGGCACCTCTGTTCCGCCGCAATGTCGACACTCCTCCGCCGCTCAGGCAACCTAGCGCGACTATCCCGACCCTGCCTCAACGCTGCCACGAGGGCCCCACGCACATTACGCACACGAGCGCCAATACCACAATGTATATATACCCAGCAACGGGTGCGGAGATTTGCGACCGGGCCGCCGGAGGAGCCTAAGAACAAGAAGGACGACGAGGCAGCGAAGAAGGACGACCAGGTCGACAAGCCTGAACCCAGCGAGTCTGCAAAGAAGGATGGAGAGACCCAAATGTCCAAACTTACGCCAGAGGAGGAGAAGATGCTGGATCAACTAGTCTCCTTTGTGTCAATGGGCGTCCCCAAGTCACAGAAGCAGAACATCAAGGAAGCAATGGAGGAGATTAAGCGCACTGGAATACCACCAGAGCTGCGACAGGAGATGGACAAGTTGGAGAGGGGCGAGAAGCTGGACCTGGCCACCGCGGCTAAGATCTCGCGGTTAACAACCAACATGGCACGAAAGGCAGCAGATCAGCATCAGCAGAAGTTCAAAGACGGATCCGAGGAACCGCAGCAGAAGTCGGGCGCACATGACCCAGGCCCAGGCAAGGGCTCCAAGGGTGGCGCTGGCGGAGCTGGTGGACCAGTGGGGCCCATGTTCGGCGGCGGTATGGACACCAATACGATCCTCATCAGCGCCTTCCTCGCATACCTCACATACAAGACCATCTTCCCGAGCGAGAACTCCAAGGAGATAACATGGCAGGAGTTCCGAACGACCTTCCTGGACAAGGGTCTGGTCGAGAAGATCGTCATCCTGAATGGCAACAGAGCAAAGGTCTACCTGCACCGTGAGGCCGTGTCGTCCATGTACCCCGACTCGCCCTCCGTCAACCAGAACTTCTACTACTACTTCACAATCGGTTCCGTCGAGGCCTTCGAGCGCAAGATGGACGACGCGCAGTATGAGCTAGGCATCCCAAGTTCCGAACGCATACCCGTGGCATACTCGAGCGAGATCTCCTGGTTCGGCACCTTCTTGTCCTTCGGCCCTACTATCCTCGTCCTTGGTGCGCTTTTCTACTTCACAAGACGTGCGGGAGGCGGCGCCGGTGGAGGTGGCGGCGTATTCGGCATGGGCAAGAGTCGCGCCAAGAAGTTCAACCACGAGACAGACGTCAAGGTCAAGTTCTCAGATGTCGCCGGTATGGACGAGGCCAAACTAGAGATCATGGAGTTCGTCTCTTTCCTCAAGGACCCCACTCGATTCCAGAAGCTCGGTGCCAAGATTCCTCGTGGTGCTATTCTATCTGGATCCCCCGGTACTGGTAAGACCCTTCTTGCCAAGGCTACTGCAGGAGAGTCAGGCGTCCCTTTCTTCAGTGTCAGTGGTTCTGAGTTCGTCGAGATGTTCGTCGGTGTTGGTGCATCGCGTGTCCGCGACTTGTTCGCCAATGCGCGCAAGAGCACGCCTTGCATCATCTTTATTGACGAAATTGACGCTATTGGCCGTGCCCGATCGAAGCAGAACTTCGGTGGTGGCAATGACGAGCGCGAGGCTACTCTCAACCAGATCCTGACAGAGATGGACGGATTCAACACCACTGAGCAAGTCGTTGTATTGGCTGGTACTAATCGACCTGATGTCTTGGACAAGGCGCTTATGAGGCCTGGTCGTTTCGACAGGCATATCAGCATCGACAAGCCCACCATGGACGGACGAGGACAGATTTTCGGTGTTCATTTGGCGAAGATCGTCACCAACGAGGACATGGAATTCTTGAAAGGCAGACTTGCAGCTTTGACACCGGGCTTCTCTGGTGCCGACATTGCCAACTGTGTCAACGAAGCTGCTTTGATCGGTACGTAGTAATGTCCCTCCTAATGCACATCTACTAACAACCTGCAGCCGCCCGTGCAAATGCCGAGACTGTTGCCATGGTACACTTCGAGCAAGCCATCGAGCGTGTCATCGGAGGTCTCGAGAAGAAGTCCCTTGTCCTGAAGCCCGAGGAGAAAAAAACCGTTGCCTACCACGAGGCCGGCCACGCTATCTGCGGTTGGTACTTCAAGTGGGCCGACCCTCTCCTGAAGGTCTCCATCATTCCCCGTGGCCAAGGCGCTCTTGGATACGCCCAGTACCTCCCCAACGGCGACACGTACCTCATGAACGTCAACCAGCTGATGGACCGCATGGCCATGACACTAGGTGGCCGTGTATCTGAAGAACTTCACTTCGACACCGTCACCTCCGGCGCATCCGACGACTTCCGCAAGGTTACCGCCATGGCCACCGCCATGGTCAGCAAATGGGGCATGAGCAAGAAGATCGGATACATCTACTTCGAAGACGGCGAGGGCCAACAACTCACCAAGCCCTTCTCCGAAGATACAGCCAAGAACATCGACATGGAGGTCAAGCGCATCGTCGACGAGGCCTACAAGCAATGCAAAGACCTCCTCACGGAGAAGAAGCACGAGGTCGGCCTCGTAGCAGAGGAACTACTCAAGAAGGAGATGCTCGGCCGCGAAGACATGATCAGACTACTCGGACCCCGTCCTTTCGAGGACAGCCAAGATTTCCACAAGTACTTCTCTGGTGAGTACGGAAAGGCGCCTGGATATATCGAGCCGCAAGGCAACGATGGTGTCAAGGGCCCATTGGTTCCTCCCAGCCCAGCAACTTTCAAGGACCTGGATGCCAGGAGGTGATGGTGGTCTTGAGATGTAGTTTTACCGATTTTCTTTTCCTTTTTAGGTGCATTGTGGCATGGTTATGACATGGAGGAGTGTTTGGCGATGATTCAAAGGGTTTCATTCCACTCTAGACATAAGCATGCGTATGGTGTCGTGTCTTTTGTAGCATAGATGCGTGCGCATTGGCTTTGTAACAGTATTGTTCGCCTGGTCTGCAAGAGTGGGCCGGCGACCAAAATATCCATTGTGAAGTTCAAAAACTTCATTTTCTGTAAAGTTGTTGTGATTCGTGTGTGAAGCTTCATCTTCGATTTGCGTCCTGGACTCCAGAAAGGCTGTCACCTCATGCACGGACGTAACTGGACTGTGGGTCAAAGTAGCGAAATTGGTAGCTCAATCTGCATTAGAAAGGGCATTGTGTATTGTGTTTATGGAAGCTTTGTAGAGTGAGGGATGAAGCCCACTGCGCCCAGATAAAGGAAAGAAGACAGTAAGTACTTTTATTAAGCATATTTGACTCGTGGGGTTTGACACCAAGGATGGATCAACGTAAGTTCGGTAGAATGAAAGAACATCAGAGAATGTAAGAGCCATCCGAGGATATGGTCGAAGACGGTAGCAGTGGAGAAGCGCAAGAGATGTGCAAAGAGCATGAAAGAAGAGCTGTCGTAGGAACTGTTGACGAATGCGTAGACTTTCTCCAACCCCAGTCCATGTGTATGAAGGAGACGCCGAGATATTGTCGCACAGTGCTAAGCGTCCGTGATGGTGTTCGCTTTTTTGCGATCAACCGCTTTTTGTATCAGTTTCGCAATCTTTTTGGAGATCTTGCCCCTGCTCTTGCATCTAAGACCAAAGCGGACGATGTGATTATGAGCTGGCTCAGGGTCAGCGTCATGGGCAAGCAACAACTTGACCATCGCTTTGTCGCTCCGAGCCACAGCTCCGACGAGTGGGTGTTCGAATCTATCAGAGACGCTCCGCAATCCGTTCGAGCTCATACCCCACTCCAGACATTTCTTGGCGATCTTGATGTCGCATTTTCGAGCTGCCAGTGCTAACAGAGATCCAGAGAATGATCTCGGCCTTTTACGGTGGTAACCTCCTCGGAGATCCATCAGGTTGCGACCAATCGAAGCTTCTATGAGAAGGTCCTGAGCGCCATCGCCCCACGATTCGACTTCTGGACCGTAGAGACGTTTGATGAGTAGACTTTTCGTTGCCAAGGAAAGGTTCTGCTCGAGTAATTCGTGTAAGAAATATGTCGCATGAGCACTGATTGCTTTGCTGACCCATGCCACGATTGTTGGCGGTTGTGGCTTACGGCAATGCTGAAACCACCAGTCTATCAGCACGGTGGCCGTATCCCAGTTTCGAGAGGCCACAGCAGCCCATGTGGCGTCATCGAGCGCTCTGTTCAATTTTGCTTTGGCTGTATTTGTGAGAAGGCTCCTTGCGTGTTCCAGGAGCTGAGATACGACGTCGTTGGCTCGGATTTGTGCAGCAACAGCGATGGGGGATAAAAAGACGCCGGGTTTATCCCATATAGAGACGCCATGAGATAGGTAGTGAGTGACAAGCTCTAAATCCTTCATCCAGACGGCGATCACCAAGCAGTGCGCTTCAACCCGTTCGTTCGATACCATAGTACAGGCGAGAGAGGATGGACTTGTGGCGAGGTGCACGGCGCTCCAGATACTGCAGCAACCCTTCATGGCATTGCAAGCTTTTTCTGTATAGGCTGCACGGACTGTTTGCGTTGACTGGCTGGTAGCAGTCATGAACTGATAGACGACATTCCGAATCAGAGTAGTTAACAAAGCCGGTGCCCCATGAGAAACTTTGAAGCGGTATTCAAGGAATAATCCAAGGTTCTGGGCGACCAGTTTCTCGGCTCTGGGATCTGGATACGCCGTCATGGACTGTCTGCCAAGACATTCCTCGGAGACGAAGGCCGTGAATGTTTCTTAAAATGAACGAGTATATGCTCAGAGTTCATAAAATGACACTTACTGCAAACCTTACGACGCTTCCATGCCTTGCAGACCCCAACAGTATGAACATAGCTCTCGATGACCTTTTGGAAGATCTCTGGCGGTAGGTCCAACAACTCCATGATAAGTATTGGTCCCAGGGGTTTATGAAGAGTAAGCAAATCCAGGGAGTTGTAGGAAGAAGGAGGCCTTATATGCGAGGCATGAAGTTATCTAGAAGCTAACTTCGGCAAGAGCACTAGTGGGTGAGAGAGTCCAAGGTGAGAGTGAGCGAGTTTAGAGAGGACGGAAGAACTTGGTATCTCGCAAACCTCACTTTACCTCTATCACCAATAATTCCAAGACGCGTGCAGTGAGAAATATCTGGCTGAATAGCGCGTTCAGAGCCATATGTAGGCGTGGTTCGCAGCATTTGAGGAGCAATTGGAAAGATGAGAGCGCATACAATATTTAGAACAGACGCAGGCATTATAATCGTTCTTCGGTGAGGTTGCACCTATTGGTGAGAGGAGGATGCACGAAGATCGATGACGCACCTACCTATTTAGGCAGGGTAGGCACCATCAGGGCACGTGATTTATCACGTATGATCTTGGTGACATGAAGGTTGAGAATCATGAATATGCGGGTGAAGCAGAAATTCTGTTCTCGTAAAAGAGTCTTTCTAGAAGTAAATATGTACACTAATCAAAGGTCGCCAACATCCCCGTCTACTCTTCGTCCAATCCGCTGCGGTCGACATGATCGAGCATGCGGTGCAATAGCCTCAGCCAAAAAGCTCTAGCAGGTACCCTGACCGTTGGGAGTACCACTCTTGTACGCACCCGACGCATCACCGAGGCACTCAGCAACAGTAACCATCTTAAGCCCATTGTTCTTCGCCCAGTTGATCAACCAAGGCGTGAGCGTGTTAACCGTGCTGGCATAAGTCTCGTGCATGAGAGGAATGTGGCCATTGCCACTGGTACCAGCTTGCTGGAATACCTGCTGGCTCTGCTGGGGCGTCTTGCCGTTCCAGTCACCAGAGTCGACGTCGTCGGTGATGACGCGGTAGCCCAGGTTCTTCATCGTGGGTAGCACGTTGCCGCCGGTGGCGAGGTAAGGGGGGCGCATGTAGGTGGGCTTTACGCCGATGATGTTGACGAGGGCTTGCTCGAGGCGAGTCATTTGCGATGTGAGGTCGTTGGTGGAGAGGGAACCGAAGTTCGAAGGGTGAGACCATGTGTGCGATGCGATCTGGTGGCCGGCTTTGTAGGCGTTTTGGAGGGCGCTCTTTTGGTTGTAGATGCATCCTGTTCATGTTAGATCGTGATCTTAGGTCGTAGTAATCCAGGTATGTGCTTACCGTAGAGCGAACCAGTCACGAAGAAAGTGCCCTTAGCTCCACCAGCGGTCAAGGTGTCGACGAGCTTCTGGGTGTATTGAGATGGGCCGTCATCGTAGGCAAGAGCGATTTGACCAGGGTTGGCGCACTTGGTGATGACTTGTCCGGCAGCAGGCCCAGCCCGCTTCATCATGTCGAGGGGTTCGGGAATCGGTCCAGCGATGGCAACCGCAGCGAATGCCGCGACAATGAAAGACTTGACACCCATTTTGATGAAAGAACGACTGTTTGAATGACTGATGTTTCGAACTGCTCATATTGTAGGCCAATGCCCTCCATCTTATGTATAAACGCCAAGGCCCCGCCCGCTGTCCTGAGGTCATTCCCGTGAAGCTTAGGGGCTCTTGGCTCGTTTATGGTAGACGACATGCTTAAACTGCTTGAACCGGGTCATCGGAGGCGGCGATAAACCCTGCACGGTAGATGCTATAGTAGACGCTCGGATGTTTGGTGACACTTGTCAGTGTGGTTATTTTCTGGCTAAGGCGAGTAACATGAACCCTGTGTAGATATAGACGCGCAGAGAATCGCGATCACCTGCGTTGAACATCGTTCAAACTCCTCTTGAATCAACATCACATCAATGAACATGCGCCGTTCGCCCGGAGCAAGTTCAGATGTGAATTCGCCGTGTTTCATTTCTCAGATTCCCGCCGGCTAAAGTCTAAATCCGGGGAAGCTTGGAAACACGCCATGTGGAGCCGCGTGACATGCCGCGAAATTAATATAGAGGTCCAGAAGGCGGCTTAAGAAAGCTTCTGATGTAGATTAGGAGTGGCGTGTTTGTGTAATGTACTGCGACATCGCACCTTGCGGAAAGATTCCTGTCGACCGCTGCTAATCTCGTACCGGTTCAATGCGGTAGCTGCACAACACTAGAGCGGCGCTGGGCGTTCGTTGACGGCTGTATTCTCCAAAAAGTACTTCGAGGGCGTGCCCAGCTGTTGCATACTGTATTCGATGATGCCCGGAGGCCCGTCAGGCCACAAGTCGTACTCGTTGCCGACGCACGCCGCACCGTCTGGTGCAATAAGAGGTATCCTACCAAGGAACTTGGAGAATAGCGACTCTTCAACATAATGGGCAAAGGGCGACGCATCCGAGAGTGTGGTTGATCGGGAGAAGACGGAGTTGGTGGCAGATTGGACGGTTTGTGCTAAGCGCTGTCCTTCCGGTGAATTGAAGCCACCCAAGGCTTGCCATGCTACCTTGATAGCTACAAAGGCTATAGTATTGGATTGCGGTGCACCTTCTCGCTGCTCGTACTCTTTCAACTCCAGGCATTTGGCGATTTTCATCGCGGCGGCGTTTCGCAGTGCGACGTTGACAGGCGATGGAGATAGTGAATCTTTGATCTGGATGACGCATATGTATGCGGTGTTGTAAAGCATCAATGCTGTTGCAGAAACATGGTTGGCCACTCCCAGTGTCTTGGCCATGTCAGATCGCTCAGTCGTTTCAGCTAGTTGATTCCGGTTCAGAACCTCCCAAAACGGATGTAGTGCTTCCAGGTTAGTAAGGACCTCCTCCACCTCGGTAAGCAAGGGCTCAAAGCTCGTCGATGATGCTTTCGAGCGCAGTAGAGCATTCCGCTGGCTGATGAGGCGGGTGCAGTCAGCCAAAATGGAGAAAACGTGGTGTTGAAACAGTCCTGACTCGTTCGAATGTGCAGAAGGAATCTGCTTCCATTCCTCGGTCGCATATATAGAAGGTCTGGATTCTGCAAGTGCTCCAACGATGGAAAGAATGCGCAAGCCCCGAAAGATAATAGCGTTGATGCCTTCAGACTCCTTGGGTGGGCCTCGTAGCCTCGCAATAGCATCGAGACCTCGCAGATGTTTCAGAAAGTTCGTCGGTCCGGTAGGTAAGAAGATCTCGAGAAGCATACAAGACAGTGCCGTAAGTAGTGTTTCGTTCGTCGTCTGAAGCTCTGTACGAGCAAGATGTGAATTGAGCTGCCGCAGCACCTGACCATACTTTTGATAGCCTTTGGTCGTGATATCGCCCTGTCGATGCTGGCTACCGAAGAAAGTGGTAGACAGGCTCACTATACCTTTTCGCAATAAATCAAGGCCAGGGTCGTCGCTTCTCATGGATACGGCATGGCTTTCGATCATGTTGCAGGCTATCTCAACGGGCCCCCCGCGTAGCAGGTTTTTTCGCGTATATGCTAAGCAGATATCGTCTTCAAAGGCTGCGAGAGATAGCTGGTTTGGACTCGCTATCTTGACGATCGCGTTCTGGGTTGTGTTTGCTGGCTTGCTTTCAAACGTGATACTCTCATTGATCCAAGTAAGGTCTTTGGGCCCTTGACATTTGAGTCCACGCTTGATGCATTGTCCACATTCGGGGCGGTTTTCGTCTTCTTATGTTAGCACATGCAGCAGGTCTCCGCAAAGTTTGACCAGGTGAATGGACATACCACATTTCACACGCCGGCGACGACAATTTGCACAACCTTTTGAACGACCACCGCGACTGACCATGCTGTGCTATGTATACAAAAGGAAAAAGACGCGCTATATCGGCTCGTCAAAATGCAGGTAAGCAGGGATCCTACAGACGGGATGTGTCGCGATACGTGTCGTAATGCGAGTATGAATCCGGGCTTTTGTCCGATTCTGGATCTAAGGGATGTACGATATACATGTTGAAGGATCAGCAGCGAAAAGGGCAGAGGGCGTCGAAGCTTGGTGGCTGAGTTCGCTAAGTGTTCCCCGTATGTCAACGATGCGGGTTAGGCAGACGCCAATCCTCTTGGCAGGGCGCCGGAAGATGACCCCTCGACTGCCAATAGACATCATTGGTTTTCCTCACATCAGCAATGAGTGCATCAAGTCAACGAATGTCGCCAACAAGCAACTCCCATCAAATGCAAAAATAGCACAGGCAATAATGTGAGGCAGGCTCCGGCTGGGGAGCCAATATCATGTGTCAATTTGAGGACCTCTGCGGTAATAAGCTATTAAGTGTCTGTAAGGACTGTATGCTATCGTAATAGAAGGAATTGAGACACTCTGGAAAGTCTCTTACGGGAGCGGACATCACACCATGCCACTCAACCGTCTCATCGCAAAGCAACTACAAAGACCAAGAAGTCAAACTAAAGTCAGATGTTACTCAGACTTTCAGGTTCTTGACCGATGATCCTCGCCCTACATGCCAATCATCCTTTTGACCATGCCCTGCGCCAATCGGGCAACCTCCGCGTTGTTGCAGCGGTCCTCGTTGCCACCAATGGCACTGGCCTCACAGCCGTCAGGGTAGAAGAAACTGGCCAGCGCGATGATGATATAGGCAGCGATCAGTAAACTACCCTCGAGATAGTTACTGCGACCATCCAATACCAAGAAGTTCACCACCAGGACTGTGACGAATAGTGCAACAGTCTCGAAGATGTTGAAGTACAGTGTCATCTCCTTGCCCATGATCCAACCGAGGATAACAATGACGGGAGTGATGAAGATGGCGATCTGGATAGAAGAGCCGACAGCAATACCGATCGAAAGATCCATTTTGTTCTTCATCGCGACAGTGACCGCAGTGACGTGCTCTGCAGCGTTACCGACGATGGGAAGAATGATGAGACCGATAAACGCTTGGCTAATACCAGAACTCTCAACCATAGGCTCAATGGCATCGCTCATGAAGTCGGCGCAGACAGCAACGAGACCAGTGCTGATCAGAAGCATAAAGATAGCAGCTTTGATAGACATGTCAGGTGCTTCATCGTCTTCATCGTCCTCGTTGAGTGCCATGGCGGCCTGTGGAGAGACAGCAGGATGTTTGACTGCGCTACCGCTGGAGTCGGCGCGGCCAATTTGATCTGGGAGAGACTTGGATCGACGAAGGGGAGCGCGCAGAGCTGTGTTGTCGCGAGGTGCTGCCATACGAATATTGGGTGCAGGACCGCCAAGTGGAGCGAGGTTCTGAGGGTTCGAGAAGACGTTGTTAGAGAGCAGCGAAGGAAGAGCAGGCCGGTTGTATCTGCGAGGATTCGAGTTCATCGTAGTGGCACTGTCGTTCTGTACTTCCTCAGCGAAGGTGACCTTGGGCGTGGGCTCGTTCGGCACGACCTCCTTCTCGGGAATGGTGTCGACCTTGTTGCGATCACGGCGGTCCTTTTTGCTCTTCTTATGCCTGCGTTTTTCCTTCTTCGTCATTGAGCGCGAAGTCTGCGAAGCGGCTTCGAAATCGCGAACGACTGGAACGTATTGATCGTTATCGGCCTCGTCACCACTCATGACGTCGAATGAGTGTCGGCGAGAAGTGATTGGGGCTGCATTAGTGGCAGTTGCGACGCTATTGGTTCTTTCCGTCTCGAAAGGACTCTGATTTAGCTCACCCTCTGGCGAGTTGAGAGCTGAGAGCGCATCTGCGTCTTTGGAGCTAGCGCTGGACTTGCGGCGAAGCCTTTTGACCATGCGCTTGGCCTTCTTCTTCATGGTGCCATCAGAGTTCTTAGAGGAGCTATCACTGTCGCTACTGCTGGAGCTGGACGAAGAGTCGGAACTGGACGAGTCGAAAGCACCGGCAAGGACACCGGGATGTGACTCTTCGTCAATGATATGTTGGGGCGTACTAGCATAGAGATAACGATGACTCTTGAGCTGAAAGACGAGGTACAGGCCGTAGACTAGTAGGAGAATAACACTGGTTCCACGACTGACGGACAAAGTCTCGTGGTCGGCGATGGCGTTGTTCTCGAAAGCGGCGTGGAAGGCAGTGGGAAGCAGTAGACTCATCACGGCAAGGGCCAGCATGACACCGCTCATCTGGGTGACGGTGTTGTTGTAGACCTGCTCTTGGTACTTCAGACCACCGAGTAAGAATGCCATGCCCAGAATGAGAAGCAGGTTGGCAAGTATGGATCCAAGTAGAGACGCTTGCACGACCTCGATCTGGTCAGAGGCGAGCAAGATGATGAAGAGAATCAACTCGACAGCGTTTCCAAAGGACACGTTGAGCAGTGCACCGAGCGCATCTCCAACGCGGGCAGCGACAACTTCGGTCGCGTGCGCGAGCAGGCCAGCCAGCGGAATGATGGCGATGGCGTTCATGGAGAAGACAATTTCGGGCTTCAGGTGCACGAGCTTGACTACAATACCAAGAGGCACGAAGACGAGCAGGAGGTTGATCCAGCTGTGAGTGATGGCATTCTTGGTGTGGGATATGAATCGGAGGCTTCCGTTCTTGACACGCACGGGCGAGTAGAACGGACGCTTCTCGGATCCTATGGCGGGAGGCGTCGTTCCATCGGGCGCGGTATTGACGCTGCCATTGTCGATGTCTGTGGAGCTATTATCGCTGGCAACGGGCTTCTCGCTGTGGTCGCTGGTGCCATTTGCACCACGCGACGGGTTGCTGCCATCTAGGCCAGGATGGGTGGTCGTGTGGGGGTTGTGGGTCGGAAGGACGTCGGTCTGCGTGTCTTTCTTGCGTCCCAAGCCAAGTGCAGATGCTGCCTTAGACTTGAAGCTGCGTATAGAGGGGTCGTCGGGTTCTCCCATCGGTTTTGGTGTTGCAGAGTTTGGGGGTGGTTGAGTACAAAGATGTACTTTGGGGCGATGGTAGAAGTGTGGCCAAGTAAGTGAGGCGCGGCCACCGCCTTCCTTATCAATGCTCGGCAAGCTTGACCCGGCTTGGTACGTGCTTAGTATGCAAGTGGATACCGGAAGTCGAGCGAATGACGTCGACCAGCCAGATTGGTTGCTACACGTGGACGGCGCGCACAGCCTCAGTGGCGCGCTATGGCTTGCTCAAGTCCTTGTTTGCGCGCGATGAGTCTAGAAGGTGGCTGAAAGATGCTTATCGAACAATTCCTTCATACAGTCTGTGTGCCGTGACATGTAATTGATGAAACTCAGATGGGAAGGTGCGCCTACCACGCGTTATCGCTGCATCCCTGACATGTTCTAGGAACAGAAAGCGCGAGGCGACGACTAGGAAGCCGCCAACGTCGGCTTTTCCCCGCACGGTCATCATCATCAATACAGAAGCCGCTGATCGTTGACATCAATCACACGGCGCCGCGCCTCTTGACATCCACTCTGCCATCAGAACGTGTAGGCTCCCAATCTAGACTGCACACGACGCCTCACGATGCAGGGATCATGCCGAGACTGATAGCCTCGCCAACGCAGACCGTTTGTCACCTCCCTTATCCCCGAACGCTTAGCGTTCTTGTACTACCTGGGCATGCAACAACAAAAGCTTGGTATATTCCTTGGAGCTACTGCTACCATTGCCATCATGGCCCAACTGACGCAATCTGCGCAATATAAGCCATTGATTTCTTCATTATAGCACTGTTGATTCGGACAGTTCTGCACTGATGTCTGGTTGTGGTCCCCGCTACTATGAAGACCCTCTAGATGTTCACTTGGAGAACATACCCGCTCGGACGGTACCAGTAAGGGGTACTGGAACTGAACAGCATCCATGTGGACGTTTCTCAAGTGCAAGATCAAAGGTTGAAAGCTGATCGCAGCAACAGCGCGTCAATGCTGCACTTGGAGTCATATGACTACGCGACTTGATACCCGTGGACTGCAAACACGCAAACTGTTTGGCAGCGCAGTGATGAGTCCATCTCAGTCGCAAGGTCCTGCACCATAGACTCTCTACCAGTCGGACGCCATCATGAACCTACTCGACCTTCCGTCCGAAATTTTCGCAATTATCATACACGAGTACCTACACAATGACGGCGGATGGGCTGCGGCAGTTCAAGCACGATACATATGCAAAAGCTTCGCGGTCGCAATTTACAATGACATGTTTGGTCGACACTCCGCATATTACTACCGCAGCTTCAACGCGGATCGGAAAGAGCGTCTACTCGGGCCAAATGTGCACACCATCCTCTTCAAGATGGGTCCCGCCCGCTTCCGCTCAACGTACATTCTTGATCACATGGAAGCCACGGTCAATTTCCTCATGGAATTTTCGTATGATCAAACGCAGGCGCAGCGTGAGCGCTACCGTCTGGCTCTTTGCAACGCGATATCGGCGGCCCTCTCGGTAAAGGAGATTCTTGCCTGTCTCTGCTTTGGACCATCAGACTACTCGGTCAAGGTTCGGAGGAATATGGGCCGCACGGATACGGTAGGCATGCTCGCTGCTGCCGCTGCCGTCAACAGTGAGCCCGCCCTTCGTTTCCTTCTTGACAAGGTATACGACGTAGGCCTACGTAGTCAGCTATACGGCACGCTGCTTACCGCCGCCGCAGTCAACGGGCATCTTCACTCCGCTACTTTCATCTATGAACGTATGGAATATGGTATTTACAAGCACAACCAGCTATACGACGCGATCGACACATGCATGAACATGTATCACGCCACCATACTTCCTACTCTCATGTCCCGGTACCTCGAGTATTGCAACTCCAAAAGGTCGACCAGGGAAGTAAAACAGGGATGGGCCGATTGAGCTCTTCTGAACGGTGTACTAGACGTACTACACTTTTGCTATGATCCCAAGAATGCACTCAGGTGTGAACGCCGATTAGAAGCAACGCCCTTCTTCTTGGCCTGCCAATACGGTCATGCGCCCGTCATCCAGTACCTGCTTCAGATCTATCCCACCCTCAGAAGCGCGATCCATACTTGTTGGAAGGGTTCTCCTGGGGCTCGAGAATTGTGGCAGGGCCTTACAGCGGCGGTTGAAAATGGCTGGCTCGTGGCTACTAGACTGCTCATTCATAGTGGCATGCGGATCGACTATGGAGAGAAATACGGCATTTCATGTACACCATTGATATGGTACGCAGTCAAGGGAACAAATGTCGATATGGTGTTGCTTTTGCTAGCTTATGGCGCTGTCGTACCGGAGAGGGACGATATCTGGGCTCTGGCTGCGAACCAAGGTCCGGAGATGGCGAAGTTGATGCAGGTGGCCTGGAATGCGCAGGTTGGAAAGAAATGAAGGGTGAGTTTGTTGATGTACACTAATATGCATGCGCATTCGCCAATTCGAAGATGCGACTCGCCGTAGCGGTCGCCTTTTGCTATCCAGTCATAAGGAGCGTCTACAAATGCAGCAAATGAACCACCTGAGATGACAGTCGCGCCATATGTGTTTCCACGAGCTTGTGCCGACATTCTTTGTCATGAGTTGGCTGCGATGTATGTGAAGCAGTCACGGCCGCCTCAGCCGTGCATGCAAGTTGTAGATCCACGCCACGGAAAGGCCCCACATCCCGTCATCACGTCTCTTCCGCGCCGCCGCCACGCGTCGAAGCATACAACGTACACTCGTGCCTTCGACTTGGCTTTCCTGCGCAACTGGCTGTAGAAACAATAGCTACATATGACACCTGGGCTCTTTTAGCGATCCCGCAATTAGCGACAGCGTAGCCGCGCATTCGTAGTCTTCTGGAGGACCATCAGCCTCCCTGTCATCTTCCATTCAAGCTCCTACTTACCCTCACCACTTACCGTACCTAGCCCAGCCCTCTGCAAGATGGGTCGCTGGACAGACATGGATAGCGTAACCTCCCTCCTATACCTCTTCTCCAAAGTCTCACTAATACAACCCCTAGGACGCCGAGCGTCTCCCCCAAGGCTTCGAGCGCATAGGCTACGACGCCGACACCCAAACCTACACCTTCCGCGACGCATCCGGCCTCATCTACGAATCCGAACCCGGGAACCGCTACGGCGAGCTACGCGCTACCGGCGAGCACTCGCAGCCCATATCTGACGAACAACGGCGGGAGGAAGATGAGATGATAGAAGAGGGCAATAAGAGCGCTGTGCGGATGATGTTGCCGTTTGCGCTGCTGGTGCTAGTATTCTTGTTCCTGGTGTTTAAGCTTGTGAGTAGGGGTGACGAGGCTGAGACGTATGTTGCTGGCTGTGGGGAGGGAGAGCGGCAAGTGCATGCCGTGGAGGGGGATACGTGTTGGGCGATTGCGGAGACGAATGGGTTGAGTGTTGATGCTTTGCTGAGCTTAAGAGGGAATCAGGGTGTGGATTGCGGGAACTTGAGAGTGGGACAGGGCATCTGTGTTCCGGCGTCGAAGTGATGTCGCTCCATCGCCTTTACGCTCCTACTACGACCACCCGCAAGGGTATCAAGAAATGGTAAAAGGCCCAGCAAGAGAAGGGTGTGGTCCCCGCAATTCATCTAGGTCACGAAGCTGCCGACTTGGTCATACATCTTATACCGATGAAGAGTTCATTCCTACCAACGCGGTGATTTGTTCTCGAGGGGCCGGTTGACTACCCCACTGGTAGTTCCCATAGGCAGGCAGCCAGACGACGACTTCATACACGGAGCTCGTGTCACAAGCGCTACTTATCCCGGCTTGGCTATGATCTTACGCCATGATCGTCTCCCAAAGCCTTTGAAGGCCAACACGACAATATCCGCAGTAGAAGAAAATCTCACTGGCCCTAGGAATGCAGGCACATATTTACTCGGAGACAAACTATCTCAATGTGCCAGAACAAGACCACAACAGCTCAAGAATCATCTCGAATTCGAACGTCGCGCTACGAGCGGCTTGGGACTTCTGCCGGGTTCTCTCAACTCAGACTAGATGCAGAGAGCGCATCATCACAGCGTTAGGCGTACCGCGCGGGCTACAGCCTTGTACTTAGCTACCCATAGGTACTATCCCTCGACGATCTAGAACAAGTATTCGACGCGCTGAGGGATAAGCTGATGCGCCGAGTATTGCAGAAGTTAACCTTCTTCGAGGTCTTCAAGCCGTAAGACCGGTAGACAGGCGCATGTCTAGACGTTGTGGGACAGCTACGCGACGATCAACGTTCTCCCATCCAGGTAGACACTGCGACAATGTGACTTTTAGAGTCGCCCGGCAAAACGTTGGTCGGCACCAAGTGGTGCAAAATGCGCAGGTCCGCAATGTAGAGATGGAGATACAGCCTATATTGGTAAGACCGCACTCGTCTGTCAACACCCTTGCTCTTCAGCCTGATGTAACGTCGGCTCTTCCCGAAACAAGCAGGTCTCTCGTGTTTGCCCATGCAGGGCACGGATATAGCGGATTGGAAAAGATTGTATAAGTGGAGGTTACTCCACCAAGGCGTAATTGAGCCCACGGTTACACCTTGGTATACTGAACTATCTTACGCCCGATACTTGGCTTAGTAACATTCACCGGAGGACAAATCTTTTTTCCATTCATACATCCGCAGTCTTCTACGCCTTGCTGTTAGCGCAATCCTTCACGAGAGTTGCTCGCGGTCAGATTGGCCAAATCTTCCCGCAATCCTCATCCTTCAGTGTAGGATCATTACCAAGCAGGCTTCAGCCCTCTTCCTCTCGATGGTCGATATGCATGCAGCCTGAATTGAAGCCTGGCAAGGACAGCTCGTTCGAGCAAGAGTCGACGGTGTGGTGTATAAAAGCTGTGGCTCGCCTCCCTAATCTCGTCCTTCACTCCCATCAATTCTCACGTCAACAATACCACTACACCCAAACTTGACTCTTCCCCCATCACATCTTTCACGATGAAGCTCTCTATCCCCCTTGTTGTCGTGGCTTCAGCCACCAGCGCCATGGCTGGCTGCTATACCAGCGGCAAGCCCTACCTCAACGACTGCAACAAGGATTCTTTCAAAGGTGCTGTTGATGACCTGTGTGACAAAGCGGTACTCTCGGGGTGGTTCAACGCGCCTCGTACTAGGAAGACTGCTTGCGCCAATGCTAGGTGCAATGGCATCAAGGTCAATTTGGAGGTGGAATGGAGGGGGCCAAGCGGAGGCGCCACCTTGGCCGTATCCGACTGCAAGTGGCGACTGAAGAACGAAATCGATGGCTGCGACAAAGGTGGCGAGTCTGTCGTTGCTGACTGGTTTTTCAAGTAAGTGGCTCGAAACATGTCGCTAATTGTGCAACAACGATGAGGGCTAACGGTGTCTGATTATAGGTCTGACCCTAACGACGGTTCCTGCTGATCGGACGAACCCGGCTGGTTCGACAGCTTGATAGAAGTTATGATGGGCATAGTGTGGATGGCGGGCAAGCGGAGAGCGATATACCAAAGATACAGCGCACCGATTATTGAAGCAAATGATTAATGGATTACGATATTTGCGAGCTTGACCTCTTTGCTCTTCTCGTTTTCTCTTCGATCGTTGAGGTTGTAATTGTCGTCTGCCAGAGTTGCGTTCCTGCAGTGATGTTGCAGTCTGAGTGACTAAGGAGCAGTTGACGCAGGGAAAGCCTAGGTTGGGCGTCCCATTAGCTCATTTCCACAACAGCGCATCGGCCCGCAACCGTCCCAAGGTTACGCCCGAGAATGACAACACACCTCTTCGATACGACTTCACTTTCCTTGGGCACATATCTGAGGGCTGAATGCACTGGCGAGAGCGCACACTACGAAGCCTTCCAAGGAACGGGTGCTCAAAATTATCACGTGCTCGATACCATTCAGGTTAGCTTTGCGCGCAACGGCTCTACCCCGGGCTTTCACCTCCGAAGCCACATCGGCCGACAAACCTCACTCCTCAACGCGCCCAACACCATCATCAGCGCATTCAACTAGAAGCGTGCAAGAGCTCAGATGGCTCTTTCCTCATTTCGATTATGTTCTGTCATCTACCCAGGTTACCATGTAGCAGGCAAAGGCCTCGTCCCTGGATCCTGCGAATCTAGCCACACATTTACATGATTCCTTCGTCTACCCGCACCCGACACCTCCATAGCCATTTTACCTGTATCTACCAACAACTTAAACATATCAAAACGGTCTTCTTGAACGGCGTGGCGTAGAGAAGTTGACAGATCCCCAGCATCAGGGCGTAGTCGATCAGAGTCTGCACCCCCCACCAGGACGCGCTCAACTACAGTCATGTCTCCTCTTCAGATCGCAGTGTCAACCAAACCGTTGACTTGAAGGCGGTCACGTTGCTCTACCCATTCGAATGAGTTGACATTGCTACGGTCAAACAAACCGGCATCCAAGAAGAATGAAGTGAGAACATCGAAGAGCTGAGGACTGAAATCATGGTTCCTGTCGAAGTCCATCATTTCAGATGCGCAGGCTGACAAGAGCGTCTACAATCTTGTTGATATGCGTGGGAAGAACGTGATTGGCGCCGTACAGTGCGCCCACTCGATGCTCGAGAAAGGATTTGAGGATCTTTGGCAAAAATCTCGAGTCGCGCTTACTCGGGTTCAAGTAGGCTGAGGCCGGCTGCTTGGCAAATGCCTGTGTTTTGGTGTGGTCGCAGAAGGCCCCTGTAGTCGTCAGCAAAGTCATCCGTCATGAGTGGCGACATAATCAGTTACTGCGCACACTGCGACGAAGCCAGGCTCGTCAGATGCCATCCGCCTCGACATAGTGCGCTATGACGCATTCGAAGATTTCGGTTGGAAGATCGAGCAGCTTCGTGGCGGGATAAGTCCGGTTGCGAGGGTCGTGCGAAAAGATTTGTTGACTCGCCGGCCTTGTGTGTGGCGAGGCACAGACCCGCGAGCACAAGATATCTGCAGTTCGTGATCTTTAGAGTCTCCGCAATGGTGAGTGATCAAAACGGAAAGCGGTGTGTACTTTGACCTGGTCAATGCATTCACCGACGTCGAGGCGCTGGGTAAGATTAGGGTCTAAAATCCTCCTCATGAGTTATGGACTATGCAGAGACCTTGTTATACCCATTCTCACATCGCTGTGAGAAGACTCGCAGTAAACGCCCATACGACTCAAGTCCCCACATATCCTCTGTTACCATCATCCTGTCTATCTTTTCAACCCCTCTCGTATCTTAGCAAAACCATACCAAAAGATACATCTGATCTCAACAGCCGTTATGAACCGCTGCAAAAAAGATGTTAGTGGATAATCTGAAGTCTGTTCGAGGAAAAGTGGGACTTGCCCTTAGCGAAGAAGGCGTATGTATCCGCATTGTTCAAATTATCAGTCGAGTTGAGCTTAACAAAGTTATCGTACTTGTAAGCCACGTCGTTCACGAACATCATCGCATGCGCCAGCTCATGCATCATGACTAGCGTCTTATCTGCCCAATGACACGTTGGATTATTCGTTTTGTAATTCGCATCGAAATAGTTGGGACAGTATCGAACGACGAGTTCTTCACTGCTCACATGGGTGGTGGCCTGTACACCTGGTGGACAATCGCTACGGTCGTTACAGTACTGCTTCGTAAAGCCATCGTGCAGGCTGTCACACTCCGTACCGATTTCGTAAAAGCCGTCCGAGACTTGAGTGCGAATTTCATTCGAGTCGTCTTTGAAGAATTCCAGCATCTTTGCGTGATTGGCGGTGTCTGGGTGGGAGGCTTCCCACGCGGACCAAGCGCGATCGTAACACAAAACTCGGGCTTCCTCCAAGGTCTTAATCTGATCGGCGGTGCAGTCATCTTGTAGTAGAAAAGCGGACTTCCATGGGGATGCTACCACCCCAGCTCCGTTGATGTTGACCGTAAGAGTGTTTGAGACGAAGGGGATTTTGTTGGCGGCCGAAGACCCAGAGGTCACGTGGAGTAATGTACCTTGTGATACCAAATCTACATCACCACTAGCAGTGAGGTCGTATACGTGCGCGATATCAAATTCTACATCGACGGTAGCCGACGGTGACAGGAGCTCGAAGGCAGAGTCCTGCAGGGCCGGAATTTGAATATCAACATGAGTAATTCCAGAGAACGGTAGGACATTGCCTGTTATAGGAAATTAGATTTGATCTATCAATGTATAGACCGGAAGTAACCCGCCTTCTTTGATCACCGTGATCTTGTTGACATGGAAGTCACTGAGAAGGCCATCGAGCTTGACGAGTCGCAGAGTTCCAGGTCCAGTGTTCGTTAGAGAGATCTTGACGTTAGTGTTGTTCAACCTCTCGAGCTTGACTTCGACTTTGGAAGACGGAGAAGGGGTTGTTGTTCCTGGATTCGGAAAAGCGAAGACATTGGTGATGAGGGCGAAAGCTGCACTCAGGCTGAAGTATGCGAACTTCTTGGCTTCTAGCCGTCGAATTACTCTGGTATGAGTGTTGAAGGGACAAGATCTATGATATATTGGTACTATCAACGAAGAACGCAAATATAACAGAAGATGTGTGAGGAAGAAGATTATAAACACAGCAAAAGATTGGTATTTGAAGGAGTCGGGGTGATTTAGCTAGCAAACAGACGAAGCTGGGAAAAATCTCAAGGTTCACTCAGGGGCAGATGCCCACCTGACGAGTTCAGTGGCGACTGTGTGCAATTTACAAGTGAGTTTATGCTATTATTCATCTGTCAATAAGCTCTGCAATGGGTTAGCTGGAGAACACCTTGATCGGATGTACTATAGACGGGCCTCGTGGCCTTTTCACGGACCGACTTCTACCATCTCCTCCACTGCCTTTTCCCAGTACCAATCCTGCTCACTCACCTTCTCCAAACGCGCCGAAAGGGGTGGGTACGGGTGGTCGTATCATGGCGGATCGATTACGGAGTTGCAAACGTGAGTATAGTATGAACGAACAAAAGCGTGGTTTTCAGCTGCACGTTCAACGTTTATGAGAGCGCTTGGGCATGATATCGCGAAGCAACACTTTGAATCGCGTAGCGTTGACGCGAAGATGTGACAAGACGCTAGTTACGTCATCCATCTGCCATGGATTCACTATCAGGGGTAACGACACCAGCGCAACACGGAAGCACTAGCATTCTTACGTGCAGCGATGGAAAATTTTGGTTTTTGGATTCAGGAGTCCTAAACCTTGCTATTCCGGAGAACAAAGGACTATCCCAAAAGGCTAAGCCTCTCAAACATCTTCACCACAGGCGCCTCCCTCTTCTTCCCAACCTCCTGCAAGCTATCCCAAAGCGTTGCATCCCCCCCAGTAGGCTTCATCGCCTCGCCCTCAACTCCAATCGGTGCCCCGTTGACAACCTCAGAACTTCCAGCAGCCGCAGGTGGATACATCTCCTTGATCGCATCTTGACACCGTTCCATGACCTCGTTAACAGCGTTGGACACGGCATCAGCACGCTCCCTCATACCCCGCCTAACCAAGCCCTCAACAAGACGTTGGATCTCTTCTTGCATGCTGTTGATACGCTCGATGAGGCGTTCGATGGAGTTTGTAAGATACTCTTCTTCGTAAACCGTTCCCTTCTTACCGCGCGCACGCTTCCTCTCTTCTCTCCGCTTGTTCTTGCTTGTCTTGCGCGTAGTTGTTGTATTCACTGTGCCAGTCTGATTTGTGTATCTGGTCATGAACGTGCCACCACTTGTTGTATCTGTGGGCGCCAGAGAGATATTGTCGGGGATGTTGGCATCGGCAGGACCGTCGATCATGCCCTCGTAGAAGGCCATTGGATCCTCTGCTTTCTTGGCCCTGAGTTCCTTGAGTCGAGGTACTTGGGCTTGCAGTTGGCCCTTCATGTCGGCGAGGAACTCTGTCATGTCTGCGCTGCGCTCTACGAGGCCGGGATCGATGACTTCGGTGATGAGAGTGGGCTCGCGGCGGAGTGTGACGATACGGATTGCTTCGGCGAAGTGGCAGCCTCGGCACAAGAGACGTGCCGCGGACGGGAGGTCGGAGAGGTAGTCGAGGGTTATTGATGAAGCTGATAGGTAGTCTTTGGATTCTGCGAGGCCATCTGCGAGATCTGTCGCAATGCTTACCAGTTCATCCGCGCTTACATCGGCGAGAATAGCAGACGATAACGCTTCACGCCAGAGGTTGGCTGAGCGGTAGCATGGCCAAGCGGATGCATGATCGTTGAGGTATTCGTACGCCAATGCAGCTTCTTTGTTCTTGTTGTTAATACTCAAGAAGTCTGCGTACAACCGCATGACTTCTTTTAAACGAGTGCTGTCGTATTGATACATACTCAAGGCTTCAGGGTAGAGATCGTGTTTTTGCACGTAGTCTTGTACCTCATCGTAGGCTTGAAGATCCTTGAGATGCGTGAGTGCTTTCGCTCTTCGTCCGAGCTGGTCGTCAATCTTGAACTTGCGACGAGTTTCAGGCAGATCTTGCAGAAACTGCAGATGTGGAAGATACTCTCGCGGGTCCTAATGGGGATCAGCTACTAATGCGATCAATGCATTCGATTAGCATACCTTTTGTGACTGCTGAGCAATGAGCAGCGCGAGGTCAAGGTTGTACAGTCCTAAAGATGTGTCGTAGAGTTGATTGACGTCCGCAAGGAAGCAAATGTGCTCGGCGGCCTTGTCGGTGAGGGGATCGCTGGATGCTATAACGTGTCAGTACTGCGAAAAACAGCAGGCGTATAAGACCTACTTTGCAAGCGACCTATCATAGCAAGACCTGTCTCTAGAGCTGGCGGTGTCTTCGATACATGGGCTGTGATGATGTTTTGCAGGTGCGCGTCTTTATACTGAGACTTCTCTAGTACGGCTAAGAAAGCATCGCATATCCGGTTTACTTTGTTCTCGACGTGATCCTGCGAGAGCTTAGACTTCGTAACCAGATCTTTCGTCTTCAACGTTTCCTTGTACATGGTCTCTGACACGTCCTCGTTGCTTGGACTGTTAGCGACCAATTTCTTAATTGTATGGTCAGCCACTTACCGAAGCTGTGCCAGAAGCAAGTCGATATGCTCGATCTTCTTTATCTGTGAGACAATCTTCTCCAGGCCTGTCATGAATCGCTCGGGATCATGGTCATGGAGTATGTTCAGGTCGACGCGCTGATTACGACAAGCAAAGAAGGCTTCATCGTAACGCTCTGCCTCAATGTTGCGACGAATGGCAGCAAGCACTAGCGCTCGCGGATAAATCGTCTCAAGGTTGCCTCTTGGCATCTGCAACACGACTGAGTATGTCGTTGGCATCACCGTAACGATCTTAGCTCCTCTTTCGATGCTTCTGCATCTCTCATCCTTTTGTGGCTCGTCGGCGGGTACCTCGAGCTCTATTACATGTCAGTATATGCGTCTGGTTCTCATAATGCAATTCAGACTTACCATCTGCACTTGCGAGATGCACAAACTTGAGTAGATGTTGTGTCGTCGTGAAAATGAGATGCGCGGCAGTAACCACAAAGGACGTGCAGTTGCGGATCAGAATGCGCTCATTGGCGTATAGTACCCCGCTCTTTGTCAATCCAAATGCCAATGTCTGGGCATGTTAGCTAGCTGATACGACCTCGTGGAAAGTATGCTTGCGTACCTGGCCTTCGACATCGATCATTTGAACCTCGGGTGCAAATGAAGGAAACTTATGCACAAAAGGCGTCAGAGGTGCACAATCCGATCTCAGCTCATCCACAACGACCTGATGTAAGGCACCATTCTGGAACTCGATATACGGCGTTTCCTGATGGACGTTGGAGAAAAGTAGGGACGCGTTTTCGGTCTCCATTATGGGTCCTTGGGGTAGTAACACGTCGCCTTGGGACTGCCAGAGCGAGCTTTCTTCTTCGTCCCAAGTGTCTGTTAGTACGAAGATCTGATCCCCGCCAAAAAATGTGACGTGACGTGGTGAACTATAACTTATGACATCGCTACGCCAGAGGAGACTAGGTTTAGGTATAGGCCGCTTGTTGAGGTCGAGAGCATATACGGAAAGATCGCTGTCGGAGAGCACTGCCAAGCGATTGCCAGACTTTGAAAGTGCCACATCTATCGGTTTTGCGTCGAGAGCCAGAGTGTGAAGTGACATAGGAGGTGGCACGTTGGCGATGCGAAGTGGAGTAAGCTTCAGGGATACTTTCAATAATCAGTATCAGACAAATCGCGCATGTACAATTCATTACTCACATCCATCTATTGATGCGACCATGCCAAAATCGTTTGGTGGGGCGACTGAGCCAGTCGAGATTGTGGATGCGTACTCAAGCACTTGAAGCGCATCTGACTACACTTAGTCATATTAACCGTACATTGACGAGGGAAGACTTACCTGGAGCTGACAAAGCTACTGCGAGCGGACGCTCAGCATGCCAACTACATATGATTGTCCGAGGAGCAGCCTCCGGAAATCGAAGTTCTTGCTTGAGATAGTAGTGGTAGTTACTCATGGTCCAAAGTTGTATTTTGTCAGGGTATGATACAGCTAGGACGTTGGAGTCGCTATTCCACTTGAGTGATAACGGAATCGAGAGGACCGCAAGCTCTTCCGGGGTAAATCGAAGGTCAAATTGCCCGTGGCGAAGACCATTCCGCTCGAAGAACACCACTTCAATCTTGTCTTCGGTGCGGCGAGTACTCGCAATCAGATTACCTGATGGTCGCCAACTGAGAGCGCCTTCAAGGCCGTCCACAGGCTCGCTCACACTGTCTAGCTGTCCTTCCCGGGAGTAGACACGGATCATGCGACGGCGCTCTTCTTCAACCTTGCTTACTGCAAACCATGCACCGTCACCTCTCCAGCTAATTGTGACAGAGCGATCGTCTAACGGGCTAAGTACACCCTCGTCGATACTTTCCGGTACTGTTGGATCTTGCAGTGCTCTGGCTCGTTTGCCTTTGAACTGTGTCTCTTTCTTTCCCCAACCAACCGAGACATGACTGGAGACGTTGACATCTTCGGGAGTGAGATTGATACTCGCAATATTTTCGATATCGCGGCTCATCAATAGTAAAGTGTCCGCCTGTGTGGTGATGGCGAGAAGTTCTTCATCTGGTGACCACGCTGCCGCAGAGATACCGGCATCGACTGAGCCCACGATCTCGACTAGCTCTTCTGTTGATGATGGGTCCTCTCGCACGAGCACGATGTCTCCTCCGGCCAGAATCAAACATGATGTCGAAGTGTCGGCGAAATGGTGCAGGCTCAAGATTGAGTCATGGGTAAGCGAGGGCAGCGGGCATGGCGCATCCCACGACGCGATGCTTTCAAGCTTTTCCTCGACGCCGTTGCGAGTATGATGCAGTCTCTTGAGTTCGATGGTCGCACGTGATTCCGAAGGGCCGAAGGCGCATACCAGCGCATTTGATGCGGCGTCCCATGCAGTCGCCGTTAACGGTAGTGGCTCGTCTCCAGAAAATCGCAGGAGCGACCTGCCTACAATCTTGAGGTTGCGCATTGCCGAAGAATTATGGACTGTGTTCGCTGCAATGTTGCGTCCTGGTGTTCGAATGACTGGTCACTAGCCCCGTTGGCAGAATCGCGCTTCCGAATTTTTGGTGATGCTAGCGCCGAGCTTCTACCGAAGAGTAATGCAACGCATCTCATCGTCATCAAGGTGTTGCAGATGCATCGCGTCCTCTCTTCGTCCACCCCCTGATACCTATCTACACAGACAATGATGCTTCTCATACAGTGCTAGATATTGGCAGAATAGAATTGCGGTACTTCATTTCGAGGTTGAGGAGACGGCTCTTACCCACCGAGGTATCCAATGAGTAGCATCGAGGCTTGTAATCTGCATGCATTGGATCATGGTGGAAGACAGACAATGAAATTGATGCTGTGGTGTCTATACAGGTCTCCGAGCGACCCTCCAATATTCTACAAATCCCGTATCCCTCCCATAGTCCAGTGTCGTGCCCACGCTCCGAATGACCGCATCTATTTGTTCTTCTTTGTCTGCCAGACTGTAGTAGGGATTCTGTTAGATGTTTTCTCGTAATGTATATCAGCGAATCGGGCGCCTCACCAGCAAGGAGGAATGGCAGGGAGAATCCGGTGGCTGCGAATGTTAGCACAACCCAGTGATTGCGACGCGCCAGTGCGTACCCATAAATCCCCAGTACTTGAAGGCGAAGCCCCTCTTCAGCGGGTCAAATGGCAAGTTGCTGCGTGGGCCCTCGGGGTAGTGGTATGGGCTGGCGAACTGGGCGCGGGTGGACTGGAAGCCGCGGCGGGCGACGAGCGTTGGGGCCGAGGCGGCGCGGAAAGTAGCACGGGCAAGCATCTACGGAGGTCAGCTGTTGTTGCAATTGGCGTGTAGTTGGGGCGTACTTTGTCTGTGTTGTAGAGTGGAGAGGTTGCGGAGTTCTGGTCGCGGTGGTTCGATGAGTTGCAGCTTCCACGGCGGCCATGTCTTGGCAATGACCCGCTTAGTAAGGACCATCAAAGTTTCTCGATCTCCGTTGCGCTTGCCTTCTATAATCTTTCGCGACAGGTCAAAACCGCCTGTCTAATCTACCACACAACCCCGCAAGACAAACGCACTCAACCGCGAACAGAGTGAAATCAACCACCCACCATGGACGACGACATGTTCGACGTCTTCGAGGGCGGCCCTTCCAAGGACACGGCGCCCCGGAAGAACAAGAAGCGCCAGGCGAATGGCACCGTTAAGTCGCCTGAACCCGTCGCTGACACTGCTATGGCTGATGCGCCTGCAGAGTCAGCTGAGGCCACGAACGACAACAGTAGCGCGCAGGCTCTGAAAAAGAAGCAGAAGCGCGATGAGCCCGAGCCTATAGTTACCGACGATTTCGAGACAGAGCAGACGCGCGAAATGGCCGCCGCAGCGGGTCTCCAAGCGCAGTCGCAAGAAGGTCAGGCAGTGGTGCTTTCGCATCAAGTCCGCCATCAAGTCGCACTCCCTCCGGACTACGACTACGTCCCCATCTCTGAGCACAAGGCCCCCGCAGAGCCCGCGCGCGAGTGGCCTTTTACTCTAGATCCCTTTCAGCAGGTCTCCATCGCCTCGATCCAGCGAAACGAAAGTGTTCTGGTATCAGCGCATACCTCTGCCGGAAAGACAGTTGTGGCAGAATACGCTATTGCGCAATGTCTCAAGAACAATCAGCGAGTCATCTACACCAGTCCTATCAAGGCGCTCAGCAACCAGAAGTACCGAGAGTTTATGGCAGAGTTTGGCGATGTCGGTCTGATGACTGGTGATGTCACCATCAACCCCACTGCAACTTGTCTGGTCATGACGACGGAGGTATGTACGGAACGGGCTTGAGGTTGATTAAGACTGACGTATCCAGATTCTGCGCTCCATGTTGTACAGAGGTTCCGAGATTATGCGCGAAGTAGCCTGGGTCGTGTTCGACGAAGTTCACTACCTGCGCGACAAGTCAAGAGGTGTTGTCTGGGAAGAGACGATCATTCTCCTACCGGACAAGGTCCGCTACGTCTTCCTCTCCGCCACCATTCCCAACGCCATGCAGTTCGCCGAATGGATCACCAAAACCCATAGCCAGCCGTGCCACGTCGTCTACACCGATTTCCGTCCGACGCCGCTACAGCACTATTTCTTTCCCGCTGGTGCCGACGGTATACATTTGGTGGTAGACGAAAAGGGTGTGTTCCGCGAAGAGAACTTCCAGAAAGCCATGTCTTCCATCGCGGACAAGGGCGGAAGTGAGGCCAAGGACTTCATGGCGAAGCGTAAAGGCAAGGGCAAGGACAAGAAGACCAACACGGGCGGCAACAAGGACCAAACGGATATTTACAAGATTGTCAAGATGATCATGGTCAAGAGCTACAACCCGGTCATTGTCTTCAGTTTCAGTAAGAGGGAATGCGAGAACTACGCACTCTCCATGAGCTCGCTCGCTTTCAACGACGATTCTGAAAAGGCCATGGTGACCAAGGTCTTCAACAGCGCCATCGAGATGTTGTCCGAGGAGGACCGACAACTACCCCAAATTCAGCACATTCTCCCCCTTCTCCGGAGAGGTATCGGTGTTCACCACTCCGGACTTCTGCCTATCTTGAAGGAGACCATCGAAATCTTGTTCCAGGAAGGGCTGATCAAGGTTCTTTTCGCGACAGAAACCTTCTCCATCGGATTGAACATGCCGGCCAAGACAGTCGTTTTTACCAGTGTGCGCAAATTTGACGGAGTATCACAGCGATGGGTCACACCTTCTGAGTTCATCCAGATGTCCGGTCGAGCTGGACGTCGTGGTCTCGATGACCGCGGTATTGTCATCATGATGATTGGCGAGCAAATGGAGCCTGCTGTGGCTAAGGAGATTGTCCGCGGTCAGCAGGATAACCTCAACTCAGCTTTCCATCTGGGCTACAACATGATTCTCAATCTCATGCGAGTTGAAGGCATCTCCCCCGAGTTCATGCTGGAGAGGTGTTTCTTCCAGTTCCAGAGTACAGCGGGTGTCTCCAACCTGGAGAAGCGTAAGTGCTCATGCATAGCGTTCCATCGCAAATACTAACATTACCACAGAACTTGAAAAGCTCGAAGAAGAAAAGGCGAACACCAACATTGTTGACGAGCCGGCCATCAAGGACTACTACAATTTGCGACAGCAACTGGACACCCACACCAAGGACATGCGTGACGTGATCATGCAGCCAAACTACTGTTTGCAGTTCCTGCAAGGTGGTCGATTAGTAAAGATCAAATTCAAGGAATATGACTTTGGCTGGGGTGCTGTTGTAGCGTACACCGCTCGCAAGGCTAACAAGGGCGAAGTTCTGCCACCTCAAGAATCCTACATTGTCGACGTTCTACTACCAGTCAGCAGCGACACCAAGTTTGTGCCAATGGCAAACGACGGCCTGCCGCCTGGTGTGCGCCCACCTGCGGCGGGGGACAAAGGCAAGATGGAGGTTGTCCCTGTGGTCCTGAATTGCATCGAATCAATTGGTCATCTCCGTGTATTCCTGCCTAACGAGCTCAAGTCAACAGAGCAGCGGAACAATGTTCGCAAAGCACTGAGCGAGGTCAAGAAGCGCTTCCCTGACGGAATTGCTATCTTGGATCCGATCGAGAACATGGGCATCAAAGACGACAGCTTCAAGAGGCTGCTAAGGGTAAGTTTCAACATGAAGAATCTGCATTCTTGTCTAATACTGTGCAGAAAATCGAAGTACTGGAGTCCCGTCTTCTCTCGAACCCTCTCCACAACTCGCCTAGGCTACCCGAGCTGTACAGTCAATATGCGCAGAAGATTGCGATTGGTGAGAAGATCAAGAACATCAGGAAAGAGATTGCGAACGCTTTGTCGGTCATCCAGTTAGACGAGTTGAAGAGCAGGAAACGTGTGTTGCGACGCCTCGGCTTCATCGACGAAGCCGATGTCGTGCAGCTAAAGGCCCGTGTCGCTTGCGAAATCAGCACTGGTGATGAGCTCGTGCTTAGCGAGCTGCTCTTCAACCGTTTCTTTAATGAGCTGACGCCAGAGCAGTGCGTCGCTTGTCTTAGCTGTTTCATCTTCGAGGAGAAGACGCAAGAAGTACCAGCGCTCAAAGAAGAGCTTGCCAAGCCATACCGCGAGATCCAGCAGCAAGCTAGGGTCATCGCCAAGATGTCGCAAGAGAGCAAGCTGACAGTCAACGAGGAAGAGTACCTCAAGTCGTTCAAGTATGAGCTGATGGAGGTTGTCTACGCCTGGTCGAAGGGTGCGACATTCGCACAGATATGGTATGTCCGCTTTGTTACCGTCGCAATTAACGGCAACTAACATTTGGGCAGCAAAATGACCGATGTGTACGAGGGAAGTCTGATTCGTCTGTTCAGACGACTAGAAGAGTTGCTTCGACAAATGGCCCAGGCCTCCAAGGTCATGGGAAGCGAAGAGCTTGAGCAAAAGTTCACTGCAGCACTTGAGCTCGTCCGCAGGGATTTGGTCGCAGCCCAGTCCCTGTACTTGTAATGCGTGATAGCATGTCTTGTATATTATGGTATTGGTGGGAGTATTTGGTAGCGTCGTCGTTCAGCAGGTAAGTATGGCACTCACATGGCGTTCTCCTTTATGCGGTTGAATGAAAACGCCACCGGACATGCCATTGTCTCAGGCGCACGCAAGGAGCTTTCGACGCTGTGTACCTCAAGGAAGGGGCACAGCGTTAATGCGTCCTGGATAGAAATTCACTTGATCTGATGCTGTGGGCTTGCACCATGGCTGAGGATCCCCCACGTACATTTTTCCAGACGTGCATGGTGATACGTGATGCGATATAGATAGTGCCGCCCTAGCCGCCGAGGTTTCTTTTTCCACGAGGGACCACCCGAAGTTTGGGCATGAAGGGGCGATTTTGCGGGCAAAGCAAAAACGGCGAGAAAATCCAACCTCAACCCCAGATGAAAGGGCAATTATCGTGGTTGACATCGATGACATGTGACGTGATTGGTTGCGTGCACGGACTTGCCGGTTGTTAGCATATTCTTGGGCCTTCGTATGGCTCTGCTGTCTCCACCACAGCAACAACACAACACCCGACACCGCTCTACGGCCGACGCAACGAGAGCCCGCCCATTGCATCACCACCCAGACATCGCTATCCGGCTCCCAACAAAGCAGGCGTGCGAAATCACTGCGTTTGCGGGCCCTTTCCTCGTCATGAGTGTGCAGTACCAGCAGACATTCACGCCCCCTCATCTCTTGAACAATAACCGCCGCTCTCCCTCCCGCAACCGTACGTCCACTCGCTGCTCGCAACACCTCAACTCATGTCAGCCACTAACTTTCACCCCCGCGCAGTCTTCTCCCCTTCTGCCGCAATGACTGGCCGCAAGCGGAAAGCCGAGGACGATGGCAGCGCTGGAGACGACGACCGCATGAGTGCATCGCCCACGACATCTTCCGCCGTACTCCCACGACCCGCGCCGCGAGGCATGAAGCGCATGCGAACCAACATCTCCGGCCGCCCACTCCCGCTCCCTCGCCTCCTCGAGACCCTTAGCCCCGACGAGATGCGCAACCTGCTGCAGTCCATTTGCCAGCGCCACCCGGACATCGGCAACGAAGTCGTTACAACCGCGCCCCGGCCAAGCATACAGTCAACGTTGGAAGTCCTGTCAAAGTACGAGGCGGCGTTCCAGGCAGCCTTCCCCTTTGGCGGCCGTGCATCATCAGACTATGCATACAATAGGGTGCGGCAACAGCTTGATGAACTGCTCGACTCCCTCAAGGACTTTACACCTCACTTCCTCCCGCCGCACGAACACCAGCCCGCCACATCGCTCGCCTTCCTCGACGGCGCCACCGAGATCATCCATCGTCTACCCAACTGGGATACGTACCAACACAACCGGCACAAGCAAGAGGCGTACGAGGAGATGGCTAAGGCATGGGCGATAGTCATCCAGGAGGCAGCGAAGAAGGCGGGAGGAATACAGCTCCAATACGGCGGGTGGGACCAGAAGATTGCGAAACACAATGAGATCTCGGGCGGAAAGATGCAGGAGGCAGTCAACGAGCTGCGCGGAGGACTCGGCTGGATGGGCGCAGAGACACCCAATACCGCCGCCGGCGGATCCAACGATGCCATGTCCATCCGCCAGCAGCTGCTGAGCGGAAACTACGGAACTGGCTCTCCCGCAAGCATAGGCGCATGGTAGATCGACACAGCAACGCCCCTTGATCATCGATCGATCGTCATCACCATACCACCACACTCTACTCCCCATTCATCACAGCATTACTACCATGGCGATCTCCCAACAATTACGGCCTAATCCATACCCGCGAATGATACCATTGCATGGAGGCATATTCCCATGATAACGACTGCATAGCGTTTCCTTTAGGTCTTTGTTCACGTACAACAGCATCTCGCAGGTGGTTCATCATTGCATTGGCGTACCGGTACGGCTGCGACATCCACTACAAAGAAGACCCCGAACCTCTGATCTTTGTGCTTTACTGTTTTCGCCTGTTTGGGGGCGTAATGTTTTGTCATTATTACATGTTATGTACCCGGTTTAGGGGTTACCGTGCGGCGACGGATTGCACTCTTTTTTTTTTACTTTGTCTTTTGGGTGGAGAGGAAGGATCATGCTCAGCCCTGCGAGGGATTGGGATAGCGGATGGAAATGGATGGATGGTATATAGGTGGGTGGAAAGCTGAATTCAACTGGAGTATGGAGAAGAATAGACCTTTTTGTGTATATATTGATCGACATTTGACTATGGTGCTCGCGGTACTTGAACGTCGCTGGCTACCATGATATCCATGGTTGTTTTAGAGTTCGTCGCGCGAGGATATGCATCCGGTGTATTCTTGGCCGGGCACTCTTTCCCTCTGAGGTGTTGTTTGGCACCTTCACGTGGCAGCGCGCGTTAGCGCTGCGCCTCAAATCCACGGCGGCAATCACGACCCTTGGCCTGAGGCCGCACCTCCACTTTCAGCTTGCTGCGCTCGTTACGTCTCATCCTCACCTTCACCACCGCAGTTCTCTTGCTGTCATTTGCGTTGCTACGTGTCTCCCTGTACTCTCAACGTCCACCGCCCTTCTCGCTTGTATTCAGGTTCAGCCTGCCATCAAGTCGAGATGGCTATCACCAAACGCTTGCCTGCACTCAAGGTCGAGGTATTCGTTACGGGTGTTCCACTGGAGGAGCACGTCGACGACGACGATCAAGGGGGTCAGCATGAAGTTACAAAGTACATCGAAGCTTCGTGTGGTGACAACTTCGAAGTCAAATACTGCTTCTCCCCTGGGTTCAGCATACGTCACGCCATGTTGGTAGAATTATGTCTTGACGGGGAGTATGCCGATTCCGCTGTCTTCAACCCTGGCAATTCTATTCGCTGGAACAACATGTATTACTTCAAGGGATTGCGGGAATTCGAAAAGGGCGAATACTTTTTGCGAAAGTTCTGTTTCTCCCAGCTCGAAATTGGTGATTCCGTCTTTCTCTCTTTCTTGAATGGATCAATTGCTGACTCTTACTTTAGATGACGGCGATCCACGCGCATTCGAGGACTCACTAAAGAAGAAGCTCCATAAAGTGGGAGTCATATCTGTACGCTTCTACTGGGTGACAGCTACCGCAGCATCAACCCCAGCAGATACAGTGCAAAACAAGGAGAGTCTCAGTGTTGTGCCAGAGAAAGCCCTCAAAGGCAGCGCGCTATCCCATCAGGCTACGTCAGTAAGCTCTTGTTCCAATATTCCCAAATGCTTATCTTGTGACTAGCTACGGCGCACGAGAAGTCGGCCAGTCTTACAGTACATGTAGAACTACCAAGGTCGAGGAATCGCCATTCGCGGAGTTCACGTTCAAGTATCGCTCCAGAGGTGTGTTAGCCTTTCGTGGTCGCTGTATTCCTGCTAATACCGATTCCATCTAGCTGCTCTCAAATCCCTCCTCATCATCCCACGAACCCCTAGCCCGGTACCGCTCGAAGAACGCGACGTCAACACACTCACCTTGGAAGAATCTCGCGAGCTCATTCGTCTCCAGCGTGGGCAGAGGGACGCCGCTCCAGTCATCAAGCGAGAGGGTGTCAAACGGGAACGAAGCAGCACCATCATCAGCGAGGATCCAGACGACGACGTTACTTTCGTGTCTGCCAAGCGCAGACGGCTTCCCATTATTCTCGATGAGAATGGTGCCGAGATCATCGATCTAACATAGAGAAGGGTCGGTGCCTGTGCCTTGGTCGTGGCAGATTCTGGCTTTTCTGTCGTTCTTTCGAAGGCTCTCTAGCTGTTTGCGGCGCCGTTCTGGTTGCTGGCGTATACACAAGGCGTTACGGACTGACTTCAGCGCAAAATACCGCGGAGTGGTTTCACCGTAGTCACCTTGAGTACAAGCAAGGACTAGTTCCAATTTCTTCATTCCAGCGTCTTTATCAGTTGTTTTATGGGCTTGTAGATTGGTCACCTCTCTCACCTGAGCAACTGCGAGCCTCAAGCGAGCACGATCCTTGTGGCTGACCCCTCTAATCAGTCCCTAGAGACATTGTCTACTCAGTCGCTCGCAGGTTCTTCTCTTCTCTCTTCAATCCAACGCCATGGCCATCGCAACAGATATACCAGGTCTTCAAGTCACTATCGAGGTCGACGGGACAGCACTAACAGAGTACGAACATGGAATAATCGAAGATGATGACACTGCGACCTCTGCAACCAGGTATATCGGAGCGCCGCTAGCTGGCAACTTCTCCATTCGCTATCTGTTTCGTCCGCCTTTGAGCCGGCACTCGGCAGTGCAAATGGATGTATTGCTAGACGGTAACTACGTGCAAGCTCCATTTGTCGAGTGGGGTGGGAAGGAAGATTGCGAGGGATACATTTGCTCACGATCCACTTCGTCGATTGGCGGGCACAGCTTTACCCAGGGCTTTCAATTCGCTGAGCTGAGAACCAGTGAGCTCTTTTGTCTCGATATCCATTATAACGGCCGCTAACAAAGCGAAGACAAGATCAATACTCAAATGACTCAAGACCTCGCGGATCGGCTTTCACCCATTGGCCGCATTGTGCTCTACTTCTACTTCATCGAGCATATGGAAGCAGTGACGCCGGCAGAAGTACTTCAGCTTGCTATCAACGACTTTGATGCTCTCAGCGAGAAAGCATTGCACAAGGCGTCTGCGATGCAGGGCGATCAACTGTCTCATCAAACTAGGTACGTTCTTTCCACACATCACGAGGAAGGATGATCGCTGACATAGCCGCCAGTCTTACAGCACCTAAGCAGCGTGATACCATCACTTACAACGAGGTCAAGACGACTGAAAACGAGCCTTTCGCAACGTTCACCTTCTATTACAGATCGACCAGTCAGTCACACGCATACATAGCCAAGTTGTAATGATAGCTGACAGTCACCCAGATGCACTTAAGTCCATGGGCGTTATTCCGCGCAACCCAAGTCCTTACCCGGAGCCAGAGTCAGATGCCGAAGATAGGGATCCAGAAGACATGACCGAGGAGGAGCTGAGGGCGGTGGTTAGACGTATGCGCGTAAGTCGCACCACATCTTGAAAGCATGTGCTTCGTCTTTTACTGACCGTCAAACAGGAGAAGAATCAGAAAGCAATCGCTATCAAGCGCGAACGCGACAAAGAGCGAGAAGGCAGTGAAGATACCCTAGTTGGTGATGAGGTCGAGTGGATCGGCAGCCAGCCGGCACATCCGATTGCGAAGAAGATACGCCGCGCTCCTGGTCCTGATGACGAGGTCGTGGCTCTGGATGATTGAGCGTATTCGACATTCAGGCTCTATGATTATATGACTGTGCCATTCTCAGTCATTCTGGCGCATCCTAGGGCTGGAGAATTAGACACCATCGCTAGGTCATCATCATTGGGGGCAATGCTGGTAGCATTATCGGACGATTATTCATTCCGTAACCATCTATTCATGCGTGTCTTTACATCCTGCCTCTTCGTTCTACTCCGCTCGTTTATTTGGGGTGCTGGAAATCTGCGTCGAATCTCAGGTCATTCGAAGGGAAGGAATCACCAACGCGATAGCCACGTTCACCTCTTGTAATGGAGCGCGTTATTTTCGTGACGCGTCGAAGCCTAGAACCCTTAGGGATATCGTCTCTCAGTTGCCAATACCCGCCTTCACCTCGGCTTCCGCCCTCCAGCACCGACAAATCCAGTTGAGGTGAAGCCTTCTTTCTAGGACATGCCTCTACCATATTCTACGCATCGTAGATCTATCGCGGCTTCATTTTACCATCATTCCTTCTCTCATATCGCACTACCATCATACCTTCCCCAATGGCAGTCATCGATGAGGCCCCCGGGCTCGAAGTTCAAGTCCAAGTTGATGGCAACCCGCTCCGCGAGTACATCGACCGCCATACTACCGTATCGGAAGCTACTTCAGAAAGCTACATCGAAGCAAAGTCAGACTCAACTTTCGAAATCCACTACTCCTTCAAGGCGCCTTTCCCTATCGACCGCCCTGTGTCCATGATCGTCACCATCGACGGCAAGGATGTCGATGAGCCGCTTATTCGCCCCGACGAGTTGTACGACGCAAATTGTCACGTCAGCTCTGGAACTATATCGAACGATGGTAAGAACTGGTTCACACAGCACTATCGCTTCTCGCCGCTTGATATCAGTAAGTCATCTTCATCTTCCTCAGACTGACAGTATACTAACGGGGTGCAGGAGAGTACAGCGAGGGGCGCATTCCAGAAGACCTAAAGAGCAAGCTGTAGCCTATTGGCATCATAACCTGCGAGTTCTATTTCCTCGACAACGCAAGACGCAACCCGAAGATGGCCTTCGTACAGAAAGAGCTGGAGAAGCTGGATATGGTCAACGAGAAAGCCATCAAGGGCGAGTCGCTGTCGCATCAGGCAGTGTACGTATGACTCAACCTGGATGTTACGATGAGCTAACATAGTCGCAGCCTCGGAGAGACAGAGCCCACGGAAGAGATTCAGTACTACGATGCGGATTATGCTGATGGCGGAGAACCGTTTGCAACATTCCACTTCTACTATCGCTCTCTTGGTAAGCATCGTAGATATGGGTCAACATCAAGCAAACACTGATTATGGAAATTATAGCTGCGCTCAAAGACCTTTACATAATCGAACGTACGCCTGAACCAATCGACGTTCTCGACAGCGACGACATGGTGCTCGGACAGTTGAACCGGGAACAACTAGAAGCTATCGTCAGGCGCTTCAGAGTAAGATAGTCTCCGTGACTTGCCTTGTACATGCTAACATGAACTAGGATCAAGAAGAGACCCGTGTACACATGAAGCGCGAGCTTTCCGACACCTCAACTATGGCAGGCGACGACCACAACGTCGGTAGCCGGGTCGGAGCTTGCGACGATGACTTCATCGAGATACGTTCAGTCGATCTGCGCAAGAAGAGGAAGCTTGAACGCGTTAGACAGATGCCAAGCGATATGAATGCGGTCATCGTATTGGACTGAGATATGCGAAAGGAGCCCGTGGAGGCCGACATGGCACCCATCTAGGAAGTTTTCACGAGATCAAGCTGCAATACATGATGAATTTACGGGTCTAAGTATCAATATCGATGTCTTCATGCCACTCAGACATTCGCATTGGTCGTGAATGACGGGTGTCAATGTTCAGTCAGATTCAAGAACACTGTAGCTTTACGCAGTATATGTACGACAAAAGGGCCACAACAGACCTCCAAGGCCCAGTGAGAAAGCAGTAGAGTGCACAGCGAACCTTTTGAACACATAAAGTTCCCACCACGTCAGCGATATCAAAACAATTTGCACAGTAACAGGTTTAGAACAACCGCAGAAATGTCACCCCAATACCTCGACGTACTGGCCAGCAGGTCTGCCAGCACACCCACCAACAAACCCACCAACACACCCACCAACATCCCACGTCTAGACCACCTCACGCTCCCCACAATCCAAAATGGCTATCAAACCCGCTTTTTCACAGCCGTCGACCTGACGTCAGCCTGTCTAGATAGAATTCGCGAAACAAACCCCACATTCCATGCCGTGGCAGAAATAAACCCCGATGCTACATCCACCGCCCAACACCTCGATGCCGAGCGACTCTCAAAAGGCCCTCGAGGACCCCTCCACGGCATACCCATCTTACTAAAAGACAACATACCCACTTTGGACGCTACATCCACGACATGCGGTAGCATGGCCTTAGTCGGAGCCAAACCGTCTCGCGAAGCCGACGTAGTAAGCGCCGTGCGAAAAGCAGGAATGGTGATATTGGGCAAGGGAAACATGGCCGAGTGGGCTGGTTTCCGCTCAACGAGCGGGTGCTCGGGCTGGAGTGGAAGAGGAGGTCAGACAACAGGTATATACTATCCTGGTATGAAAGCAAGTGGGAGTTCAGGCGGCTGTGCTGTAGCTGTTGCGCTGGGGATGTGTTTCGCAGCTTTGGGAACAGAGGTACGTTACTTTCACACAGCCACGTCAACGTAGGAAAAGACTCAACACCCTGGAGCCTACATCGATGCTAGGTCACCTAATTTGCCTGTTGTGATCTCGATGTAGTCTGCAGAGCTGTTCAGTTTTTTTCTTGTATGAGGTGCAGCCTTTAGTGATCCAAGCTAACATAATACAGACATGCTATTCGATCGTCTCTCCGGCCGAGAAATCCGGTATCATAGGCTTCAAGCCAACGCGTAATCTTCTCTCCTCCGCAGACCTCATTCACGCATCGAAGAGGTTAGACACCGTTGGTATCCTCACGCGAACAGTATCGGATGCGTCTCTCCTTCTCATCGGTCTAGTCCAACATAGCGACCATCTTCCCTCTCCGACAAAACAGAAAATAGTCCAAGACCTCAGCACCGCAAATTCAATTCCCCACCTCCACGGCATCCGAACCGGCATCCCCAGTTCCCTGTCCGACATGCAAAACCTACCTGAGTGCAAGAAGACAGCATTCGAAAGGACGCTCAAGTTGTTAGAAAGCGCCGGCGCAACCATTATCCGTAGCGTCCACGTCACCGGAGCTAAGAGCTGGGAAGCTCTCCCACAAGAAGCAAAAGACATCATTATAAACACAGACATGAGGATTGCGATAAACGAATACCTTTCTTCTCTCGCTACAAACCCGCACAACGCACGTAACCTCGAAGACGTCATTAAATTCACAAAAGGACACCCAGAGGAGCAGTATCCCCAGCGCAACGTCGAGGGTCTGGAGAGGGCGCTGGCTTCTGATCCGAACAATCTGCTTTACAAGACCATGCTGGCGAGAGACGAGTACTACACAGATGAAGGTGGTATCGAAGCAGCGCTTTCTAGAAAATGCTGTGATGTTATGCTTGTGCCAACATTAAGTGTTACTATGCAGAGCTTTGCTGCGAAAGCGGGGAGTCCGGTTATGAGTGTGCCGATAGGTGCCTTCCCACGGGATACGCCCGTGGAGAAGGACGCGAGGAATGAATTGGTTAATTTGGCGCCTGGGATACCGTTCTCGGCGTATATTTTTGGGCGGGCGACGAAGGATGAGGATATGGTTAGAGTCGGGCATGTGTTAGAGCGGTTGACGAATGTTAGAGAGACGCTGATGTCGTATGTAGATGCGGAGGCTAGGGTTGGGGTTACCGCAGGGCCTTGAACTCTGGCTGTTAGGTAAAGAGCACGGGAACTGTAGAGGGTTGGCACGGTAGATATGGGAACAAAGAATAACACCAAGGAGAATACCAATGGTGGTAGATGTGAGAACCGATTCAAGATGAAACTCTCAGTATCCGATGCTATGCTAGTGAACATGAACCCGGGCGGTAGATGAGCCTGCTTGTAGTTCACGGTACTGTTTCAGTGAAAACTTTGTATCCAGTGAATGCTCCGTATTCAGCATTCCATACGCGCTGCCTGCTGTACGATGCCATAATGTGCCTTCGAAGTGTCCTCAGTCAAGCGATATAACTTCGTCGGTGCTGGTGGGGAAGCAACGTCGCTTCGCGGGTCGCTCCTCTACCATCTCCACGTCTTCGTATTCATAGTCGTCATCGGGATGGTCGCGCTTACGAGCCTGGGTCTCCTCGTGCTTGAGCTGCGGTATTCTGTAAGCTCGTGTCCTGATAGGACGTAATGAGGGAACCTACGTAGATCTTCTGTACCTGCTCCTCCAACAAATCTTCCTTGACGGGCTCCGGGCTAGGCGTGCGAGGGATGATAGACAGATACTTGAGAGCTTGCTTGGACCGGTACCGGAACTCAATCTCAGCAAGAGGGCGAGAAGGGCTGTCGACATAATCTGCATCCATGAACGTGACGGGTGCAATGCGGTGCAGCGGGTCCAGGCTGCCAGAACTGTTAGCGCTTTACAAAGAGAGAGGTCATGCTATGCATACGTCGTCTTGTGCGAGACAGACGAGCCTTTCAGTGCCTTCTCAGGGACCTCATCGTACTCTCTCATAGACGGTACGTTCTTCCACCCGCGGGCGAGGCGTACGTTAGTGACCCGATGGAAAGTGATTGAGATGTTGCCAGTCCATTTCAGCTGCTTCCAAAGCTCGTGGTCGATCTCGTGGTTCTCGTCGTCTGGGCTTGTTAGCGGCATGGCACCAATACTGACTGGCTAGACTTACAAGTGTTGAGCTCAGCGAAGCGGAAGCACTGGCCGACATATTTGTGACCGATAAGCGCGCTGCTGTCATTGACCTGTCTTGAGATGCCGTAGAGGTTGTACTTGTGCTTCTCGAAGATGAACTTGCGCATGTCAACACCGTCAATGTTGACAATGACCTTGATGCTGTGGTGGTCGAAGACGTAGCCGGGGATGAAGAATCGAACGCCAAATTGCTCGCCCGCTTCGGCCTCGATGTAGACGACCTTGCTTTCGGAGTTAGCGTCTTCCTGGTCAGTATGTTCTTTGACGGGGCGGCCATCCACGAGGACGGTCGCCTCGAGCTTGGGGAAGAGGGAATGGGGTGCCATGACAAGAGTTTCGTGGCTGTGGTGAAGGGGAGTCAGAGGAAAAAAAGGTTGCCTAAATCACGCTCTGTCACCAAACAAACTGTATTGCTGGGGGAAGGAGCAGTGAGTACGTAAGCAGCCACGTGCTTCATGCCCAAGAGGAAGGCAGGACGCAACACTGTCCTCGCCGTCTTCACCGCTCACCTCACCTGTTTGTCTGACCTTTGATCTGGTCAACGTGTAGCCTGCAAACGCCGCTCTCCTTGCACTGAACGTCACACCAAAGTTGACCCTGAAGGTATACAGTGCCTTTCCATCTCTTACAGGAACATTTTCAGCGCAGCGTATACTTCCAGGGTACACTTTTGGTATGCATACCTCCGATAGTATAAGCATATGTGTATATCCAGGTACGTTATGATATATGGAGCCCACACTATACAGAAGTATGTTTACCTCAACGGCCGTTCTGACATTAGACTGCGCGAGACGATGAAGTAATGTACCCGCCCGTCTCGTCCTAGAAACTATCGTCCGCTACAAAAGAATGTTCCGAGGCCGTAGCCTAAACTCCAATAATGCAACGCTTGAGTGAAAATGAATAGCGAAAGAACGTGTCATAAATTCTCGTGATCGTATCGTAAGTGTCGAACCGGTAATAGGATGTCAGCCGCATTACATCTTTTCCTCCGGTACTGGTTCATTCAGTCGTGCCTGTCGTGACTTTCTTCGGAAAAATGCTTGCAAAGAGAACATCACTAGCAGTATCAGCGCGTTAACGGCCAGTACGATCTGCAACCACTTGACGGTGACCTATGATGATGTTAGTGAGCTGTGTCGCAACGTACTTCTTTGTAACTGACCGCCTCGGCACATGCTACGCTGGCATTTTCACGGTCTCCCCTTGGGATAAAACCCGGTTGGTAATTGCAGGTTGCCATCTCGCGCGTACAGTATACGTTGGTGTTCATTTGACCACTCATCATGAGCCTTTCGGAAGTGCAGCCCCACTTATCGTCGCCTCGTTCAGTGTAGTGAAGCACGACAGCTGCGATAGCCGTGGCAGACCCAGCAATTGTGGTGACAACAATGCTGAGCATCCAGAAGCGACGTGTGCTCTACTGGAAATTAATTGGGGTCATTCATGTTGGGATCGCGATACGTACACTATTGTACTGCGAGTCCATGTCCGGTTTCCGCAACGTACTCCAAGCAATAAGAGCCACCACGGCCGCCGTCAGATTCAAACATCCGGAGACAATGGTGGCATCTGTTGGCGCCTCTCTGAAATAGACAATCGTGTCATCGACGACGTATTGTTGCAGTCGGTCATTGAACTCGCTCGTTACTACTTTGATACCTCGAGGAATAACCCAGTCTGTGAGGATCCAATAATGCGTTGTCAACGCCACCGAGACCACGGATAGAAGGAGAAAGATGATCGACGGGACGAGGGCGAATTTGAGGATACTGTCATATCGTAGCATGTTGTCGTTTGGGAGTCGGTCCTACACCGGGGAAGGACGTTGAAAGAGATCGCCGGATTCCAGAAAGCGGAATGGCAGCCCGTAAAGACATGGGCATGGCCCTACCTAAAATAAGGCGCGACGCTCGTCCGTTCCCTGCTGCGCCGTTCCAACTACCAGTGCGGATGTCTAAAAGCTTGTCCGGGGCTCGGCGCTCATCATGACCCGCCTTTCGCACCGCCAATGTCAGACAGTATTAGGCTGCGCTATGCGTGATCGACGTGACAATAGCAATACTCAGAACGACTGGACATCATGAGAGCCTTCCTGTCGCGCGATTGTCTTTCAGAGGCCCTCGCCGCCTGCGCCGTGAATCCGTCTGATGTATCTGCCGTGTTTGTATAGCGTCCCAGCCACTCGCGCCGCGGCCTTCACCGCATAATCGGCAGTGACTCCGAGGCCTCTGACAACTGAAAGGACGCGCTTCATGTCCGCGCCGCTGGTCGCCTGGCTGGGCGTAAAGAAGATTCGTCTATGATTGGCAATGTTCCCAGGGACGTAGCTCTAGTTGGAGTTGAACAACGTCATCATGGCCCCGTGAGGAAGCGAGCCGAGTTCCGTGGATGGTATTGCCAAGACTCACGTACTTGCTGATTTGCCGGGCCATCCGACACCATAGCCCATTGCGCACATACATCACCACTTTTGGCTCAACGTTAAATGCAGGTACGCAGCGGGGAAACTGGGGTTGCGTGGTTGGCACGACCAGCCTCGAGATATTTGCACTGTTGATGACGCAGTAAGGGCACGTGCTTCACAGTCTAGGCGGCGCTACATCCTCGAGCCAACACCATCTTTTACACTTGCATCGTATTGTTCCTTCAAAGTAATGCACGTCAAGTAACAGGTGCCTCACTGCACTGTCGACATGATATGGACAGTATGTTTAGGCAATTCTTGCATCGGAATCGTCGACCCACGGCTCTTGGAATACACTTGCCCCGAATGGCCAGTCTCGCTAGACTTGACATGTAACACAGCCACCCCAGTACCATTCCGGCGTTCCTCCGCCGGCCGAATTACAACATCAAAAGCACAGACTTTGGGTTTTAGGCTCTTTGACTAACTGGCCACTTCCACGCCCAAATGTGCTCTCTTAAATTCCAGCCTCTCTCGCGAACTGGATCCCGAAGACGTACGTTCTCTAGCGGGGTCCGAATCATAGCTTCGTTCGGCCAGCTGAACAGTGACACCTGGTATCTCCCTAGACAGGTGCGATCGTATTGCGGACAGGTAAATCTCCAGCACATGTCTCTTGTGCGCGGGAACGAGCACACTCACATGCCGTAGCGATTGGAGCAACTCCCAATCAGGTATCTCCATATCCTCTATAAGGCTGCACATAGAATGCGGCCCGACCAACAGCGAGGTTATGAGCTTGAGGTTGTGAGTTCCCACAACCCTCACCAGCCTATCCCAGAACCAACAGGAGGTAATATCGAAGGTGCAAGTACTGATGAAGACAGAAAATGCCTCATACTTGATCTGACGTAACACGTGGAATAGAGCTGCAGAATTTGGTGGGGGTCGCCGAGAAGTGGCACTGGGTTCGTATAGCGAAACGTAGACACTGGAATTGGCAGATGTGTGTACGCGTAGATCTTGACCCGAAGCTCGACTGGAAGTTTCAAGGGCGGGGAAATCAACTGGTTACGTCTACCACTTGTGTGTTGTTCGCAATGAGCAATTCGATGGGTATACATGTCTTACATGATGTTGCAATCCTCACCGTTGCGCAGAAGAAAGGCAGACGGGGTATAATGGCCCGGGAATGACATGATATCAGCTCGGTGTCGCTAGGTTCGTTTTATGGAATTTTATTTCCAAGTAGAGTTGTTGTGTGGTGGAGGGAGCAAAGAGTCCTAGTAGCGCAGTCGAATCAAGACATTGAGAGGCACAGCCGACACGCCTCACAATGACATTTCACCCCTAGTGCAAAGAAAGACTTTGCCTTCACCTTGACCTACAATTGCGTGTGGAACAAACGGTTAATAGCACAACGTCGCAGAAGGGTTTCCAAGTACCATCTCCGCAACACGCGAAAGTCACAAAGCACAAAGACATGTTCGATAATGGAGAAATAACAAATTTCCAACTCGGAAAGATATATACGAAGTAATAAAAGGTATTTACAAGAACAGATGAATCCACAATCCCCTGAGCAACAGCTGACTCTATCAGAATCGCTTAGATCTTTCCGTAACCAGCAGACTGCTGGACGTTCTTAGCGCTGGCAGCGGTGCCGGCAGCGGCAATGTTCTTGCCTTTCATGCCAGCGAGAATGCTGGTGTCAGAGCCAGAAAGAGCACCAGAGCTACCGTAAACGTTGGGCTCGCAGTTGCGACCCATGGCAGACTTGCAGGCAGCGCCGTTGTTGCCAACAGCGAAGACCTTGCCGGGGAGACCAGCCTGAGCAGCAGCCTTGACGTTCTGGAAGACGTTGCCCTCAGCGATGATCTTAGCGCCAGAGTCGGCCTCGAAAGCGTGCTGGGAGTTGGCGTAGAAGTAGTTGTTGACAGCGTGGAGGAGAGTGTTACCAGCAACCTTGGGCGAGCGGCCGGAGGTGTGGTGGATGTAGTTGCCCTTGAGGGTGACCATGTCGTTGGCGCCGGTGAAGTACATGCCCCAGTAGTGGTGGGAGTCGCAGGTAGCAGACCAGGCGGTGGCACCGTTGATTTCGTTGTTGGTGATGGAGACACGGCCGGAAGCGGTGTTACCGAGGACAATGTGCTGGCGGGCGATCAGGTCGGTGGTGACGTGGTCAATCCAGATCATGTCGGCGCCGTCCACGGTGATGGCATCACCACCCCAGACGTATTGAGGGTTGATCTCAGTAATGCGGATGTTCTGGATAATGATGTTCTTAACGCCGCCGTTCATGCGGAGACCCTTGCCCTTGATGACACCCTTGCTGCCTTGCCCGATGATGGACTTGTTGCTCTTGACGGTAATACCGAGCACACCAGCCTTGTCGTAGGTGATGCTGCCGACCTTGGGAGAGCTGGCCTGGTAGTTGTCGCACCATCCGTTCTGGTTGATGGCGATCTGGCAGCCGGCGCCGGTACCCCATGGGCGGCAACCGGAGGAGGTAGCCTTACCCTCAGTACCAGTGAAGTCGAAAGTCTTGGTGAGGACGATGGTGCGAGGAGAAGCGTCGCCGAGGTAGCTGATGAGCTGTGCGGTGCTAGTTGGGTAGACAGGTGCGGCGTTGCCACCACCAGTTACACCTGAGAAGTGTTAGTATAAATCGGAGGTGCACACTGCGCACTACACTTACCCTTGGCGAAACCCTCAGCAGCGCCCTTGACGGCATCAGCTGCGTTGACGCTGGAAGCGAAAGCCGTAACAACGGCGACGAAGAGTGAGTACTTCATAGTGAAAAGTTATCGAGTCAAAGATAAAGAATGGATAGCAAACACAGTTTGCTGAAAAGAATGACAGGTGATGGATAAGAAGATGAGAGAGCGATACTAAGAATTGGATGATATGATATCCGGTGGCTGACCCGTTCCTTTATATCTCGTAGGATTCTTGGCTGGTGTTTGAAGCACGCCCCACTCACTCTACCTACGGGGGTATGTTTCTTTCGAGCATGCACCTGGACCCTTTGACGCCGTTCATCACCGACGGCAGTGGGTATCGGACAATTCGAATCGCTACCAGAAGCCAGGACGCGCATACCAGTGCCTGGAGCGTGCGGAAAGCAACTTCCACCACCAAAGAGTCATGAACAGGTCGACAGTGCGTAGTTTGGTGCTCATGCATCCATGGATAGGTAGCTCGACGGGCGTTTACAAACAGAATCGCGTTGCGGATGTAGCTTCGCAACGAGTCTAGTCCCGGCAGTCCCGCTGTTGTCGTTTCATGAACATAACAGGGCAGCCACTAGCTCCACAAAACCGTGCACGGGCCTGAATCGCTGGAAACATATTGATTAAGCTTATCCGACATAAGATGAGAGGACTGCCCCTTGCGGGAGGTAGAAGACCTGGTCTGTGGCTCATGAGGCTGAGCTTTGCGAAATCCCAGGGTTCCATAGGAGTGATTGTTCCGATAGGTGGAATCTGCAAGCCAGCAACCAGGTTTGTCCGCGAACGCAAGGCTGACGAGAGATGAAATGTGACGAACAAGAGAAGAACACAAGACTAATCAAGGATTCCCTGAATCGTTGTTGTTCATTGCGAATACCGTTGGTTGCAGTAGTGATGCGATCAGTTAGCGCTGTCATCTGTCACGGTCAGCAAGCGCGCCATCCACCACAGATTCCCGGTTTGGTGGATGCGCAAAGTTTACATCGTTAAGTTTACTTCCCGGCTATAGAACGGGTAGTGGGAGACAACATCGCACGGACAGAATGTGGTGGTGGTGGTGGTGGTAAAGCATGGGAGATGGCGAACTGGTGAGGCTGGGTCCAATCGCGACACTAGCGCGTTTTACTTGCGGCTAGACGCCCACCACGTGGTTCTGCATGACGCCTTTCCCTACTCTCCAGTAGTTAGCCACGACAACGAAATGAAGCGACTCGAAGCCTGAACCTCTCCTCTGCGAGACTGCATAATCCGATTACGCAGCTCAACGTCGACTAATCACTGGACTGTGAGGCTTCCACGCGGTTCCCAGCAGCATGTGGGATCAACCACACAAGAGCAGCCGAAGCCGTCAAAAAGAGAGCAGCTCCTACCGCGCAGCACCGAGATATAGTAGCCAAGTCCCGCGTAGTTACCGGGATACCCATCGTCCAGAAAACTACGTCTCGTCGCCCACAGATTTGAGCTCGGACTACGACACCCCACGCCGTGGGTTCAACGAAGGTTTACCCCCCAATCATAGGCGATATGTGAATCGGGCTATGGATTCCGAATACGCTACGCAGAAGAGAGAAACAAGGGACGTGTACGGTTTCTCACAGCCTCACCCGAGGCACCCACCACGACCGTCTGGGCGGCCACAGTACAGGGCTCAGTCTCCAGATCCAGACTGCATTGCACAAGATTCTCAGTCTGACGAAGATTACATAGCCACGCCTGAAGTAAAGAAAGATGCTTGGAGAAATCGTCGGTCTCGCTACGATGACCGTTCCACTGACGATTCCTTGGGCAATGGCTCACCAATCCGCCCTTCTCCTCCAGAGAACTACAGTGATAGTCCCCCCTCAGACTACGCTCCTCATCCTAAAGCCAAGTCCGAAGATCGGAGGGTGAAAGCAGGCTGGGGCAACAGTGATTCCTTCAGCCAACCCCACCGTCTAAACCCTAGGGAACATGAGAACTACCGCGAAGCAAAGCAATTTCTCGACCGCTTCGAAAAGCTCCACAATCATAGCACGGATCGGTCCGACACCGAATCTTACAGCGATGACGGCCCAAGGAATCGCCAAGATAGCTTTTCCAGGCAGCACCCAGAGCCTGAGCGAGATGATGAAGATGACTACGCGCCAAGTCCACACAATTACCGAGAAAGACACCATAGCGACCGTACTCGTTGGAGGGATTCAGAAGAAGCTTACCACCGGTTAGAGGAGGATAGCCGCCGCAACCATCGCGAGCCTCGTGTAAGGAATCTAGACCCACGATACCCCTGGCCCAGTTCACACTGCCCGGACAGCTTCTCCCACAATGCCAGCAGCTTTTCGGCTCCTCCTCCTCCTCCAAAACATGTAGACCACTCGCGCCACCGACGCGGTTCCACATACTCAGACAATGACGACCATGCCACTTACTCCGACATAGCCTCTCTCCCCAGTACCTCACACTCCGATCGCCTCTCTCGCGTACCCACAGCCGTAGACTCAGAAGACTACTCTTCGCCACCCCCCAGAGTACCCTCACCACCTCCAGCTATATACCGACGGCACCGTGATAGCGGCAGTGACTACGCGCCCATGCCTGGCGCCTTCCGGAGCGTGAGCAGGAGTCGAAGTAGGAGTCCCTATGAGCCAGTAAGGGGCGGAAGAAATAGGAGCCCATATGCGTCATCTCCTGTTCGTAGTACACCTATCAGACATCGAAGGGGGAATGTGAGGTACAGGGGTGATAGTGATGATAATGGTGTTGCGGAGGGGAGTGACTATCTTCCTAGTGATAGTGAGGATGATGAGCGTATTAGTGGGGGTGGTAATGGCGTGGCAGAGGGAAGTGACTACGCTTCTAGCATAGATGGGCGGAGTGATGTTTGTGAGAAGGATAGTTGGGGTGCTAGGGTTGCTGGTGTTGAGAGGGCAGGCACTGGCGGTAGGCCGTATGGGAAGATGTGGTAATGGTGGTGGGTGTAAAGTGCATGAGGACGAGGAGATGAAGCTTGACGAAACGATGTAAATGTGTAATGACTTGGTAATATGATGGTTCTTTCTTATTTCATTCCTAGGTGTGGCGGAACGGCACCACTACCATTGTGTCAACACCTCACCTACCGCAAACATAACGTATACATACTCGTACACTCGTGCTGGTTCGCCAAATACATGCCGCTCCACATCTAAACCAAAGTACCTTGTCCTGTCGTATGGTACAGTGCCTCCTCCCTCCTCTAATTTATATATCTCTAGGCACTGACTGTCGTCGCCTCCGTAGCATCAGGTACACCCGCCTCAGCCAAAACTTGCTCTGGCTTGAGTTCAGCCGTCGACATAGGGCCCTTCGGCCATGGCTTCCCCCTCGCATCCTGAACACGGATGATCTGGTTCTTTGGTCCAGGAACGCAACCTGCAAATACGCTGTTAGCACCAACTCATGTAATCCGACTTTGCCTCTCATACCTTGAACAACCACGATACCATTCGGCTCATCAACCTGCAGCACCCTCAAGTTCTTCACCGTCACACTCTCGTTTCCCATGTTACCCGGCATACGCTTTCCAGGCAGCACACGCGAACCTGAGCCCTGTGAACCTCCGGCAGAACCCATACCACGATGCATGAGCGATTGACCGTGAGAAGCTGGTTGACCACCGAAGCCGTGCCGTTTCATGCCCTGAACACGTTTCCTGTTAGCATTCCATCCCAACTAGCATCACCCGTCCTCATGCACAAACAGAAATTCAGAACTTACACCAGCGAATCCCATCCCCCTACTTATCGCCTTAACATCCACCCACTGGCCCTTTGTAAACCACCCCGCGCCCACCATCTCCCCCACACCGACACCCAGCCCCTCCTCATCCTTAACCTTGAACTCAACAACCCACCTCTTGGGACTCACGCCCGCACCCGCAAAATGTCCCAACATAGGCCTTGTCACATTCCGCGCTTCTTTCTGCCCAGCGCCGATTTGCACAGCCCAGTACCCGTTCTTGTCTCTCCGCTTGTGCGCCACAACTTCATTGCGGTCGAGTTGCAGAACTGTGCATGCTGTGCGCTTCCCTGTTTCGGGTTCGTAGATGGATGTCATGCCCTTTTTCAAGGCGAGTAGACCGGTTCGCAGGGGCGTGCTGTGGGCTTTTCGCTCGAGTGCTGCGGTTGATGTGCTGGTGAGGGCTTCTCGCGTAGGGTGGTGTGCGAAGCGGTCGGGTTTGGGTGTGAATGTGGATTTTATGGTTCGGATCGATGTGTATGCGATGACGGGTCTTGAGGATATTTGTTGCGCATTTTGCTGGAGGAGGGAGCGCGCTGATGAGGGGAGAAGGAAGGAGGGCGGTAGTAAGCCCCAATTGAGGGGCGCTTTGGGCGGCATTGTGATCGTGGTGTTGTTGCGTTGGTGATGCGGCGCTGGCTTGTTCGCCGCGGATATTTTGAGATTCCCGGTCTGAAGCTCAGATTCGGCGCACGGACCATGTTGCGCACGTGTAGTCTGGTTCACAGTCAAGATCTGAGCTAGGCTCAATATACACTAGTAAATCATGGTGGAGTAATCACAGTCATGGAACATGTATGTCAACCCGCAAGCAGGTGAATACAGCACATCTGTTCAGCGAATTGTAGTTAGGGGTGAAAGCGACCGCGTGTAGGAGATGTTATGTTTTTGAGCTTTTAGAGCCATGTCCTGCAGGCGCAAGGTACCAAGATACAAGGAGACTATACAAGTCAGATACCACCCGTGCTCAACGCACCACTATATACTGGTCTCTCTCCTCTCTCCATAAATAGCAAGAAATTTTAGCAATGGGTATCCTCCAGGTTGTAGAAACGCCAAAACTCCTGCACCACACAGTGGCGCTTAATGTGACATACATGACCCATATCAAATAGGTTAACTCGACCCCCGCATCTCAGCGCAACGAAACGTCTAAGAAGACAGTAGAGACGCAGGATTTTGTCATACTTAACAACTTAGAGAACACTAGTGGCGGGGTTCCCTTGGACGACGCAATTGGCGGGAAAAGACTACGCGAGGTCAGTATAAACATGCTTGAACTAATATGGGGGTGATGAACTTACGCTTAAAACCACAGAACCCGGACGCACTATCGTGTTAGGACCAATCTGGACGCCAGCCGCGATCATGCAGTTATCACCAATGTACACGTTCTCCCCGATAAGGACCTCTTGCGCAACCTCTGTGCCGTTGCTGCCTTTTAGGGATTTGGTATCAGTAGGCGTCTTCAGAGTCTGTATAGTGACTCGAACCCCAATCTTGCAGTTCCTTCCGATGGCAATCCTCGCCGAGTCATGAAAACGACAATCAGCGCCGATGACGATATTTTCCCCCAAACTCAGGTGGTAGCCGTAGTCGCAAGCAAAGGGCGTCGCTACATGACAGTTCTTACCCATATGACTGTCGATACGTCTCACTTCACCACTTTTCCTACCCGCAACCAGGATCTCGGTGAAAAAGTAGTCGACCGTTCCACTTGATAGAACGTTGGAGGGGTTGACGTTGGTGTTGAATCGAAATTGTGCTTGCGCGCTCCAATGACGCTCTTGCATTAGAACCTTGTCAAAGGGATTGAATGGCTCTCCCGCAAGCATCTTGTCTTTTTCAGACCTGTACGTGGTCGATGAAGACGACGAGGCATAGCGCGTCGGTGACCGCGTAGGTGGCAAGGATGTTGGTGGTGCGGGAGGTGGCGGATGCGGTCCCACATGCAGCTGTTGAATAGGCTTGGCGGCCCTAGAAACGTATTAGCTGATAATATCCGAGTGCATCCGAGTTCAAATTCAAACACAAATGATAAGCACAATCCGATATGGGATAGTTGTTAAGAATCCGGTTGGTTCTGAACTGAGAGAAGATACTCACATAGTAGTAGGGACAGCAGTATTGATAGCGAGGTGAGTCGTGCTTGGCGGAGCATGGTGATAACCACGGGAACTGTGGTGAGGCTGCTGTTGCTGTTGAGATACAGGTCTATGGTCCAGGCTTGAAGGCCTCTCGTAGTGGTTGACCGCAGGTTGCATATACTGTACTGATGGTGGTGGTGGCGGCGGCACCTCTGGCTGGTAGGTAGCTCGAAGTGATGGCGGTGCAGGCGCAGGGTCGCCCCAGGGTTTCCATGACTTGCGATCGATACCGTTGGCTGAATGCATCTCAGGCGGTGGGTATGATGATTCAGTGCTGTGAGATTGTCCGCAGTGAGGAGTGTGCTTTTCTTGACAAGTTGGGCACGTTGGGTAGGCAGCGTACTTCTCCTTGGCTATCAGTGCAGGTTGTTTGGCTGGTCCATTCTTCGGCCAAGGTACCTTGTTGGCATAGCCTTCACAAACGAAGCCACCGCGTGTGCAGTTATTGCCTGCTAGAGGTCAGACTGGGTCAGAACAGGAAGCCATTTTCAAACGTACACTCTGGTTTGGCCTCGTCGCACTTCTTCTTCCTTCTACGGCATGTTCCACAGCCAGTCTTGGTGCGGTTGGCGAATTGCTGTGGAAGTTAGTATTGGTCAGGGGGTAGGCTCAGGGCACGTACTCGTTTCCGCTTCTTGAGCTCGACCTGTACACCAGCCCGCGTGAACTCAGTCTCTTCGATCATGTCACGGCTAAGAGACTGCGACTCAGGAGACATGTCATTGGTGCGGGTGTGTTCGATAGGATGCGGTTCACGGTGTTGGAAATGCTGATGGGCTGCGTGAGGCAGTTCACGGGGTTCGGTTTGCCAGCGTCGTTCGGCGTCTGGACGACCTAGTGGAGGCAGAGTCGGTAGCGGAGGGGCTTCCATGCTCAAGGTTGTGTTGCGGTTCAAGGGCTGGTATGGAAGTGGAAGTTGCCTGGGGCCAGCGGTCTTCTGATCAGGGCTGTGTTGGCCGTAGGCGTCTTCTTCGGAGCCGGAGCGCCTCCTCTTGTTTGGGTTTTCAGGAGACGACCTTGTCTTGTCTGAACTATCAGGGGATCGATCTCCACTGCCAACAGTGGACGAACTCGTGTCGCTCTCTGGGGAGCGAGAGTGATGTTGAGGCTCAGGATCTGGAGAGACGGGACTCCAAGCAGCAGGTTTGGCGGCAACGGCTGTCTTCTTCTCGTCGGGCGGGCTTAGAGACAATCGACCGTTGACGGAAGTAAACGCAGGGCCATGGGGAGCGGAATTAAAGGCGGGCATATGCAGTATGGTCGACATGTCCAAGGCGAGATATCAGAGCTGGGGGTCAAGGCTGGATAGTCTACAGAGTCAAGTCGAATTTACGGTGGGCTACGGGGAGGGTGTCCAGCGACCATAATCTGTGTGTCTCGTTGGGGTCTTGAGATGGTTTGCAGTGACAATCTTGAGTGATGCTGGGGACGATGTCGTGGTTACACTGTAGCGTATTCGGAGTAAGATGAGTTCAACGGTCAGGTCAGGTACCGTGCGGGACTCGACGAGTGGTGGCCCGGGAGTCGTCTGTGCTCTGGGGAGTCAGTGTGTGCGTAGAGGGAGGATCCCGGGGTTGACAGCGCAGGCGTGGTGTCGTTCGGGCGATGCGATGCCAGCGAAGCCGCCTCTCCACGGCGGGGGCTGTATATGGCGGGAAGACAGTATATGGCGCGACGAATGTGGGAGGGGCGACCCGACGCCAGACGCTGGCCACGGATGAGCAACAGGATTCAACGGAGGGCGGCTGTTCGCTCCTTCTGCTGGCGCACACATGGGCTCTACACATCCCGGGCAGGCACCCATGTCGTCCCTTCCTCATTGGCCCAAGCTGCAGGCGGCCCCTGCCCCCCGCGTTTATCTGTCCCACCCGGGCTGGCACAGAACCATCACCGAACACCTCGTAGAAGGACCACAGACGCGGTTCCTTCGACTATCTACATAATAGACCCTGCATTTTGGCCACTGCCACGTTTTTTTGGCGGAAAAGTCGCGTCTACAGCCCTACAGCCGTTTTCTGGGTGTGAAGGAGGGTAGAGTGGGCGGAGAGGCCTCCAGGATGGCACAGACGGCTGCGTGCGACCAGCGCTCCCGGCGTGCTGGCATGCGAGGTTGATCGACCAGGAATCGTTAGAAGGATGCAAGCCAACGCGGAAACCTCACATTAAAGTGCTGTGTCGTTGTTATTGGCGCTGCCCAAACCTTAGCTTATCCACCTGCTCCATCGCCAAACGCAGTAGCCGCGCTGCACGCCCACGCACCACCAAACTCTTCACCAGACCGCGGCACCGCAGCCTGCCAGACACGCCCGCGAGCACACAAAACACGGGCAACCCCCGCCTGACGTCGCCCGCGACGCCTGCAATGACGGGTGCGAATCACTCACTCTTGACCACCACACGCTGCGTATCGCCCGGCCTCCCGCGCGCTTCCATCAAGGGGTGCCGTCATGGCCTTTCGGCACTGCCTCCTCCTAACCGCCTGCTCAGAGGCCTGCCTGTCCCCGCCGGTTTCAAGGCCAGCACCAAACAAGAAGGCGCTCATGGGTCTCGCCGTGTTTCATTTATCAGATCCACGCCGCACACCACGCCCACCACGCCCACCCGTCCTATGCCTTTAGCATCATCAATATGCTCGGCTGCGGCACTGCCATGGGCCTAATGCTTGTGCTGCGATCCATATCCAAGTCGCGAGTGCCACTGTCTGCTGCGTGATACCCTCCATGGTTGGCTGCCCGGCCCGTCTCGTACACCTTCATCTATGGGCGCTTCGCGTGCAGACTTTGCTCGCCAGGAACCCGCACGCTCAATATGGTCAAACCTCCACCACTCACTACGTCAAGAGCCGCGATGTCTGTCCTCGGCTAATATGGCAAGTGCGCTACTTACCCGTCGTATGCTGTACGGAGCATCTGTCTGACTCTCACGCGTTGCTCGACGATCGGTCATGCGTCTAAGCAACCCCGGTGCGTCAGCCAATAGCACCTCGACAGTTTCGCCACGCATTGCACATGAAATGACGCCTCGTTAAGCGCGGCCGTTTGTCGGCTGCGACATGTCTTTGTATACTCACTGCAAATGTGGTTTGTAATATGCGTGCGCATCTTGAGCACAATTCCGTCAGTCCGTCTCGCTGGTTCTCGCGGCGCGTTCCGTTCCCGCTAGCGATCAGACAAAGACCTAGAACTGCGCCGCAGGCCGTACGGCATTGTCCTCACAGCTGTGCCGCCCGCTGGACTTCCAATCCCCTGGATACCAAGAACGGCTCAGCCCTTGCTCTGGTGCTCACTGAGCTGACGTCTGCTCTCTCTCAGCCTCGCCTCATCCTTCCGCTATATGACTCGAGTAGCGACGGGAAGCGCGGAACAGCGCGCTTGTCACCAACGTCTACATGCGCCGCCTACCTCCGTGCCCAACCTCGATTCTTCATTCATATTGATTGTGGAGCACCGCCCTCCGTGACCAACTTGACCGCGATCATGCCGCACCTGATTATGCATTTGTTTGGACCTGTTATGCTAACATGAGAGATCCCACTTGCTGTTGACGTCGTCGCTTGGCCCCAACACGAGTAACCACGGTCGCACTAACCCGTCGCGAGCACGAAGAACATGCAACGACTCAAGACTGCTCACCGCGGTACTCGCGCCCTTCTCGCCGAAGAGGTTCGGCAGTTCTCCAGACACGGCCTCACCGACAGGATCCGAAGGATTCCTCGTCGGTAGAGTACTGCGGCCTGAGTCGGTTGTGGTCCAGATTCTCGTGCAGTGTGGTATACTCAAGCTTGACAGCCTCGCAACAACAGCAACCTTTCTGCACCATGGGATTTCCAAATTACACACAGATACCCTATTGACACGTCGGTCATGTAATCCACCAACGGTGCTTCGTGCAATCTACCCATTTGGCCATTGTTGCTCGGGATGCCACGATGCCGGGCTGCGGCACAGTTCGCCAGCAACTCCGATTACGTATGCGGCGTTGACAGGATGCACAGTCCAGACGGATTACCAACGCACATCCCCGGCATGAGTCGTTGGGATCGATCAAAAATATGATGTACTGGCAAGTGAACTACTGGTGAACTCATCGTTCCCCGACTGTTTGGTACCGACTGTTCGCTTCAACCGATTCCGCAACATTCGCATCAGACAACGACTACTAAAAACTGCGTTTCTAGCGAAGAGATTCGGAGCAATATGGTGTAACGTACTTGATGCTGATTGCAGGATCGCGCGCTTGCTACACGACGATTACTCCGAAGTCCGCCCTTTTGCAGCCAAACGAACCCTTCCAATGTTTACGCCCGGCATGTGAACAGCACGCCAGGCTCCCGGATAAGCAAAGCCTATCGAGATATGTAAGGGGTTATTTACGCCCTGTCCGTGCCGCAGTTACCAAGTTGTCGGGACCTGCGGTGATGCGCTTTGGGTATGATCATGCTTTAGCATTCACCTTGCCTACTCGATTGGGACAATGCCATTCTGACTCCAAGGAAGATTATGTAAACATCAATCACACGACCAGCTTCGACTTCGATAAAATGTCATTGTATCTATGCGCTGCTTGACGTGGAAGAGTCAGCGCTTACCGAAGCGCTTAAGGTTTCAAAAGATGCGTAGACAACTGCCGGCCGCTTTGAACCGACATCTTCGCTCCAGCGACACGCGGTGTGACGGATCCGCATAATGTGAGATCTCACCCGCGTATCGATCGTCCAATCACACGATGAGGATGTCCGATTCTACCTTTCTACTTTCCGGGTATCGATCGTTGTATCGCCGTCATACCGAGCATCCGAAATGTTACTATGGGGTTGCAGTTTTCTTTTGGAGTGGGATTTTGTCCTCAGCGAAGGGTTCAAAGCTGCGTGTTCACTGTTTAGCATGTGCTGACTTCAAGGGATATCCTAAGATAAGTGAGTCGGTCCGAAGTCTGATTATAGATGCGATAGACGTACGATATACACGCGATGCAGGTTCCCAACACCCTTCATGCCCAAAATATGACACGCCATTACTCGTCACACCGCCAAATACCAACCGATATCACCGGATACTTGGAGTGTCTGGAAATAATCACCAGGTAGGCAGCTAGTGCATGCGGTGTTGCAGCTGATCGGGGACGTCCTGCACAACACTAACGGCATAGCTTAATATAGAACGCAACTGTCTTTGGTAGCCAAGTAGTCTGTTCTCCACAGTCAAGACACACGAAATGTCGGCAACACCATGCCGTTAGTTATATGGCTCGAATTATCCTCCAACAAAGACCATGCGCAAGTTTACCATCGACATCCGTCTGAACAAGCTTTTCATATCGCATAGACAACGTACTTTGAATCGCCAACTGCTTGGGTCTTGAGCCTGCGACTCTCTGATTTTCAATACTCACATACTAGTTGTACATCACATTCTCGCCCTATGGCACTTCCTCACACCCTGTGAAGAGTTTGACTCTCTAGTTGATTACCAAACAAATGTGCTACCGTCAAACCAGAACCTTGGTCTTTCGGACATGGCCATGCTTTACCGTCCAATAGTAGTCTTGTTTTCTAGTGGTAAGGCTCAAAAGCTCGCTACTTCCACAATGAATGTCGCTTTGACTTTGAAACAGAGGAGTTGGTCAAAAATTCCATGCCGTTCGACCACCAATTAAGTTATGATCATACTCTCTTCTCCCGGAAGTTCTGATCCATTAAATACCATTATGCTGCTCGCCCAGCTCACATTCCAACGCAGACAGAGAAAAAAGACAACATCTTACACTAGCCTACTTCCGTACCTCTCATTTTCAACTCCAAATCACTAAAACATAAATCAACTCTTTACTCGAATTTCTTAGTCAATATGCCATTCGATGCTATTTACCCCGTCCGTCTCCCTGCCTCCCTTTCCTTCTTTCCGTCTGTCTGCCCCACCAACCCAACGTAATATACAACCGTCTTACAAAAGGTGTTTCCCACAAAGATACAAATTTGGGGGGTATCAGAAAAATGCGCGCTCTTGTTTGCTTGCTTCGGAGGTTAAAAGGACAAAAAGTGAAGTGAAAGTCCTCCAATCCTACCATTCTCTCTCTTTGTCTTCTTGCACACTTGTCATCTGTGTGCTTAATTGTGGGTATGCATGCTCTTTGGCATAGCTGCCCTCGTTCCTTATGTCGCAGCTTTCAGTGTCTGCTGCTCTTCTCCTCGTTCCTGTTCTCCCCTTTCCTCGCTCCAACGTACCCAGGCTGGGTGGTTTGCTGGTTCCGCCATCTAAGTACAAACTCTAGTCCGTCTTCCAGTGACTTGTTAACCGGCCATCGTCATCTGCGTTCGAGATCTTCAGTTCAATGGCGTAGAGACCCATGGTGATGCCAAGATTAATCCATCTCCAAAAGTTGCCGCCGGCATCGCCGCCTTGGTTTGTCCACCACTCGCCTGTCACAGCACTTCCGTCGCCGCCGTTTCCGCTGGCAAAGTGCTGCATCAGCAGACTGGTGTAGACTGCGATGATGATGCTGGGGCTGAACCAGGTTAGGAAGCCTAGGATCTTGGAGGTCTCGTCGTCATCATCTAGACTTGGTTCTTGCGATAATGCGCGGGCGCCGCTTTCTCTGATGGCGGGGATGATGCGCGCCGCGGCGTACATGACGAAGACGCGGTAGGCGAGGGATATGATTACGGAAGGCGTGATGGTCATGACTGCACCGACCATGAGGTTGAAGCCGGTATGGGCAATGGTAGGCAGAGAGCCTAGCGCGTGGAGAAGTGTAGTGTATGAAGCCATGATAATAGGTGGTAGCGGTGGGAGAGCGGGATCTGAGGGAGCGCTCGACTCCGCAAGGGAACCGGGCGATGGCTGGTAGTCGGTGAAAATCTGGTAGATGCAGAGAGTGACATAGGCGAACTGCGAGTGTTAGCAAAGCATATGTACTAACAGAGGGCCAGACTCACCAAAAGCGAAGATTCGACCGGGTTGCCTCTAGCACTGACGATACCCCATCCACCGAGAAAGATGGCGGTTGTGATAGCGACACCGATCAGGATGGCGTCGACGTTGCTGATCTCGGGGAAGGTAGTGATGCGCCAGAGGAAGTAAACGGAGGTCGAGATGATGGACGCAGAGGTGATGAGAAGGCCGATCTGGGGATGTTAGCATATTGTTCTAAACACAGAGAGGAAAGTTCTTACCATCCAGCTGTCACCACGTTCCTTGTTCACCACCCATTTGGTAATCTGGCCTGCGGCTTGAATGACCAGAAGACTGCAGAAGCCCTCAGCGATCTGGAAGACGGGCGTGCTGTATCGCAATGTCTTGTCCCAGGCGCCTATCGACGCACTCTGCAGCAGTCCCTCACTGCCAAAGATCCATTCCTGCACTGTCGCGAAGTCGGCTCGCTTGCCGCCAAAAGTGCGCTCGACCCAGCCCGAGTTGGCGTCGGCATCGATGGAGAACTTGTTGAGGCTCCAGATCAAGAGGGTGGGTATGGCCAGCCACTGCGCCCAAGCTATTACATTACACAGGAACCATCTGAAGCGCGAAGAGTCTGGCGTGGCCAGGCGCAGTATCGAGTAGACGAAGTAGTAGGCGCTGAGGGAGAGGGAGAAGGCGAGGCCACAGGTGCGGCCGCCAATGTCGAATGCGAGGGGTATGGTGAAGATGATGGCGCCGAGGAAGGTTGTCGACGAGACTACCCGCGATGCTGTAGCCCACATGTGCGGACGCCGTCGTCGCCAAGCTCGTGCAGCGACGAGCGTGGCGTCTGAGCGGGGCGGCGGGGGAGGTGCGAGGGGATTGAAGCGCGATGGACGCGCAGGCAGCGCGGGAGAAGCTGGCGGGAGTCACTCGAGGGGGAGTGGGCGTGCGGGAGACGTGGTTGAAGATTCGCGAGCAACGGCCTGGCTATCGATTATCTTCACGTGTCAATCTCGCTAAGTGCAATGCTCGAGCGTCGCGGAGAGCGGGCTGCACTGGGCTTGGGCTGGCCGGCGGCTGGGGGTGAGGTCGCTCGGCTGGGGGCAGGCTGCAGGGTGAGAAGCAGTGCAGGAGAGACTTTGATATTGCTATCGATACGATATTGAAGCTGTTCTGTGCGAGTAGGCACGACTTGGGGCCACGGATGGATGCGTGCTCGCGTGCGCACTCTTGGAACAGCGCACGATGATGATGGCGACGGCACGAGTCTAGGCCTTGCGGTCCTGCTTCTGCCGTCAGACAGTGTCTTGAATCTGCCCTGCCCTGCTCTTGCTGCGTCCGACTGTGACGAGCTTGCTATGCTTGCTTTTGCGTATCCCACCTACTAGCGCCCGCGGATCTCGCCAAGCCCAGGTGCCCGCCGCGGGACGGTCGTCTTATGCGAAACTTCTACGAGCAGCAATTGCATGTTCAAATTACGACCTTTGTTTGCCAGACCGTCGCGAATCGCCTCGAACACATACAGGCCACCCACAGCAAACTACTTTGCCAACTACTCTGCAAGCTACACCCGCACCATGGCCGAAAGCCCCACCAAGAAGCTCAAGACTGATGTGCCTGTCATTGGCACGCACAATGGCCACTTCCACGCCGACGAGGCCCTTGCCGTCTCCATGCTGAAGGAGCTGCCCACCTACCGCGACGCTCAGCTCATTCGCACCCGTGACCCCGCCGTCCTTGCCGAATGCCACACCGTTGTCGACGTAGGCGGCGAGTACGAGGACGATAAGAAGCGCTACGATCACCACCAGCGCGGCTTCGAGGTCGTCTTCCCGGGCCACACCACCAAGCTCTCCTCCGCCGGTCTTGTCTACATGCACTACGGAAAAGACATTATCACCGCTGTGACTGGTCTGGAAGGCGCCGACCGTGATCTCCTGTACGAGAAGATCTACACCGACTTCATCGAGGCCTTTGACGCCAACGACAACGGTATCAACGTCCTTGCGCCCAAGGACCTGGAGAAGGCAGGATTGGAGAAGAAGTTTGAGGACCGCGGCTTCAGCATCGCCAGCGTAGTGAACCGCTACAACTATGGCAACAAGTCGCCGACCGCGGACGAGACCAAGACCCCAGAGGCCAAGCAGGCTGACGAGGACTTCCGCTTCACCAACGCATCTCGCTTCGTAGGCGAGCAGTTCCGCTGGGAACTCCTCGACCGCGCCCGATCGTGGCTCCCCGCTCGTCATCAGGTCAAGCAGGCCTACGACGCACGCCTCCAGTACGATCCTCAGGGACGCATCCTGGTCCTCCCCGAAGGCATGCCGTGGGCCGACCACCTCTACAACTTCGAAAAGGAGGCACAACAGCCACAAGGCGTTGCCCCTCAGGTTCTATATGTCCTCTTCCCCGAAGACAAGCCCGAGGGCAAGTGGCGCATCCGTGCCGTCAGCAAGGAGAACGGTGGCTTCGAGAACCGCAAGGACCTGCCCGATGCGTGGAAGGGCGTGCGTGACGAGCAGCTCGACCAGGTCTCTGGTATCCCGGGCTGTGTCTTTGTGCACGCCGCTGGTTTCATCGGAGGAAACAAGACGTTTGATGGTGCGCTCGCAATGGCGAAGAAGGCATTGGAGTTGTAGAGGATTACGATGGAATGATATGAACACGAGGTTGAGAGTCTCACTCGAAGCAACAAGAGTTGCTTACACTTGCATATGCATGGATGGCGTTCTGGCGCTTTCATACAAAAGTTATGATACCAACGATACACTTGGTTAGATGAATCATCAGAAGACATGATTAGCCGTCGAAAGACGACAACAATTTGCTCTCTTCTTACAGTGTGCTTTGCTTTGCTTTGCTTTGCTTCTCTCACTTACCAGCAGCCTTCGGGTCTTCACACGCATTTGTGCTTAGATTACTGAATGTTTGCTCATCGCAGCAAACATGGAAAATTTAAGTAATCATCCGGAATCCTATTCGCCATTGATGTGTGATGCTATCGTCAAAGCACTGGAGACACGCGTAGCCGAGGACCTCCAGCCCACTACACACGTCGTGGATCACTGTCCCAAGCCAATAACCGCCTTGCGCACACGACAGCCGGAAGACCCTGATTCTTAGCTTGTTGCGCGAGCCAAATGCGCAGCTAGATCTTCAGTGCAAGCTTCAGGTACTCCACGCCCTGCGTCAAGTCTAGAAGAAGTCCACCAACGAGAACTGGCCAATTCGGGTATAGACGTCATACGGGGAGAGTCGGAATGACTGGGCCAGACGCCGCTGAGAAAGGCACACGACTCGTACCGGCGGCTGTCAGCGCCTCGGCGGTGATTGGCTGGAAAAGTGGAAAGGCGGCTGTCCGTGGCGAAGATTTTGTAGATCTGTATGAGTGAGGTCGGATAGAAGGCTCTCGTACACTCGTTTCACATTGCTTTCTTTCCAACGAACCAAACCACCACGACTTTCTTGCTTTTTGATTATTGACAACGCATTCGTCTCCAGCTCCTCACACCGCACTTTAATCGGCACGACTTTGCAGAGAAACAAGAAACAGAGATACAGGGCACGAGCGGTGAAAAGCGTTGAGCACTTCCCGCTTTCCCCGACGATCGTTTATCGCCAGCGCACGGCCTGCTTTTCGGCCTTTGCCCACCCGTCTCCAAACCTTTTGCACCCTCTACATTTCACAACCCACCTAAACTCCACCCCACAGCTATCACAGCTCATCAGTCTATACCATCGGATTCTCGGATCTGAATCACTACGACGCGTCACATCGAAGCGACAACGAACATCACCCGAACCCACACGACCGCGCACACGACCACACGATGAAGTACTTCCAGCAGACAGTCGACTTCGACTACACATGGGAAGAGGTCTCGACGAGCAACTGGCGCAAATACGGTCCCTGGAACGAGAAGACACCCCACGTCATCGCTGTCGACACATTAAGCCGCTCCGTCGACCCATCAACAGGAATTGTAAGTGACTCCTTCTTTCACATGTCAATCCGACGCGCCCCACCAGCCTCACCGAACAGAAAACTAACACTCCGCAGCTCCGCACAGAACGTCTCATCACATGCCAGCAGTCGACACCCAAATGGATACAAACCATACTCGGTGGCCAGGACACCTCCATGGTCTACGAGACCTCCTACGTCGACCCCGTCGCCAAGAAGCTCACCCTCTGTTCCATGAACATGACATGGTCTGATCTCCTCAACGTGCGCGAAACCTGCATATACCAGCCCGTCGCTTCATCACCCGATAAGACTGCCTTCACCCAGCGCGCCGAGATCACCGCGCTGTGCGGTGGTTGGCAGAAGATCAAGAACAGCATCGAGCAGTTTACCGTCGAGCGCTTCCAGCAGAACGCTGCTAAGGGCAAGGAGGGCTTTGAGATGGTGCTTGAGCGTGCGCGTCAGGTATTCCAGGAGCAAAGAGAGATCCTTGCGCTGCAACAAGCGCAGCAGGACAGCCGGATCCTTCGCCAGGCCAAGATATAAGGACAAAGAGCAACTTCTTTCAGTGTCCTTGCGTTGACAGTCCGACTCACAAGCTCTGCGATTTTTCCGTTCAACATCACTACAACGGTCTTTCGGTCCACTCCGCTCGATCAATTCCCATCCATCTCGACTCTTCCGTTACAACACCATTCAAGCGTTCTTTCGTTCCTGGGTGGGATCCTTCCTCTTTTTTTCTGCAAAAAGTGCACTTCAACGGCGTTATCAAAAGCATGGGAGCGGCGCAGATACCCTTTTCACTGCATATTAGACGCCATTATGCATTACATACACGATAGAGACGAACCATATACAAAGAAGCATTATTAGATATCTTGAGTAATCAAATCAAAGATTATTATGACATTGGCTTGCTATTGGTGTGGATGTTGAGTTGTGGGTTGGGTTTGGGTCGACCATGAAAGTAGACTGGAGATGCCGTCACTAATGTGGTCGAAGGGTAGGTAATAGTATCTACGTGTAATACAACGCGAACACTATCCAAAAATCAGAAAACTTACCCTTCAGCTCGCATCTCCGAAACTACAACGACCTCAACCCCCTCATCTACTTTGCGACCCCCTTATACCCTACTCCCACACCCTCCCCTCCACGACCATGGAACACCGCCCCCTCAAGCGCCGTCGCAGCACCTCCAGCATCCACGATTGCGACAAACCAAGTTCAAAACGCGTCCGGACGGTGTTGAACAGACAGTTGAAGAAGTCAGGTGCGCCCTTAATGCTGCTACCTGGTTGTCTGTCCAGGAACGACTACTTGCCGCTTTGGCTATTGATCATGTGGCGGCTATAAGGGGATCTTTAGAGGACAAGGATGTGAATGAAGGAAGTGATAGAGAGCATGGCAGCGATGAAGATGGATATGAAGATGGAGACAGCGATAGAGAGGAAGAAGATGAGGACTCTTTCTCGTCATGGATTAAGAGAGGAGTGAGCTTTTCAGCGGGTGCAATATGTACGGCATGCACCGAGAGTGGAGGTAGCTGAAGTGGTTTCATCACAAGATCGTAACTCATGAGGGATGATCTGTATCTGCGTGACCCGAAAACCCTCTTTGTGGCACAGCTTACAATGCATAAGAGGAACAAGGGAACACTCGGCTTCGAGCTACGTCATTGCCTACCACCTCACAACGCGTAAAGTCTCGCTCTTCTCGCGCGATGATGCCGCTCATTGTCCTCTTCACTATCCAAATTGCGACACTTATCGTCTCTATATCGTCTCTATCATCAGTCCGTAAGGCTCAACGACTATGGAACCACCTCTCAAGCGGCAACGTGCTGACAGTGTCGACGCCGTACCCTCCCATCCGCCTACTACGGCATCAAATGCAAAGTCGCTCCTAACAGCAGAACCACCTGCACCGATACACCCAGAATTTCAGAATTTCAGAATTTCAGAATTTCAGAATTTATCAAAACCATCATAAACGTCCTCGATGAGGCAGTCATGGACGAGACACTCGACAGGACGAGCTTCAGCCATCGTGCCTTCCTCAAGATCGCGAAGAATGACGCCACAATCGCAGCCACATTCCAAGAAGCCTATGACGCCTACATGGAGAAGCAAAGAAACAGAAGCGCCGACTTCAGAGAAGTTTTTTATGACTTCAAATATGCCTTCCCTGGCCTTGGTGTATGTGCGGACGGCCTCATACCACCCGAAGAGATCCCCGTCTTATCTTCCAAAATGGAAGGTGCACTCTACAGAAGCGTGGCCAAGATTTGCAGTCGAACGCACGACTATTCGTCCTTCGGCACCAAGAAGGACGCGTTGGATGCGCTGAGGAAATTGGGCGTTATGCTACTCAAGACTCCGGACAAGAAACTGCGCGCTGCAGTCGCAGATTGTATTAAAAATGTCGAGAGCGAAGAGTATGTCATCGCCATGTACCAAATCGCTCGCCACATAAATGTGGATCAGCGTGAAGAGATGTGTATGATGCCGGTGAACGAATCAACGACGTACCTGGCCTCCTAGAGCTACATCCCAGACAAACCTTCCGCCACTTCAGAATGAAGCAAGTGAACTCAGATGACACTAGAATGGGAGGTGCACCCGGCGTTGCTCTCCCAGAGACATCAACCGTCCTCAATGCTGGAGAGCACGCATCGCAACCACAAAGTCGCGACCGTACAGGTTTCCCAAAACAAGATGGACAGTCACTTTTGTACTGGTTACAGCAAGTTCGATGCGATCCACTTCTGAACCATCGCACTACTGAGGAGCTACCACAAGAAGCCGATACGGTCATCGTTGGATCAGGCATCACAGGAACCCTTGTGGCTAAGCACCATCTCGAGACGTTTCCCGAGAAGAAAGTCGTTGTACTCGAAGCGCGGGAGTTTTGCTCTGATGCAACGGGTCACAACGCTGGTCATTACAAACCTGATCAGTGGCGGGGGTACGAGAAACATGCCAAAGCATATGGAAATGAGCAGGCTGTCAAGATTTTGGAAAACGAGCAAGCTACGTGGAAAGCGTTGGTGGCGTATGTCAAGGAGAACAACGTTGATTGCGATCTTTGGGTTGGAGAGACTCTTGACGTTCCCCTGGACGACGGAGTTGCGAAGGTAGCCAAAGAAACGTTCAAGAGGTACGCAGAAGCAGGCGGAAAAGTGGAGCATACCCAGGTTATCCACAATCCTGTCGAAGCAGCGCAAAAGTCTCGGATCAAGAGTGCGAAAGCGTGCTACGCATGGCAGACGTCGACTCTGCAACCGTGGAAGTTGACTGCACACGTCATGCGCGGGAACAATATCAAGGGCGCCAACATTCAAACTCGCACTACTGCGAAGTCGATCTCAGAGGGTACGGGAGTTTGGAAATGGTTGGTCAATACGGAGCGAGGAGACATCGTATGTGACACTGTTGTGCATGCTACGAATGCATACAGCGCAGTTCTCGAGCCATCACTTCGCGGTATCATCACACCCAAGCCGCATATGTGCAACAGATTAGTTCCGCTGCAGGTCTTCAGCGGCTCCAGAGCTATCAGAAACTCCTATAGTATTCTGCTACCGGATGGTGCATTTTCCAGTATCAATCCGCGTTCGCCCTCCGATGGCAACATCATGTTCGGTGGCTCCAATTCAGGACAAAAGGAACTGGATGCGTGGGTTGAGAAGAACCCAGAAAACTGCATCAACGATGGACTTGCGAACCTGGAGACTGTAACAAAGCATGCAAGAAAGTTGGCAGAATCACAGTTCGAAGGCTAGAAAGGCGCCCCTACAGACCCAAGGGGAAGGCTTCGAGTATAGTTGGAGCGGCATTATCGGGCTGAGCGCGGATGGTGTATCATTTGTCGGGGAGCTGCCCGGAGAGCCTGGTCAATATATTTGCGCCGGCCATCATGGACAGTAGGTTCGATAGTTCACGAAGAAGTGCGAGGCTAACATCGGGACAGTGGAGTGGGGCGAATCTTCACAGCAGCGCCTGGCTTGGTGAAGCTTATGAATGGAGAAGCCTGGAGCGCGACGGGACTGCCGGAGGTATACTAGATCACGGCCGAAAGACTCGAGAAACTGACGAGTATGGATTCCGCACCTGCCATCGCGGTTATATGAAGGAGTTCGTAGTTCGCGCAAGCTACATGACTCGCGCACTTGAACCGTCCCTTTTCCTTCTCTCTAAGCTACCAAAAATAGCACGCAGAACCACAAGAAAACACGAACAGCGCACAACTTTCTGTAGCCATGTCTGGGACGCTTGCGCGACTGCAATTTCGACCCGTCACCTGCAGTGGTTCACGAGCGTAAGAGGCGGTGAACTGTCACAGTCGGAACCGTGAAATCGCATGCCACAATCCACACTTTTCCTCTTTTCTTGCCTAACGCAGTAACTCTGTAACTCGTCTTCTGCTCGCCCTGGCTTTAGATCGTGGTAGCGAGGCCGCAGCGGTAATTTGCATGCTGTTGTGCCGCTGCGTAGCTTATTGGTTTGGATGTTGTGGAAATTTGACACAGCGGTGTCGTGCTAGGTGGTTGTTGCCGGTAGCGAGGGAATAGGCAATATAACGGCAGGGGCAATAACGGCTTGTACGACCGTAAGCGCATGGCTCTGCATGGGAGGTCACATCACGAGATTTTCGGGTTGCATTCTTGTGTCTTTGGGTTGGTGACAGACGGTACTTTGACAGCTCGTGGGAAGTGCGGGGTCCGCTCGGGCCGACATCGATGCGGCAGGTAGGAATGACTTCACTCCGGACTATACATGTCCGCTAACATATACTTCGGATGACAGCCAGGACTAGACAAGATCTAACACTGGTCGTACCTCAAGATTGCAGGACTACACATACCGGAAAGTTTACGTCATGTCTAGCCTACCAGACAACATCCGTAGGACACTCGAAGTCCTACTTCCCAAGATCAAGTCGCAACATCAGGAGTCATCAAAACCCATCATACTCGGTATCACTGGCCTGCAAGGATCAGGAAAATCGACGTGGGCATCAGAGCTAGTCAAGATTCTGTCGGAAGACCATGGTCTCCATACGATAACTGTTTCACTGGACGATTTCTACAAGACACATGACGAGCTAGTAGCTCAGCGGGATCGTGATCCTGAAAACAAGCTTTACCGTACCCGTGGCCAGCCTGGTACACATGATGAGCAGCTAGCTCAAAAGTTCTTCGATGATCTGAAAGAGTACACCGGGAAAGGCGACCTCAAGATACCGAGTTTCGACAAGAGCAGATACAACGGCGAGGGTGACCGAGCACCAGAGTCAGAATGGCCAAAGATATCGCAAAGACCTGATGTTGTCGTCTTTGAAGGCTGGTGCGTTGGCTTCCAGCCAGTTCCGGAGTCTTTCGTCGAAGAACGACACTCTTTGGCAAAAGCCGGAAAGCTCACAGTCAATACCCCTGCGAATCATCAGCTTCCCCATTTGTTCGAAGTGAACGAGAACCTAAAGCGCTACTGCGATGCGTTCATGGGACCTCAAAGCTTTGACTTCTTCATTCATATTGATACGGATGATCTGAAGAACGTGTACACGTGGCGGCTGCAACAAGAGCATAAGCTGATTGAGGCGAAGGGTTCAGGTATGTCGGATGACCAGGTTCGGGCCTTCATCGATGGGTATATGCCGAGTTATGAGATATATCTAGAGCGACTACGCGAAGGGCTGTTCGGTGACAAAGGGAGGATGGTGAGGGTGCTGTTGGATAAAGAACGACGAGTTGAGAGGATTGAGGAGTTATGAGAAGACATGTGTGCATATACCGATGTCCAACCACTCGTGGGCAACGATGGTAGAAGATGAGAGGGGATAGTGGAACAGTAGAACTGGGAAGCTGAAGCACAACCAATATAATGAGATGGGTATGTTTGCTGAATGTCTCATGGTGAAAGTGAGTATGCAGATATCGCGAATTTCCCTTCACCACGCGTAGTTCTATGTCTTACTAGCACAAACGCATTTGCCAAACAAACACTCCACAGCCCCTCTTGACTTTCGCCTCTTTTGAGCATCCGGCCATGTCTACCCCAGCTAACCACTATCAAGTCCTCCGTATCGACATCCGAGCTAATGACGCCGTAATCAAAAAGGCATATAGGCGGGTTGCGCTCGCGAATCATCCGGACAAGATCTTGCACTTGTCAACAGCAGACATCGAACAGCGCACGAGGATCTTCAAACTAGCGACTGCAGCGCAAGAAACTTTGCTCGACCCGGCGAAGAGAAAGAGCTACAACAAGACACTAGCGCGGGTAGTGAGGCCATCAAATACATCAACTGCGCGAAATCCCTCAGCGCGACCCTCCCCAGCGCCGACCGCAGGAGCACCAGGCTTCCAGCGGCCGCCATTCCCCAAACCCGGACCGAGGCGTCACGAAACGTTCCAGCCCCCGAAGTTCAACTACTTCCAACCTGGTCATGACAGAGAACCACCACCAAGCAAAGCCACGCAGACACCACCTTCTTGTCCCCCAACACCTCAAAACACCCACCCCTTCACCGCCGGCAGCCCAGCCACCTACCCCCCACCAAATATGACTTCGCCACCGCCATCATTGAAGACGTCGTGTTGACTGTTGAATCTACGCCTGATAGCCGGAGTATAGCGGTTAGTTCTATTTTCGCTGAGAGGAAAGACGGTATAGATCTTTGGATCACGATGGCAGGGATTGGTGCCGCGCCTACTACGAACACGCCCCTACCGTTCAAGCAGTCGTAGACGTGGACGTGGACGTGGGATGTAGATCTGGGCTTCTTGGTTCTGTTCTATAAGACGTTGAGGGCCACGCATCTAATGTTCTATCCGCGGTATCCTGCCCATGCTGTTGGCGGAGATGGGGTGGTACCAACCAAAGAACCTTTTCCGAGAGGGTCGCCGGCGACGGAGTTTGCGAAGATGTTTGAAGGAATGGTGTTTGTGAGTATGACGAGGCAGTTTTATTGTCAGGAGATGAAGAAGGACGGGAAGACGTTTTGGCAGCTTGCTGCTGTTGGGCACGTTTGAATCGGATAGCAGAAGTGTGAAGTCAGATTAGAGTTGTGTTGGTCTTGCGGTATGTTGTCAGCATGAGAGGTCGCCGCTCCTGTAAAAAGACTGCATTAGATAACGAGTTTGGCAATAACAAACAATACTTCTTGATTCTATGCTCTTATGAAACCAGGCCGCTCAAAACGCCATATATGCGAACTATCTAAAAATGACTTATAGCACACCAGGGATGGGTCCCTTCTTCTCGTTGGAGCCCAACTCTTCCTCGTTCCATCCACTGCCAGCGCCAACCTTGCGGCCGCCCTCCTCTCTCTTGATTCTGCACCAGAGACTGATGTCCTTGTCCCAAATAAACTGCCAAATAACGTACACCCAGCTCTTGTGCTGCGGCAAGTCTTTGTAGAAGTCGTGCGCGATACGGTTCAACGCGTGGAGGCGCGTCCAGGGGATCGCAGGGAAGTCGTGGTGCTCGTTATGCAGACCGACGTTGTAGGTGAAGAAGTTGAGAGGTCCGTAGTACGAGTAGGTCTCAGGAAGTGGAATCTTGTTGGCGGGGTTCGACGGGTCCTTGTTTGGCTTCTCAAAAACGTAGTGTTCGGCGATGAAGTGTCCTGCGCATGGGTGTAGAGATCCGGCGAGGAAGCTGCTCATGATCAGGTATCCCAAAGCCCTTCCTCCTGCAAATCGGACGAGTGCGAAGTCGAAGGCTAGCTGTACAACGACATTGAAGAGGTGAATCTTGGTCATTGGCAGGGCGTAGACGAACATAGGTCGGAGGGCGTAGAACAGGATCTGGAAGGTTGCGAAGAAAGCCTTGCCAGCAACTGAGTCGAGGAAAATGGCCTCAAAAGCAGTTGGCAGATCCGTGTCGAGACCATTGACACCCAGCGACTTGTGATGTGTCAGATGGTAGGGCCTAAATGAGGCGCTGTATGGAATGCCAATTGGCAGATTTGCAAACACGGCAAAGATCCTGTTTGCCTGGGGCGATCGGAAAGCCAAGTTGTGTGATATTTCGTGAATGGCGAGGAAAAGGTTCTGGTTGGCCGTGGCACCAATTACGTATGCGGTAAGGAAGAAAGTCCATGATATGACGGGCGTGTCACGGAGAAGGTATGCGCAGAGGATTTGGATCGAGACGACGAGTAGGACGACGTATTTGGTGAGAGGCTCAGGGCCACAGAGCTTCGTTACCTGTATTCGGTTAGATTATGCTGAATTGCAATGGTATCATATCAGTCGCACCTCTGGGTGTGCCTTGATGATGGCCATTCGGCGTGTCCTATGGGGCTCTTCGGTGTATGTCCAGAAAAAGTGGTCGTGTTCATTCGGGGCTTTTGGCTCCTGCTGTTTCTCTCCTTTGACAGTGAAACTACGGGGAACAGGCTCCTTTGACGGCACTGTCGCGGTAGAGACTGAAGACCGCATATTGGGCAGTCGTAAAGAACAATTGCAGAGTGTGTAAAGGGCAGAGGGGTCCAGCTATCGAAGTTTGTGGAGTACTTGACCCTGAGCTTGGCGCTAGCGGAGGCGGTGGGGCTGTCTCACGCCATGATTGGCTGACAACCACGTTCCGTTCGCCACCCCGCTAGCGCAGGAACGTTAAGCTTGCCTTCCAGAACACCAGTTTAGGCCGTCCTGAGGTCACCAGCTTACGTGTAGAAGAGATGTGCGATGGGTCACTTCATCTTCCAATTCATCTGCATTTAAAGATCCCTAGCCTCACTGTGCCCGACTCTCCACCATGGGCCACTTCAACCAGTCCTCAGTCGTCCGACTGCAAATAATAAGCCCGTTGACTTCCCACGCCCTCCATATTGCTTGCGAACCGTTTCACTCCGCGAGAATACTTCTCTAGCCAATCCATTAAACGAGCATCACTCTAATCATTGTTGAATTGTTTATTCAGGGGTCGGCAAATGACGAGACTGGGTCTCCTCGGTCGTGGCGTATTTGCGAATCCAGCGTAAGGTGTCCCCCTGCCCCAGGTGTATCCAGCGAGGGCTTGTCGAAGCGCAGTGTTCAGATTGAACGTGATGAACGCATACACAATCTCATATTGCGTTATTCCGTCCCATCCACCTCCCGTTATTACTCGCGCAGACTTTGACGAGAGGGTCGATGATGAATTCGTTTCGTAAGAACTTTGTGTCCCATTCCGTAAAGTAGGCCTCCTCAAAGATGATCTCCAATGGAAGAGCATCAGGCCTAGCAGTATTGTGTTAGTTTATATCCATAGCGATGGTTCAGACTTATGGGATGGCCATTTTCGCTTTGTCGAGCAGAGCGCAGATTACCTAGCGCGCCAAAAGATGGGCTCTGACGGCGTCGTCGAAATCTCCCAGTATAGCTCTGTTCATTGTACCTAGACACATTGCTAATACTCTTCGGATGGGTGTTCGTGTATACAATATGTTTCCCAACTCTTCATCATATCCAATTGGTTCTGGCTCGGGTCGCTCAACAACACAGTTGGGTCGCTTCAAAACAGAGCGGCCAATCTTCGGCATCATAAGGGTTGCTACCTGGGAGGCAAGTTCATGGTACCAAAAAGGTCTGATGGCCTCCAGGTCCCAAACGATGACATGTTTAGAACGGTCTTCTTCGACCTGAGGAGATTTCCTTTGAGCGAGCTCTTGAGTGATAGCGTGCCGTTCTGGAACCTTGCATCTGACGTGGTCGAGTTTGTCGTAATCCCACCATGGTCCGTTTTCGTTGTCAGGCACCTTTGCGATGGAAGCCCTGATCGCAGCCTTGTCTGCGTCAGCAAAATGGTTGGCTCCTGCTGACGATTTTGGTGGCTGTCTTGCTTGCATGATGATAGATCTGTCTTGGTGGATTGTTAAACTTGTGTCGTGAAGATGTAGGTATCGAGTCGCTGGTTATAAGAGAAGGAGTGTAAGAGAGCAGCCTTTTATCCTTTCCAGTCTATGACTTTGATATCAATTACTCAATACTACAGTTATATCTATACGCGTATGATTGGCCAGTAAAACGTAGAACTCACCTCCGCGAGATGGTAAGACGGCTAAAAAGGCCCACGAAACATCTGGTGCCACTGTCCACGATTGCAGTGATACTTCGACTCATACGCAAGGACTGGTGCTGTAGCCTCAGTCACTCAAAGCGGTCTGTTCAACCCTGGTACCAGGGCATGTCGCTAGCAGGTAGTCCCCGCAAGTGTCGTATCCGGGTTTTGGAAGCGGCTGAGTAGTTTAAGATAGCTCGAAGAACCTCGTACAGTGAAATTAAATCTCTGGGCGTCGAACGCGAGGAATGTACCTGGGTAGCCATGGCATAATAGCATTCCTATCGGCGCCATTCCCCCAAGTATACCAGGCCCGCATCTGTCGAAGGGGATCTATGGGCTTGAACGTGATGAAGACGTAGTCGCCACTGTCCCCTTGAGTGTCAGCCCATCCCGTCCCGTCGTAACTCGTCTGGACTTTGACCTCTTTGTCATGTTATTTCTGATTCAGCCAGCGATGATTTAAGTGTTGACGGTCATTCGACTCGTAGTGACAGTTCTCGAAATAAACCCCCCAACATGCTTGATATGCTGGATTCATTTCGTACACGGCCTCGAACACCCTACGAACCAAAAAATATGCCCACAAGCTGTCTTTAAAGGCTGCCCCCTTGCTATAGAGAAGGCTGCCAAAATCCATTGCCACAATGTTGTGGATGTCATCTCCAGCTGTCTGGAGGTGTTCAGCCAGCTCTGTATCCCTAAAGTTATTATATTCCTGCAATTTGCAATACTTGCTATCCTTTTCACGCGTTGGAAAGCGTGCAAGAACGTAAGCGTCATCGCGCATTGGGTGTGCAAGCTTTTTTGTGTGCTTGTCCCAAAGGTGAGTAAGAGGTCCGTCACCCTGGGCTCTGAGCAATACCGTGTTGGGGTAGATCTCAGTCCAGCCAGATAGGTGTTTGAAGGTCTGGAGAGTCCAAGGGCATTTTTGGCTCCAGTCGACCGTGTTCAATTGCTATTCGACTAGCGTGATGGTACGACCGGACATCTTTGGTTGTAGATGAAGTCGAAGCTAACAAGTCGGGGCCTGGTTGCTGCAGTTGGTGTTGGTTTGTTTACCGTTGATACATTTGGCTTGCTAGATTGGGTTTACTAGATTGGATTTACTTCTGGATTGACTGTCGGGTTATTGAATGCTGTTTTTGTAATGTTAAGATATGACACTCACGACCAGAGAAGGACTTTTATAGAGCTATCTAAATGACTCTACTCAGCACGAGCACTATAGCGGAAGAAGGTGTGACTCTGACTGAGTGGCCTGTGGCGTCAGATATTGCTGGCGAGTCATCTTTAGTGTACCCAGGAGCGACTCGTAGTCTTACTGACCTTCGTTGTGTTCCAACACAGGAGTCGTTATGACTCTAGCCAGAACGAGAATCTTTTGTAACCAGTCACTGGCGCATACTGTTAGAATCCAAGTGAGTACAGAGAAACTCAGAGCTTTGACACAGCTCAGGAAGTGACGCTCTACGCCGTACTAACCTTGGATCCCACCTCAGAGTGTACATTGATCAATGAATGACTGTAAGCCGACTGCGCGTGCCGCGATGATCTTGGGCAAGGGCACGTTCAGCGTCGTACGAGTTACTCAGGAATGTAAAGCACGGTCAACTTGGATGCTCTTGCTGCTTTGAGCTATCTGCGACCTACGGGCGGGGTATCATAATCTTTTCGTTCCTTTTACGTCACTCCATATCTCTTTCCCAATATTCTTCCAGTTCCCGACCTCGTCATCACTTCTCTTCCTCCTGGTGAGGCTTGATCGCCTGACCTCCACCAGCCATACCACGCCCCAGTAAGCGACCGACAACGACACTAACACATATTCCAGCCATGCTATCAGAAGTACGGATGTGCCTTGATCCAGCTTTCCCCCAGTAACGTCGAGGATGTCGCCAGCCACCGAGAAAACCCCAAAGATCAACACTGTGAGCAAGACGGCGGCGACAAAGGCGAACGCGCTCGCAAGAAATGGCCAGAAGATGTTGAAGTAGGCGAGAAGTTTCGAATGGGGGAAGATGATGGCTGGAACGGCGGAGACAGCGGAAAACCCAGCACCGACGAGCGAGACGAGTAAGGAAGCGAAGACGGTGGAACGCACGCCGGCCAATTTGGTAGCCATAGTCCTGAGTAGCGTTGAGACTGGGACAACTGGAAACAGTGGGTCTGTAGACCCATCAGTCGGCGTCGTCAGTGTCGATAGTCCTACAGAGTCGCGGTTAGTCGAGCATCAAAGGCCTTTCAAATTGCGTCACTCACTGTCACTGGCTTCGCCATAGGTCTCGCAGAGTTCTACGACGATAGCGTCGGAATTGTCGTCTGGAGAGTTGAGGATGGAGCCAGAACAGACTGTCCTTAGGTAGAGATAGTAGACGTCTGCTAGCACTTTTCCGTCCACGACTTCTGATTCTATCGATGTTGCATCTGCCTGCAGGCCGTCTCGGGCCTTTGTGGAGGTATTCAGCTATGTTTCGTTAACATTTGACTTTATCTCATCGTTGTCTTCATACGTACTGCCACAATGTACTGTCCACCAAACATATGTTCATCGCTCCCCGCCAGTACCAGTACCAGCGTGAAGACAAAGCTCGCGACCGCGAATGCGATTGGAAAGATTGCAGAGAACCGATACTTCATCAACACCCTCTTTGGTGTCTTAGGCGGCGCCGGCAGGGCCTTGTCGGTAGACTTTCGCAAGTCTCCAAGATCAGGCTCGATTGCGATCTCTTTCCCCGTGTAGAAGGTCTCCTCTATGTGATCCATGTTGTTCATCCAAAGACCGTGTGGTCAAGAGGCGCTAGCGGTGAGACTGACAGTACTGACGGACGTCAGTACATAAGCACCGGTGCAGGATGTCCATAACAGAAGACATATGCACTGTCCTAGAGGTAAGATAAGTAATGCGCTTCAACATACTTGCAGCATGACGCAACTGTTCCTGGTTATCGGGAATCTTCAATCTCGATGTCTGGGATGCATGGATATACGTGGTAGGCTTGTCGCATGATTATAGTGTTGCATGATAGACCTGCTATATACCGCCGCGGATACGGCACATGCAGCCTTGCGAGGGGATAGACCGGTGGTTTCAAACATCCTGCTAGTCGCCAGATCGCGATGGATGTGCGAATTCGGCGATCAACGTTCCTGTTTCGGCGTCGCAGGACATGGCCAAAGCGTGGCATTGAGCAACAACCAGCTTCAGATGGATGGGGTCTGAGATGTTTCGCCGACATCCAAACAACTTGCGCATGGCCGGGCCCACGTATTGGGAGTACGCGTTGTGCCGAATTGAGAGCGGTCGTGAAGTTCGCGAATGCGAGGTAGTAGCTCCCGCAGAAACGGGGAGCGCTTCACTAGTGCGACTGAAACGCTGAACTTTAGGAGGGACGATCGTGGCCTCCCCGCATAATGCGTGAGCGATACCACGTCGCTCAATTACATTTGCCAAAGCCTTCTCCTTATCGAAGAGCGACCGAAAACTGGTCAAATGCATGAACGTGCAGCTGTTCTACTGCTAAAAGAATGATCCTGGAGGATGTTGTCCAAGAGGCTGCGACTGGAGGTCGGGAAACGCATCACCCTAATCATGGGTTAGTCCAACAGCACCTGATGAGCCGAGCTAAACGTACCCAGTCGAGAGGTACTGTATACTGGTCCAGATCCATTGGCATGAAGCCAAAATCGAACGGGTGACCAAAAGCACTATTGCCCATAGCAAATGCATCCGAGTCGGGAACAGCAAATTCAAGGTTGTTGAAGTCGAAAATCTGGGACGGAGAAGTTAAATCAGGTTGGGTACCTATGTGAGTCGCTTTCATTGACGTTAGCGGATGTAAGCGGGTAGTAAATAAGATGCCGCTCACCGTGCGCCGAGTCGCTAACCTGTACCCCACTGCCGTGAACTTTAGAGAGAACAAGCTTCACGGCTGTAGCAACCTTCCGCGCCTCCTGCGATCTCTTGCTAGCTCTGATCCAGATATGATAGGCCGAGCGCAGCGACGCGACGATTTCCTCTCGCGTTGGGGATGCATGGTCCAGTCGCACCCCACTTTCCATAAGCTCAGAAGCCGGTGGGATGGGCGCAATGAGGTCCTCATCAAGCTCGACTACCAAGACAGTGGTGGCGAGCAAGAAGTCTTGCGCAATGATTGAAGACATGTACCAGGTCATGGTAGAGAGGCGCCACCCTGGTGAAGTTAGTCTGCCTCCTGGTTGGACTTCAGCGTCAAGTCTGCTCTGAAAGCGAAGCATTTCTACGGCAGCATTCAAGCAGACTCTGCGGGAGTATGCATATCTGTTATCGGTTCGGCCCAGTACGAAGTAGGGTCGATGTAACAAAAGCTCGGCCTTCAAGAAGGCTACGTTCAAATACGTGTAGCGCATGAGGTCTGGTAACAGAGCGGTACTAAGATCGTCGAAGGTCTCTGCTGTGGGCGACTGTGGTATCTTTTCGAAGACATCTCTAAGCGTGGCGTCCATCTCGGTGATCTCTCCGTACGGTGGCAGCGATGTAGCGTTGACAAGATCTACAATTCTTGCCTGCACACTCCGCAACCTTGTGAGAACGATGGAGTAAAGTAGTTGCGTCAGCTCAGTTTCGGGCCTTGACGGTGGTAGTTCTATCATCTCTTCGTGAAGGTCATCTTCGTCCAAGTTGCGGGGCTCTTGAGTGTCGTACATGAACGGCATGATCGTCCGTGGCAGTCCGGCTTGAGACGAGGTAGTGAAATCTAGCGACATGACTACGAGCCATTTACGACGTCTCAGCTCACCTTCGTGGGGTGAGATGTTCGGAAACCTCGACGGGTCCCTGTGGTATCCCATTCGGAAACAAAGACGTACAAGCATGCCAACAAGCATGTAGATGCTGAACTGGCTGTCGGCTGAGCGTAGAAATTCGGTACCAAAATACAATAAGAATGCTTCGATCGTGTATGGCGGTGTTTTGGTGTAGTTTGCAAGAATCATACCTAGATATCGGCGTAGGAACTTAGCAACTGCGTCAGATGTAGTTCGTACTCAACTCCTGCTTACATTGCACTGCCTTCTCGCGATAGAAGTTCATTCGCACCAGATCAGGGGCCGGTTCAGTATTGTTAGGCTGATGAGCGTTCACCGCGGCTTGGAAACGAAAGCCGAGAGCCAACGCAGCGTAGAGTACACCCAACCACATGGTTGAAGTTTGGAATGGCTGTGTCCACAGCTCATTGTACTATATGTTCATTAGCTACCAGAGACGGAGATAATGATAAGGTCTCACCTGTTTGAGAAAGGTTGGCTTATGGATTAGGGCTGGAGATATCAGTGGTCACTCTTCAATCGGGGTAGCGAACATACTTGCATGTGATTCCATTGATATGAAGAATGTATCAATGAGTCGATCTGCTTCTGACCGTGGAGGAAGAGCGGCGAGGAGCTCTTCTCTGGTCGCATGGCCATAGCGTCCAAACAGCAGCTCTGGGCCGGGTACATCATTCACCACTTCGTCTTCTGGATCGGGTGATAGGGGCACCTGATCAAGATGTTCGCGCAGCTCTGATATCTGGGTTGAAATTAGGGAGGTGAGAGTCTCTGTGGGAGATTTCACATACGCTATCAAGTATGCTTGTCCAGTGGCTACTGTTCGTATAACTTGTTGCATCGCAGCTGAGATTCATGCGAGCCGGCGTGCCAGGCAATTCGCCATTACTTCCACCGTTATGGTGCCGCCGCGCCTGCGATGGGCTGGAAAGTGCAGGATCAGCAGTATCAAGCGCGTTCCCGCCAATGAGATTGGTGACGAGCTTCTCTAGTTGATCGATCCTGTCATGGACGCTGTTCGGGATTTTGGGTTCCTTGGGCACCGGTGTACTCCGAACATAGACGCACGACAGTGAGAGTCCGCGATCAACACATGTTTTGCATGGCTGCTGTCGATCACATTTCAACCTCCAGTCAATTAGCATGCAGTTCTTTTGGGCAGGTGAGCCAAGTTTCTCACTTCCGGCGTCGACAAAGGGTGCACGACAAAATGGGCTTATCTCTTCGTCGGCTGGGAGGTACCACTCTCGGCGTCTGACCATCCGCGCTCATGTTGAGTGTCAATTTCACGACAGGTCTAAACGACTGCAATGAGTAAGGAAGCAGGTCGCGTTGTTGCGAAGATGCCTTCGGGGCGGCCATCATCCCGATACCGAGGCTAACCGCTTCGGCCGAACGCCCCCCGCACTCGATCTCAGCTTACGTCACTGTCAATAATCATAATGTTCCTGGGCGCGACCGCAGCGGTAGCGATTTTCTCAAAGACCCTTGTGTTCTAGCAATCCTTCTCCTTTTCCGATCATATGAATCGGTGGCACGCATTCTAAAGTCACAATCTATCTCATTCCTGCTCCGCCTGCACATCGCCTGTGTTCCATCCGGGCGCAGTTTCGATCACGCGATCTCCGACGCAGCCTCCAGTGGCAGTCAATACAGTTTTTTAATCCAAGATATCGGCCTGTCACTCGCGACTTTCGGGACTACTACTGAGTATCATGTGCCCATCAATCACGCGATCACAATTATGACCTAGATATTACGTTTCCGGACCGTGTGAAGGTACCTTTTCGAAGTCTTCACCCAGCCCGAAAAAATGAGATTCATGTCATCTCCACGGAAGTACATGCGCATAGCCATGCCCCAGAACAGGCGCCACGATTCTAACATAACATTTCGGAGGTCGACACGCTTGATGGCATGCGGGGGTGCGCGTTGAAGATGCGGGCCTGAACCAAATCGTAGTAATCGTTTGATGTTGCGGAGCAGACAGAATATACGTCAGGTTTCCCCACCTCTTGAAGTCTCCGAGATCGAAATTGGATAGACGGTAGAAGAATGGAGTCGCTTCATAATGCATTTTCTTGCATGCCCCTAGCCTTCGCCGTCGCTAGCAGCTCGAAATAGCTCTTCCAATTCAGCTTCAAACACGACATCAAGCTCCCGCTTCCCGAGAGCAAAGCGCAACAACGACACAAGGTCATCCCTAGTCTTGCTACTCCTCTCTGATAACCGCAGCTTAGCCCCTTTGACGTAGACACTCTTCAGCGCTGGAAGCGCCACTCTGTTGTCGCAACGTTGCCTCATGATGCCAGAGGAAGGCAGATCAAACGGGTGCATTATCCAGAATCTTGATAGAAGCTCTGCCAGGTACAGGCAGACCTGAATTGAAGTGATCTGTGCACACAACTCGGCTCCAATGGCGACCGTGATATCTTTGTAGTCGAATTCGTACGCATTTCGCAGGTCGAATGTCGCAGTAGGAAAGAAAAGAGCGTATGCTTCATGCCGAAGCTGCCGACAGCAGTGGATAAGACCAATAGGATTGGTCGAGCTTTCTTCACCCCTCTGCGCATGTATACGTATCACAGATTTGGTGAACGTGAATGTGTAGATGAGGTTGCGGAGTTCTGCAGGAAGTCGTAGAAGAGGCGATGCAACTTGATTGACCTGCGCACTGTATTCCGGTTAGCGATTATGATCCCGTGTCTTGAACGGTATCGTGCGCGTTAGCCTTCGAGGTAGAGCTGCAAGCTTACATCTGGCCGCCTCTTTTGGTCGTCAGACCGGTTGCTTCGGTGCTGAGCGCCATGATGTAGTAGCCACTGTAGTGAAGAGCAGTTGTTTCATTCGCGATGCGGGTGCCAGGTGGTTGAAGATGGAAAACGAACGGAAGTGTGCCTTTCAGTCTTGATGATCTGCCGAAAAAGGCTAGCTGCTTCGTGGTGACGTAATGGGCTGCTGCCTTTAGATGTCGCAGCTTCAGCGACCTCAGCTGCCACATTCAGTGCGCGAGCTTGAACATTGCGAAATCGGGTTTCTCAGGTACCTTCTAGGTTATTTACAATTCACTCAGCCAGATATATCGCCAGTCTTTGCTGCACCTCCTCTTGCGCGTCGCGCGTGACCCCACATGTACCCCTCTGCCACCAGAAAGCCTTGATGGATAGTTTGCACGGCCTACAAGCTCGACATTCGACTCTGAAAAACCCTCGTGTTTGACTTTAATGTCGATATACTTCGAGATACCACCCAAAAGACAGTCGATTTTCTGATCTTCGCATGCGATAATGATCGTGGCTAAAGCCGTAGCTGCTGTTCTAGGAGCTTCCGGATTTGCTGCATATCCTGGAAAGAGTATGCTGGTACATCGCACGCATGGCTGGCATGCATGCGACTATGATGAAGAGGTTGGCTTCGGTCACACACCAGTATACACCAAACACGTTGTCATCTATGATTGCGCTATCAGTCATTGTGCAATCAACAGGAAGAGCGAAACTCTCAAGTCGGATTTGAGCTTTGATCGAATCCAACTAGAGCCCATAGGCGAAGGCAATTAACAATGAAGATGATGAAGCCCACGCCGAACATAGACATGATCTGGATTTTGTTCCTCCAGGACATCTGCAGTCTCGCTAGCATGGGTAAAGGCAACGACAGGATTGCTTCCTCGAGCATTATTTCGATGGCGCCGCGAATGAGCCCAAATAGCCGAATGTCAACAGTGCATCGACCACTTGTTTCGCCTTTCCATCCATCCCAGAAGAATGAGATAGGCTGACATTGGAACATTATCGCTCCCGTGTTACTGATACCAAAGCAGGTAACAGTACCCATTAGGATGTACGTGGTCATCCTTAGTTTTGGCGAGGTTGCGATGCGCAGGTAGAAAGCTAGGATGGACAGTTGACAGAAGGCTTCTGCGACCTGGTACATGAAATAGGTGACGTACAACCACTGCACTCAAATTTAGCTACGGACTGGGCGTAAACGGGGAGGCTGAAGCTACTTGTTATTCGAGCTGGCGATATCCCCCACATGTCCCTCCCGAATTCAAGACGGCCCGATGGACAACCTATCAGTCGACCATTCCATATCTAGATAGAGCGATGGGACATACTTACCAACGATGACAGGGACGTTCTGAAACAGCGAGGCCAGCTACCTTCCATCAGCTTTAGCACTCCGCACGCTCAACGCTCATGACTTACCCCAGCCAGCCCGATGAGTAGGTCGTCTAGCCCAAGCCTTGCCTTGGCTGAGATAAACCGATCTATCAGCCGCAGGATAACCATTAGTACAGCAAGAACGCCGATAGATCCGGTGACAGCGGTCATGGTCTCGCTCTCATCCCGGATCGGTACACCACAAGCCGCGTAGGTTTCGTTGGTCGCGCTAAGCGATGCCGACACAACACAATTTGCAGCATTGCAATTCGCTGATGCTGTATGGAAGGCGGCGTCGGCGCACAGACAGTCGAAGTCGTCTGATTCACAATTGCTCGAGAGTACAAGAGCCTGAAAGTACTTTGCCTACGGTTCTTAGTTACCAATACCACGAAATCTCAGTCGTTAAGTAACTGCACAATCGAGTAGTCTTCGCAGGAAATCGTCTTGTGCGAACACAAGTAGTACGAGGATTGCGAACGCTGCCAATTAGCGCGCGAACTTCATTGCGAAGATGATCGTGTGGGGAGGTGACTGGCATCGCAAGATTCACAAAGCAGTATCGAGAGTATATGCAGGTGTTCAACATGACGCATGAGCGATGATGATCCGTTAAAGGGATTGCTTCCTTGAGCGTTCGACAGCTTGCAGGATCCGAGGGATCATGATCGCTGTCTCAGTCACCCAGTAAACTAACATGCGCTGGAACGACCAACAAGTAATAGGGAATGATCATTGGTATGTTTCAGGTCTTGCCGTGTCCGGGCAGGTTTGTGCCGCAAGCGACAGCATTGACGACCAGGATTCGACATATTTTCCCCCTCAACACGGCTCAACTCCCGCAGATACCGTTACGATCCCCTATGAGTGGTGGGGAGATGTGATGAGCACGGAGTATTTGCACCGATGCGGCGCAGCCGTTCTAAGCGAGCTGTTATCATGCATGAAGATACTAGTCTGACGAACGATTCTGGCTTGGCATGATAGGTATCCTAACCTTGATTTACAATTTCTCTCAATTTCTGTTCCTCATAATTACTATCGTCATGACGATCGCAGTATTATCCACGCTCGCCATTGCTTTCGCTATACTTGGCATACTCTATGCAACCCGTCGATATCTGGAAAAGCAGAATGCTCGACCTCTTCCTCCGGGCCCAAAGGGCTTCCCGCTCCTTGGAAATGTCAACGACATGCCTAGACCCGGCATGCTTGAGTGTCACCATTGGCTGCGACATAAGGACATCTATGGACCCATCAGTTCCGTCACGGTGCTAGGCCAAACGTTTATCATCATTAACGACCCTGGCATCGCCTTCGAGCTGTTACGCGATAAGTCAGCGATTCATTCTTCAAGACCCAGCCAAACCTTCAGTGGTGAGATGTACGTCATGGGCTCGCAATAGCTATGTGAGGGTGGGTAGTCGAACGCTTATTTACTACGCAAACAGGGTAGGATGGCGGCACGCAACTGCGATGGCTCCGTATTCTGCAGAATGGAAAATCCAACGCAAGAATATCACTAAGATAGCGAGCACTAATGTATCCATGTCAGTATTTGATAAAGTGCAAGAGACAGAAGCCGCGCACTTCCTGCTCAACCTTCTGAATTCACCAGACAAGCTCTTTGATCATATACGAAAAGAGGCAGGCAGTGTGATTCTCAAGATCACATATGGGTACACCACTGTAGCTGACGGCAACGATCCTTTTGTCGATCTGGCTGCCAAGACTATGGAGCAGTTTGCTAATGCTACTGTTCCTGGGAAGTGGCCGGTAGATATCTTCCCATTCCGTCAGTATTACTTCCTGGTGTTTAACTCAGCTTCTGACCCCGACTAGTGCGGTACTTGCCAGCATGGCTGCCAGGCGCTGGGTTCCAGGACACCGCGAGGCGAATGGCGGCGCAGCTCAGCCAATGCACTAACCAGCCATATGAGTTCGTGAAGAAGCAAATGAAAGAGAAAAGGCATTCGCCGTCTTTCTTGTCGCAATGCATCGAGGGTCTCGGCTCGGGTGCTGAGATGGAATTCGTTCACAAATGGGCGGCATTGGCGCTGTACCTCGGTGGTGCTGACACAGTAAGTTCATAAGCAAATTTCGACGCCGGTATCACTTTATTGACTCAACCAATAGACCGTATCGTCCATCATGACCTTCTTCCTTGCCATGACCGTCTTCCCGGAAGTTGAAAAGAAGGCCCAGGAAGAGCTAGATCGGATCATTGGTGGAAACAAGCTACCCGTCAGTAAAGACCGCGAAAGTCTTCCTTACATCGAAGCAATCATGAAAGAGACCCATCGCTGGCACCTCGTCTTACCCATGTGCCTTCCGCATTGCAGCACCGAAGAAGATACCTGCCGCGGATATCGCATTCCGAAAGGCTCCATCCTTCTACCCAACAACTGGCATTTTACGCACGACTCCGAAGTCTATCCCGACCCTATGGTATTCAGACCAGAGCGATTCCTTAAAACACCCACTCACCAGAGCGAGATTGATCCCCGGAACTTCATTTTCGGATATGGCCGCCGCATCTGCCCGGGCCGATACGTGGCGGACAATGCTCTCTTCATTACCATTGCGCAGACTCTTGCCGTGTTCAACATTACCAAGTTCGTTGATGATAACGGTCGAGTTATGGAGCCGGAAGTAAAGTTTGAGCCCGGAGCGATCAGTCACCCTGTGCCATACCGCTGTTCGATTAAACCGCGATCGGAGGCTCATGAGCGGCTGATCAAGGCTTCAGAGCAACTGTATCCTTGGGAAGAAAGTGACGCCAAAGAGCTGGAAAACATAAGCTGGTAATATAAAGACAATCGCACGCCCAAATACGTGCGTGCTGCGTGTAAGTTCTTTGCTACCTGCACGTTGTTAGCGCAGCGTTTTGCGAATGTGTAACGTCTGTACCATAACACCAGGTACAATGGAAGAATTGAAGACTTTTGGTGGTTGTGAGACAAGATGGAAGCCGTCCTGGGACTTGTTTATTTTGGTACGCATTGCCTACCTGCGGACCGCCCATCTTAATCATCCTCTTCGTATAATGTTGAAATTCTCTTTATTGTACAAAGGTCGATGAATGCCTGCGTGTACAACATATTGCTGACAATAAACTATCGTGTAAGTGGACAAGGTCTCAACTCATGTAAAACAAGCGTTCCGCCATTGTGGCTTTCCTTATTCCTTCTTCGGTAGCGGATTGACAAACTTGTCCTCGTAGAGCTCTTCGTCTTTAGGCGCCACACCACTTTCTTGTAGTTGTTTCAGCGCCTCTGGGGCTACCTTCCCAATTTGATGGCTCCTCCATTGATTCGTCTCAGAACGCGTCAGCCACGTCAAGCGACCCTCGATTTCCTTGTTGTGGATGTTCTCGATCGCTTTATCTGCGCCCTCTTTGGTCGCGAAATCGATGAAGCAAACAAGGCGCGGTTCTGCTTTCTTGTCGCCATAGAATGGCGAGAAGTCACTGATGCGTTCGATGGTACCATGTTTGGCGAAGTACTCATCAAGGATTCGCTGCGCGTTCTGTTTTTGTTTGGATATGCCAGCATTGGGCGTCCAACCGGGTGTTTGGACTCTAACCATCAAGCGACGACCTTCGAGCAATGGGCGTACAGCTTCGAGTGCAGCGGCGGTGCCCTCGTCAAAGAAGTAGCGAGTAGGGTACGGTTGGTCTCGCTTCTCCTGCACAGGACCCCAAACGAAGTCGTCTTTAAGAGGCTTGACTTTTAGGTTCTTGCGCTGAATCTCTACATCCTGAAGCTCTGAAATGACCTTGGCAGCCTCTGCTCCGCTTCCAAGTTCCACAAAACACATGGTGTCGTTCTGGAAAGTGAAGCGATCAAGACGCATCTGTAATCTCTTGCTTGGTGGCCATTAGCTCGAAGTTGTTGCTTGTGAGATTCGAAATAAAGGAGTAACATAAGACGTACATGGTGCATCCTTTCGATCGTAGTAGATCTTCGATCTCTCTTCTTGTCAGTCGTTTCGGCACATTCAAGAGAGCGAGCCCTGATGATGAGCTTGATGTCGGAGCGCGCGCATCAGTAAGTGCAATCTCTGGTCCTCTCGACGGTGTCTTGATGATATTCTCCCACCTCGATTGGCTAGCAGTGAACTCTCGCTTCGTAATTGACGTTCTGAACAACGGGATAGCTGACTGAGCAACGCGTATGGAAGGCGTTGTCCGAGCAAAGAGGCAGCGCCCACGGCAAAATATCCTGGGTACAGCCATGGTCAATTGTGTTAATCCGAAGATGATGATATGTGCATCCGCAATCGATGATGGCGAATGATCGCGTCTGCTCAAAAAGATGCCAGCCACCATCGCGCTAAACAAAGAAAGTTCCTTGGCTTGCCAAGACTGACTTATCGATAACACCGCCACAAAAGACGCGAAACTGCGACCGCCACGCCGTTCAGTCCTTTGCAACGGATCGCTCGAACAAGCCCTTGCCCACTTGGTATACTGGCACGGCAGAAAAAGATTCGATCAAACGTTCATGAGAAACATAACAAGATTATTCATGGATCATGCTACTTAGGTATCATCTAGCCCTGAACTGTAAAACCGGCCCGTCTTTCTTGCTCGCAAAGACGTCTTGGATCTGATATTCCGACGCCCTTGTCCTACCGACTTCCAAGTCCTTACTTCCAGCACCCAACGTGGTGCCTGGTGCCAGTCTCAAGTCGTACAGATAAAGTACCCTTGCGATCGTCACGGACAGCTCAACGTATGCTAGGCCCTTGCCAATGCATCCACGAGGACCGATGCTGAAGGGATTGTACGCCGACTGCGCTGCTTGGAGACTGCTATGAAGCGGGTTTGCAGATGGGTCAGAAAGCCATCGCTCGGGGATATAGTCGAATGGTTGAGGGAAGTAGTCGGCGTTGTGGTGAATGGCGTAGATTGGGACGCCCACGTCGCATCCGGCAGGGATATGGCGTCCATCAATATCCATGCCACCAGGAAGGACTTCTCGGGGAAGAGCACCGGCGACTGGGGGTGTCATGCGCATGGTCTCGTCGATGCAAGCGCGTAGGAAGGAGCAGCCGCTGAGCTTAGGTCCGGTGACAATCTCCTCGACATCATTGAAAGTTTCCCGGATGTCTTTGCACACTTTCTGCATCGCTGCAGGGTTGTGTGCGAGGTAGAAGAAGGTACCAGCCATGGCCGTTGAAGTTGTATCGGAACCAGCGATGATCAACAGATTCGACTCGCCCCACAGCTCATCCATGCTGAAGCCCTTGCCGGTTTCTGGGTCCTTCGCGTTGAGCAGGTAGTAGAAGAAGTCTTTGCGATCAACATCGATGCCCAACTTTGTTCGCTCCATGGCCTGGCCTTTGCTGTACTGCATGTACTGCGCTCGTTGGCCTGCGATCTTGCGGAAGAAGAGTTTGTCCAGGTGCCAGTTGTGGATGGTAAGGTGCGTTCCACAGATGAGATGTCGGTGTGCCGCGTTGCCAACCAGCTGAGTCGCGAAACGATTGGTAGGGCTTTCCAACATGCCAAAAGCCTTGCCAAATACTAGATCACCCATGATATCGAAGACGAGCCACTCGCACCAATGCGCAGCGTTCCAAGCGTCGTTCCAACCACCATCTTTCTCATCGGTGAGGCTCTTTTCGGCAGACCAGTTGTTACTCTTGCGTCCGAGCAGTTCGCAGCCCACACGTACATTTGCCAGAATGTACTTCTCGAGACTCTTGATAGCCGAGTCGCTGAACGCGTGGCTCATGACCCGCCTCTTGCGTGCATGTTGCATCTTGTCAATAGAGCTATGAACGCTAACCGCTTTGGGTGTGCTGGGAAAGGCTTCGTAGAACGACGCCTTCTTGACGTTCGATCGGAACCCATAGATAGTCTTGAGACCAGTGGCGGTGTTGACGGAAAGTAGATTAGGTCCAAGACGCACGTAAGGACCATATTGCTCGTGTGCCCGGTGGAAAGCGAGATGCCGAGAGCCCTTGTAGGCGTAGTACGCCAGGTAAATATCGGTGATCTTTGCAAGGAAGGGGCCTGGGTAAGATGCGAGAGGGTGGAAAGTCAGGCGGTAGATGATCACTCCACAGATCTGGGCGTGGTTTTAGCTTTGGACGGGATGAGACACCAAGCAACGTACATAGAGAGCCAGCGCTCCAAAGATGGAGGCCAGTAGGAATAGGATTGCCATATTTGCGACAGCTCAAGGAGAGTTGAATATGTGTTGTGTTATTGGTATCGAGCAAAGATCATTGCCACAAACACCCGTGTAGTTGTAATTCGTGTGCACGAGGGACAGTACCAAAACCGTTTCACGAACAAGAACCTGTGCAGATAAAGGTGAATAAGTACTCATTCGCCCTCCTCCACCATCCGCGGCTCCCGCAATACCCTCCCTGATCCCAGCTCTATCGCGATGACAAAGAACAACATCGTTGTGGAGTAGTCTCGTTCCCTCCTCATCGCAGAATCGGCGAGCGGGTGTCTTGGGTATACGTAGCGGCGTGTCACGGCTAGTGTCGGATATCGCTGCAGAACGCTGTGCTCCGGTCACGTGCAGCGGATATCACAGCAAGCGAGGACGCTAGTGCCATCCCACCTTTTTTGGGGTTGGAAGGGCGCGGATATCGTGCGCGTAAGGGTGGAAACAATCACAATCGCAATGGGTAGTGGGCTAAGGATGATTTTGCATCATGCATTGTCAGCAACGCAAGACGCGAGCTCAAATCATCTTGAACTAGCAGCCAGACCATGTCTTCACTGCGGCTAGCGGATGGGAAGTCGTGATGTACGTTGAAGCTGCAAGTAATGTACTATCAGCGCCTCCAGCTGAATGCTTCCTCAGATTCGGCAAGTCATCGATAGGCCCAGCATTCAGAGGCCAGTAATCGAGACGTGTCGCTGACGAGTTTATCGCTTGTCATGTTGACCGTTGAGCGCACTAGTACCTCGCGGGACAAGCGTTCGACTTGAGTACAATGACTGCAGTATGGCATTTCATTACGAAGAGTGATTGAGATCAGAGCCAAGGCGAGAGAGTGCGAGCGTAGTCGCGGTTCTGGATGGGCAACGATGTTCGCGACAACCTGACGAATGAAAAGGCGCGAGTATCAAAGCGGATAGTGCCGTCTTGGCATCCATCGAGCTTCGCGAACATCACCAAGCGTCACGATAGTCAACCCAAACGCGCAACAGCACGGCACCGGCCCATTGACCCATTGACACCCTTGCAGCCTGTCTGGAAGGCCAACACCTCAAGATGTCTGTCGCTAAGAATGTGAAGACTACTGTCTTTTCGGTACGCAGCCCGAACCGATCTCGATATGCCTTTACCATGCCGCCCCTCTTCGGCCACCAACCACTGCGAACACGGGTACTAACTGCAGACCTGTAGAAATACACCGTCCAGCCCACGGGAATCTATGCCGCGATCAACAGGCTCTTCGCGCTCGACCCCAAGCGCTCCACGGGTATCCCCATGAACCCGCAATTCCGCAACCCACCCCCAGGCGGTCTCGACCCCAACGCCTACGACGACCCCGTCACCCTACCTGCCGCCGATATTGCCGAGAACCCATACTGGAAGCGCGACGTGCGACGTCGATACCCCAGGCTCTCAACAGTCACCCAGTCCGACGCAGTTGCTCTGCTCGAAGTTGGAAGCGCAGCAGCACCCAAGCAGGAGCTGATTGGCGAGGCAGGTACAAGGTCACTGGTTGCTGCGCAAGAGGCAGGCGCCAAGGGACTGGCTGTCGCGTTTGAGAAGAACACTGGACTTGCAAAGGATGTACTGGGTCCTGGTGGCATGCCTCCGCTACCGAGCGGACTGCACACCACCCTTGCTGGCGGACACAAGCGATACGAGCTGGAGAACGAGCAGTCATATGGCACAGCGTAGGTGTTTTTCTCTGACCTTGCAAGAATGACGCTAATGTGATACAGATACCCATGCCGGACGTTTGCTTAGAGTGCAAGAGAGTCTGGGTAGGTAGAGAAAGATAATCCGTTTTCTGTATATATGGAGGCTTTTCTTCCATGCTTTCCGTGTAGCCATCAGTGAACTTCTATTCCACTCCTTGTCATGAGCGCGTGGGAGTGTTGTAGGAGGAGTGCACGTGTCCGAATGTCTGATTCATGTCTCCTTGTGTCTCACCGTGCGTTTGCGTTGGTTCTTCACCTTGCATCCTTTGTTGTTCCTTATTGTCCGTCACCGCGTCCAGGAAGGAAAGCACGACGTGTGTTGATGTCTTGGCGCTGTTGAAAGCGACTGCCTCGCCGTCACTTCCATGTTTCGACTGCACCCACCTCCTACCCACGCGTCACTCCTGTCCTTCTTTCCACGTCGTTGCAATCGCAGTTATGAACGCCGTGTACGAGAAGGGACCAACGGAGCTGGGTGGTGATCCCCTCAATTTCATCTACGCCTGTTCTGTGTGTTGCGCCTCCTTCGCGGATGTCTACGAGGGTCACAAGGAGACGGTTCGTGGCCTGTCAGATGGTATCAACCCCAAAGAGCGCCTTGTGACGCGCCTGTTCCTCGCCAGTTGTTGTCATGTCTTCTGCAGCAGTCATTTGGAGGGCGGCGGTAAGTGAAGCGCGACCGAACATCAGGCAGCTGCTGACAGCCACGACAGGACCGCCTTTCCATACAGCTGGACAGCGACCCAAGTCTCCCTGCCCTGTCTGTATCAAGGAGAAAGGCGACAGTGAGCCGCGCGATCTCTTCTCGATACGCGGCTTCAACAAAGATGAATACGATCCTCAGATTCCGCCCGCATGGTTCACCGCGCCTCCCATCCGCCTCGATGGTAGCGGAAAAGAGATGGAGGCACTGCGCGTACGTCATGTCGCTCACAGGTCATGACAACAGCTAACAACAACCAGTTCCAGTATATTGCGCTTATTCGATACTGCCAGAATACTCATGCGACCCGCAAGCCCCTTCAAGAAGCTTTGGCCGATACAGAGAAGAAGTTGGCTAGTGCACAGGATCTTGCTTCCAAGGAACACGCGATAGTCGTCACACTCCAAAAAGAGAACGAGCGACTACGACTGCAGAAAGACCAATTCCAGGCCATGAAAGCCGAGGTTGAGCGACTTCAGGGTCTCGATGAGGAAGTTGCGCATCTTCGCAATGTCAAACCGAAGGACCTCGCAACATTTCTGGCGAACAAGTCAGCAATTCGCCACTACTTGAAGCTTGTCCCTATGCTAGTCGAGTAGGCTAACAATGCCATGCTACAAGGCGATTGCTAACCGCTCCAGTCAAAACGAGAGGATGCAGAAGCGACTTGCCCAACTCGGCTTTGCGATGGCACTAGAGCCTGTACCCAACTTCAAAGGCATTGATCCTCACGCGTTCGATAGCGACGAAGCTCTACCTGAGCGCATCGGACAATCGAACGGTAAACTGCGAACGACTGCCTCGAGCCATACCGCCGGTAGATCGGCTCATACAACTGGGCGATTGGGAACAGCATCTTCCGGGTCCTTTGTCCCGCGACCCATGAAGCGGCAACGCCTCGACTCACCACTTCCCGCCCAGACGCAAATCGACCATCCTTCCAGCCGAGATGCGATGCCACCTCCACCGAAGCCGATGTCCAGGATGCAATCCATGCGCAAGATGTTTCCCAGTCTGCGACAGAAGTTCTCCAGTGATCGCTCCAAGTCTGCAGCAGATGGCTCCTTCGAAGATGATGCAGACGTACAGATGTATGATAACGGACACTGGCAAGACGTTGAAGCCAATCGTCACCCAGCACACGATGACTTCGGCGGCGAGACACCTTACATGTCGGGAGCGCTGCCCGTAGAACAGCCCCATCAGGCCTCTGACGTTCGAGGATCGCAGCTGCTTGCTAGTGTAGGCCTCCAAAACAACCTGTCAGACTTCACATTCCGAGCATCGTCTCCAGTCAAGATGGACAAGCAAAGCAGTGACCATCGTCCCGTCCATTTGCCTACCGAGCCGTCATACATTCGGCTTATGGATGGTTTGTCGCGCGACAACGGGATGGAGCTAGGTCTGAAAGATCCTCGCAAGCAGACCAATACGGATTATCGTATCGATGGCAGGAATAGGCAAGTACCACCTGCTTATCGACATGAGGACTTTGCAGATCGAGTTGATTACCGGGGGTCTCTGCATCTTGGACATCCGTTCATGCACCAGTCGCCGTACGGATCTTCGACCTCTGCTGATGCGCGCCAATACCCTTCTAGCGACCACCAGACTAACGGATACACCAGTCGAGCTTACGATATGCCGGACCTTGGCCCTACCACGCCAGCACCGATGCGCCAACAATATCCCGGTCATCAGATCGAGAGTGTGGTAAGTCCCTATTTCCGAAACGGTCATGACCAGACCCGAGTTTACCAATCGCCCGGCCGCGCTGAACCTCAGGATAGTTCCGATCATTCCGACGATTATCAGTCACGAAGATCAAGGACGAACCAACCTCGGGCCGGCTGGGTTGAAGCTCGCAGCCTAAACGGTCTCTCGTTCTTCGATTCACCCGTCGACTCTAGAAATGAGCCTATCAAGTTGGACTACCGCCGCAGAGAGGTTGAGCCAGCACCAACGCCATACTCGCATCAGCATCAAAGACGTCATCTTAATTCGCGTGGCTTCATCATACGCCCGGAAGAGGGACACTCATCGTATACCAACGACAGTGCCTATGGTTCTTCTCAAACCCGAGAATTTTACAATAGAAACGCGCCCAATAATTCCCAAGCAGCGGTTAATGTACCGCCTGCATATCGTCCAAGTCATTCCCGCATCGGTCAGGTGCCCTCTATCATGCCTTCTATCGTTTCAAGCCGTCCAACTGCCCGAGCCCAACCTCAATGGGAGAACCTGCAGCGAGCGGGCGTCAGGAGTAGTCGTAACGCTTTCAGCAGTATTGCTGGGAGCAACTATGCTGCATCATCAAGAAACATCTTCCCCAGCGCTGGTCGACGCAATGTTAGACGGTAATGGCAACGTATGCTGTTCTTTTCCTATCAGGTAGCGAACTGGAGTACTTATCTTCATGAATGGCTATTTTCGCATGGGAATTTAGCGTATGTATGACCAGGCAGAGAGATGATCGGATTTCTAGTTCTGCTATTAGCGAGTGTTCATCTGTGAGCTAGCCCTGCGAGAAGGATTTCAGGTGCGATCAGCGTCAACCTCGTCTATACGCTTGACTGTTAAAGACCCCCTCATGACCATGATTGCACATGGAAAACGGAGATTCGCACCGTATTCCGCAGACCGTTCGATGCGACGATAAAGAAACCCTCGCAGTGAGCAGATTTGCTGTCGCGCATCACGTTCAACCAAGAGTTTGCCCTATGATGCTTAGTACGCCCGCGCCTTCCCTCTCTCAACACGGAGTCTGTCAGTTCACCTCACATGTGGGTAGACAGCCGGCAGATGGGAAGCTAACACGAATGCGGTAAAGATCAAGGAGGTTTAATATGCGACGACTATGCAACGAAGCTTCCTCGGCATGCAAGGGCCAATGCCGGTTGTCGATGACATTCATTGGCGGACTATCGTGCGTAACCGATTGTTTCACCTACACACCTGATTACTTATTGTGCATGTTGAGAATCCTTAACAGCTGGCGCGATCTTTTCACCCTAGCTTTTTTCTTCGCCGACAGGCCGTTGTAGCCTCCCCACGAATCGTAATCCCTGCGTCCCCGCAAAGCCACCGCGCATGACCCACGATCCCGGTTATTGAAGCTTCCCTTAATATGGCCAAGTAATATATCAGGCACCGCGGCCTCCAAGCTTCAGAACTATGATGCCACATTCGGTACTTTCATATTGGCATCAGATGAAGGCCCACTCATGGCCTTGGGAGAAACGGAAGGTGAAGCCCGTCCATTTGTGGGGCATTAGATCATTGCCATGCGAGCTATCCGCGGTATAAGAGTGATGTTCGCCCAGCAGATGAAATGTAGGACTGTACAAGCACTCTTCAATCCTCCACACGATGCTTTTCAAGACTCTTTTGGCGGCGGCCGCTTTGGCCAGCACCGCCTTCGCTGCTCCTGCTGAGAAACGCCAAACTTCTCGCAAAATGAAGTGGTTCGGTATCAACGAATCCGGTGCCGAGTTTGGTGAGAAGAACTTCACAGGTGTCTACGGAAAGGAATACATCTGGTACGATTTGAACACCATCGACAAGTTCATGGACGAAGGAATGAACATGTTCCGCCTGAATTTCCGTAAGTCACACAGTTTCGATATCCCACGACTTCTCAAAAGCCACAACCTAACACCCTCCAGTAATGGAGCGCCTGACCCCCAACTCCCTCACCGGCGCCTTCGACCCGCTCTACCTCGGCAACCTCACAGAACAAGTAAACCACATAACCTCCAAAGGCTCCTACGCCATGATCCAACCCCACAACTACGGCCGCTTCCTCGGCAACATCATCACCGACACCTCCGCGTTCAAAACCTGGTGGAAAAACGTTGCGGCCATCTACAAGGACAACGACCTCGTCGTTTTCGACACAAACAACGAGTTCCACGACATGGACCAACAACTCGTCTTCGACCTCAATCAAGCCGCCATCGACGGCATTCGTGCCGCAGGCGCCACAAAGCAATACATCACCCCCGAAGGCAACAGCTGGACCGGCGCCTGGACATGGATCTCCTCCGGTAACGGCGCCAGCATGGTTAATCTGAAAGACCCCCAGAACAAACTCGTGTACCAAATGCATCAGTACCTTGATACCGATGGCTCTGGTACCTCGGCCACCTGCGTCAGCACGACGATTTTCAAAGAGAGACTCCAGGCTGCGACAAAGTGGCTCAAGGATAATAAGAAACAGGGCGTTATTGGCGAGTTTGCGGGGGGAAACAATGCGCAGTGTATTTCTGCGTTGCAGGATGGATTGAAGTATATGGGCGAGAATAGCGATGTCTGGCTGGGAGGTATCTGGTGGGCAGCCGGGCCGTGGTGGGCTGATTACATTTACAATATGGAACCTACGAGTGGGGTGGCTTGGACGGGGATTTTGCCCAAGATTAAGAGTTATTTTTTGTAGATGGGGAGGGTCTGTGAGATGGAGATCGGTTGTATATACTTTGCTCTTTTTCTCTTGTAGATATTCGAATAACGAAGCTTTTATTCGCCATCATTTCTGCTCATCTTGATGTACCCCGTCATGTGTTTATCAAGCCTCCATCTAAGGTCTCCCCTCCCAAGCCTTACTCAAATACTCCTCCGCACTCATAAACTTGTACTCGGGGAACCGCTGATTAAACTCATCGCTAACATCCCAAGCCCCCCTCTTAATCGCCTCAAAGAACATAATGACAAATGCCTTGCTAAAACTCTCCCTCACATCATCCGTAACAGTAGGATGGCTAATCAATGGCAACCAGCTCACTTTCAACTCTCCCTTGACAAGATCCTCACTCTTGACATACTCAACAAGCCAGTCTCCGCCTCTGATCTTCTTGCCTAGAGCAAGAAGCTCGTTGATGGAAGTACGACAACCTCTGATACCACCGATCTTCGGCCACGGACGCGTGTCATTGAGGGCGCGAGCGAGTATCTCACCGTCGTCTTGGATAGCAGTGATGACGATGGGTTGGTTCCCATCATCCAGAACCATAGCACGCCGGTTTTCAAAGTCGAGGAAGAAAGGCCAGGTGTAGAGATCGCGTTCTAGCGGGTAGGGATGCGCGAAGTAGTCCATAAAGATGGAGGGTTGGAAGAGGCAGTACTGCATAGATCCCAATTCACCCTTGGCGTCCAGGTCTTCAAGGTACTTCCGGATGTAGTCTTTGTTGTCGTAGCTGGGAACGCCGGCGTAATTTGCGATGCCCCATTCGCTGGGTGCGAAGCGGGAGACGCCTGCTGCGATGGCGGCGTGGATTAGGTTCTTCTGGGCTGTGTTGTCGATGTCGAGATGGACGACGAAGAAGGATAGGAGGGTGTGAAAACCCTGGAGGGCGGTGGTTAGGCCATTGAGGTCGGTGTAGTCGACTTGCTTGTAGGTGACTTTGGGGGATGGGTGGGGTTTAGATGGGGCTGATCGCGTGAAGATCGTGATGTCGTGCTTGCCGGAGGCGATTGTCGACTTAAGTAGGTTGGTTGCGACGTCTTTGGAGAGTGTTAGTAAAGAGTGATAGATTCAGATCTATAGCAGCGTATGAGAACCGTCTGTTGTTTCAAAAGAGGCGGGGCAGACATCTGTGGAAGGGAAGGAAGCATACTTCCGGTGCCGCCTGCGACTGCGATCTTAACCATGATTGCACGTGATGCTATATCGCTCTTTCGATGTCGAAGGATTCAACTGTAAGCCCTATAGATTACAAGCTCCCTCCTTTTGTATCCTCAGCGGCCGCTATCTATTGCTCCGCTTCAAGGCCCCCGCAATTTTCGTTGCGAAGGCGTGTCTTCGGCGGATGACGGCATGGTCCTGACTCGTGCAACAAAACCTCAAATCTTGAAGCCAAGATCTCGGTTATCGCGGGATCGTTGATGTTTGACTGATGTTTGTGTTCGCCGACACGTACCGCTTCTACGATGAGCTGCGACTGGGCCGAGCGTTCTTTGCAATTCTTGGCGGCGATCTCATACAAGAACCACCACAGCGCGATGCTGTGCGACCCAACATAATGTGCTGCTTAGTAACTGTTGACTGCTGATCTGCGTAGACTTCAAAGTGCACAGTGCGGCCGATTCAAATGTGCTTGTAAAGTACTGCGAGAGAGACAGTCGTTCGTCCGACCAGTTTCAGGAACGTAGAGATTGACAAGGTTAGAAAGATGGGAGAAGTGATGAAGACGGTAAATGGTAAAAAGATGGGATATTCGTAAGTAAATATCAAGAAAATGGCGTTCATACATCCAATTCCTCAAGCGTCGATCAACGGAACCTCCGGTAAAGGCTTCTCAGGCAGCGGTTTGCTCGGCAATGGCTTCAACGCATCTTCATACGCCGGTGGTCTCGAGGAGCTGCCTTCGTCCGGATCATCGCGGTACGAGCCGTGAGCATTCAGCAGTGCACCTTCTTCTTCAGCTACTCTCTCCCTCCTCATGTTCTCCCAGACATCCTCCATGCCGTCCCACTTCATGAGCTCGCGCTGTGCAACGACCCACCAGTATACCTTCCATAGAAGAAAGATGGTGAGCAAACCGCCAATGACGCTGCTTAATATGACCCAGAATAAGCCCCACCATTCCCAGTGAACGAATTCGCCAAACATGTCGCGAAGCGTTCCTTTCTTGCCATAGTAACCCCATTCTTCTTTGCGGTAGAGAAAGCGACTTCCCTCTAGTTCCCAGACGTCGCTGCCGAGGAAGTGGCCTATTGTACCCCAAATCGTCAAAGATTTCTTGAGAGGAAAGGTGTAGGCTCGAGCTACTAGGCGCACATCGACGATCTGGTACTCGTAGATCTGGTCGTCTGTGGTAGACTGGCCGAAAGGGTCAGCGACCTTGGCTGGCCCACCTTTATCGCCTCTCTTCAAAGGTGTTCCTTTGACGCGCATCCACAGCATCTTTTGCTCTGGGCTGTCAAACTTCCAGAGTGGGTCGCTGGGGTAGCGCGACTTCCCAATCACGTCCAGCGCAACGCTCCAGTACTCTGCATCCGCGTCGTCGCCTTCGTGGTTATCGCTCGGGTTTGTGATGTATAGGTAATCGATGTACATGCGCGGGGCAGGTGTCAAAGGTACATCGTGGCACCATCGTCCTTTATCACTTTCTCGACAGTACGGATCTTCAGATTTTAGACCCCAGTCAAGTTCCGCATGGGATAGGTTCTGGCGGTATCGCGTGACAAGGAAGGTGGAGGGCGTAGGTATAGTCGGTAGGGGATATAGCGGGCGATCGTTGAGAAGGACTGTGCGATTATCATGCGTGAGGGTAACGTTGAGAAGCTATAGCGCTCAGCGTGGTTAGCACCGCTCTTTAGGCACGTGTTGAACTTATGCTCGGCACTTATACATACAAGCACATGATCACCAGTTACAACCTCGTGATCTTCGGGGTCCTCATAAGGGCAGTCCTTGCATTCTATCTTCGCGATGTAGGACGATCCGGGTACCACGGCTGCGACCGGTGCAATGGGCGCCTCGCACTCTTCAGGCACTTTTCCTCGTCCATCTAAGTCGCAGTCGAGTACTCTGGGAATTTCTGCAGCATGGGCCGAAGACAGAAGGCCGGCCAGCAGCGCGATACTGGACAGCAGCATGGTGGGCTGGTGGTGGAACGATCGAGGACAGGTGCCTGGCGCTCTGCGATGCCGCCGCTGTCAGGGGCGTAGCGTGGCCGAGCCTTGCAGGGGTGTCGCGCAATTAGCCGGCGATCATAAGGCAAGAACCGTGGTTCCCCCACTACTCCTCGATTGATTCAATCACGGCGCGATCCTGACTCTTGCTGTTGATAAGAACGTGTTTTGCATAGCCTATCTGCTTCATGAAATTGCTAATAAGTATGCGATGACATATACCGCGTTGATACTCCTACGTACTAACTCCGTCTTCTTGCTCTACTGCCAAACACACACAATGCTGGAGGTGAAGATGACGCGAGTAGTGTACAAGCGCTACATTCGCCGTTTGGAGCTCGACCAGTGCTGCTAGGACAAATGTGGAAAGTATAGTGACCACATTGGAACGATAAATGCTGAGTCCGGAAGATGGAAAAGGTCTATGAAACATTCGACAATGATGAAAATCCGACACAACATGTAAAACAGCAATGCCAAACAGAGCAGCAGTGTACTTAATGCGTCGAATCCAACAAACAATCCCCGGCCCAAAGACTCCTTCAAGTGGGTTTTCCTTTGTCTTTTGCGGCGTAGTTCCAGTTCTCTTATTGAAGGGCAGTCGTGGTCGTCCTCTGAAGTCGCCTCCGGTCTGTCAAAAGGCCCCGCCCTCCTGCGCGGCCCAAGCTCATCTGTGATCGAATACCATCGAGCCTCCATCGTGCTTACGAGAGACGCTCCGACCATGGAAACAAAGCCGAACACACCAATTGTTATTCCCGATATCCTCCAAAGTATCTGTTCAGTGGGTGTTCGAAACGCGCGGTCCCACGCCAGCAGATGAGCCCCACCGTAGAACAGACTTGCCAAGATAGAGCTGTAAGTTAGAACGCTTGTCAAGATGTTGCGTTCAGATTCCATCTGGTGAACTTCTCCGTGAACTTTCTTGGGTCCGAGCTGCTCCCAAGTAGGCCGATTTTGTACTCTATTCAGATAGATGATACGGCTGTAACCTTGAAAACCCACTTGGCAGTTGTTGAGAATGTCGTATAGCTTTGGTTTGATTTCTTTATGTACTCCAGAGAATTCGAATTTGTTGGCTGCTTCGAATGCGAGGGTAAGACATAGTTCCGAAACCCCGATGTCCTGTCTGCTATGGTAGGCAAGCATGTCAAATTCGCCGAAGTGCTCCAGTGTCATACCAGCTAAAGAAGTATCTTGAGGACTATCAAGAGAGATTGTTGATATCTGGTCTTGACTCAGCCCCGCATTAATACCACTGTGACGGCTGGGTTTTGCAACTCGCAAGCGGGCATGGGGAAATCGATTCGCCATCGCCAGGAAAGCCGCTAGACGGTCAAGGTCCTCACCTTGAAGAACGATACCCTCTTCTACGTCCAGCGGCTTGTCCCACCATAGAAACAGGTACAGGGTCAGAGCGCATACAGTATGTACCGCTGTATTCAATTCCAGGAGCGAAACTGACAACCCCCCTGCGGCTCGATTAATGCATTGGGCGCAGAACCAAGAAGCTTGGAAGCAGGCCAAGAATTTCACCACGGTATTTGCTTTGCTCTTGTCTTGAATGGCGGATTGAGATATCCTTGAAAAGGTTTCAGGTGCGTACTTTGCAATGAACTTGATGCTGTGGACTGAGAGGGCCAGCCTGGTTGCGTGGTCAGATATACGTATATCTTTGTCGCCGAGATCAATTACAAATCCACCCATAATGGCAAACAATGAATGTGTATCAGTCCAAGCATGCGGAGGTCGTTTGCTTTCCGAAATAGGTTCGTGCTGCCGTTCCTTTGAGAAAAGATGCCGAGCAACGTTTCGTAATTTCTTACGTAGTCTGTTGAGGACCTTGGGAGGAGGCTCTTGGCCCAGCTGGTCGCGCATGTATATGCCGAGTTTCGTAGCCTCCTTGTACTGGCAATATGCTGTTACAACGACCTATTATTGTTACGGTATTAGCGACGGTACTGCGAGTGTTGGAATCGGGTTACTACCATTTCCGGTGCGAACAGAGCTATGATGACCCAGCCTGTTTTCCTCCAGAATTGATCCGCTGCTTTGCCGTATTCTGGAATGTTCAAGTGGATCGCCGTCCAGACACATAGGACCAGAGTAAGGACACATGTGTATAGGATTGAAAAGGTTCCCCGAGTTAAAGGCTCGGCTTTCCAGGTATGGTATTGCGTAAAGTTGGTGTGTGAATTGTTCATATCGAAGACGCAGGATGAGATACCGCCTGGGCACTGGTTGTTGCGAGGTAAAAGGAAGCATTTGCAAAAGTGCGCAAACAGCGAGATGATATCCCAACAGTGTTCTAGGCTTCAGCCTCATGAGGGGAACTGCGCAGCTGAAAACAAGCACCGTTGAGTGAGCCAATAGATAGCCACGGAAGCAAACGGCGCAGCTGGTGGCTTGGAGGACCTCTACAAGAAACACTCGAGTAAGCAACAAGGCTCGTCAGTTTATTTGCCATCCTACCTTTTCAACCTACCCAAGCTCACCGCGCTTTGTACTTATAACTTGAGCGCGAGCTGGTATGGTATACCTGTGTGAGTGTTCTCGAGTGTAGCTGGCCGTCTGGCGTAGACGCTACCGAAGCAGCGCGGCTAAGCGAGCCTCAGGCCCTCGCGGAAGACGTCTAAGGCTCCCGAGGTCCTCATCATTGCACAATTGTTGTAGAGCTAAGGTCAAAATATATGGCCGTGCATGGATATATCAGTTGGTGTACACGAGCTCTAAAGATCTTCGCAACCCCGCTTACGTGATTTGTTCGGCGCCGGGCTCCATGACGTCATCGCATGAGATCACAACGCGTAACACACGACCTCGGGCCACGAATAGGTTTAACAACCCAACATCCTCATACCTTAAACACTTCTGAAAAACCACTCCAAATTACCTACCGTCCCAGATTCATACAACCATCCGACCCATACCACACACCCAGCCCACCAACCCCCAAAATGTCCAGCTCAACCTTCCAATCCTTCAGCACCTCCTCATCCAGCACAACCATCAACGGCCAAACAACCTCGAAATCCGAGCACACCTTCACAGACCCCAGTGGCACCCGCGTCGAGCGTACACATCAAGCTCCAGGTGAAGCGCCGCGTGTTGAGCGATTCGAGACGGATGCTACGGGAAGACAGATTGAGGATCACAGACATGCGGATGCGAAGCGGATTCAAGATGTGACGGAAGAGGAGGACGCTAAAATAAAGGGGAGAGAGTATGAGGAGAGGATGCAGGATGAGTATGCTAAGGGGGAGGGGGGTGCTTGAGTGAAAGGGATAGAGTTTAGTTTAGTAGATACATATCACAGTGAATGCATATATCACAAAAGAGGTTTGCAGAATACAATGTGAGCGGGAAGACGCTGCTGCATAGAACCAGGCAGCCAGGCGACTTCATTGACGTTTAAATACGGCCACACCATGCCAAAAAGGACGCCAGGAAACTCCAACCTCAGCCCAAACCCTACAAACCCTTCCCCAAAAGAGAACCCAGGAGACCATGCAGCGCCAGTCATGTCGTCGTCGTCCGCCGCCATGTCGTCCTCAGTTGTACTGCAGGGCTCGCCAGCGCATCTCGTCGGCGTCGGAGAGGGAGTTGACGAAGTGGTGGAGCGCCATGCCCCGAATCCCGTGCAACTCCCACTGGGTAAAGACCCGAGGGGGAGGAGGAGGAGGAGGGCCACCTGGTGGTGGTGGTGGCGGTGGCGGCGCCAGAACCGGAGGGAAACCACCTACTGGGATAGGCGGCGCCGGCGGGGCCCAACCAGGCGGCAACTGTCCGTTGACCGCGAAGCCGGCGTTCGCGGGGGGAGGGACCTCCTCTCCATCGGCCTCAGGCCCAACCTGCGAGAAACACCGCCACATGGTCTTGAAGTTGCCGGTGGTATTCCGGTCTTGGTGGTGGAGGATGGTGGGGGGTCGCCGAAAGTCGCTGATGTTGTTGTAGTTGTTGTTGCTGTTGAGCGAGGAGAGAAGACGGTTGTGAAGAAAGTTCGAAACTTTCTTACGGGGGCAGAAGGATGTGATTGCCAAAGGGCAGAAGAGGGATCCCAAAAGTCGCTTGTTTATATAGTCGGCGCCCTCAGTCCCCAGCGCCCTCGTCAAGACGCGAGCGACGGTGACCTGTACTTGACGACCGCCCCTTAGTGAGGCTCAAGGAGGTGATACTATTGTTCAATGGCCATGTGGCACCCAGCTCAGGCAATTGGAAACAGTTCTGGGTAGTGCAGCACCTCTATTGTCTGCGTGAAGCACTGTTGACCATTTGGGTGACCAACTAGCGCCGAGATTCTGCTGGGATTCTGCGACTCCTATTGACCGCGAGGGTAAGCAGGGTATGATGAGACACCACCGAAGGTTATTGGTATCCTTAACGTAGCACCCCGGGTACGTGTACTGACCAGTCCTGTTCAGGGTATCCTTCGCTAACAACAGTCTTATGAACATCCTACGGCGACCTACTAGGACAGCGTCCAATTCTAGACTGCCAACCTACGACCTACTTCGAATCGAAGCCAGCACAAGAGAGCTACGAAGGGTGCGAGGCAAGGCGACAGGGGAGCAGTGGGGAGGCCAGGGGAATACACGGTCCCTGAAATACGTAGACGGAGGCGGCAGGAAAGGCGAGGACATCTTGAGCAGTAATGGGAGGAGGGCAGCGGCGCCAGGATGATGAGCCAAGGGGATATTATGAGTCCACGTAGGAGGCTCTTGAGCCAACGAGCAGCATGTATCTAGCATGTAGCAGCTACACGCGATCAGAGCAAGACATCCCATGCCTTGAACACCTACTGCTTGGTGTCCATACTTGCTATCATATGAGACGATCCTTCATGTGTAAAGCGCACACTACGAAGGGACGCGTTGCATGTATTTTGGCACTGTACAAGGGCTGGACGCACACATGCTATCCCGATGGGCGTTATTCGGACGTAGCCAAATCGTAGAACTCTTATTCTAGCCGCTCCGCAGAAGGCCAGTAGTTTCGGCAACGAAGGTCTTCTTTGATCGTGTAAGGCGTGACACCTAGCTGTGTTTGGGCAGATTCTGGGATGTGGCCTCTTCGTACACAACGAGTCTCCAGTTACTCTATGATGAACGCGTCTCCTCAGCGTTGATGAAGCGCGGGCTGCATCGTGGCGGGGCTGATATCGTGCTTCGTCTCCCTCCACCGACGGCCGCTTCAGCTTCACCACACACAACCAAAACGCAATCATGAGAATGCAGCTACTCGCCAAACCTTGACCAGTACCTTTTCAAGAGCGAAAACCTCTATTGCGACCGCTTATTCAAAAGGCGTTATGCCCAGCGACGGCAGGCTTGTTCAAGGTCTTTACACGGCAACAACCCACGACTTCGCGCCACGAGCCCCTCAACCCCCAGGCCGACGAGAGAGGCTTCCTGCGAGCTTCTCTGACATCAGGGCATCCTCGATAATAGGCAGGGTCGCGCGACATCTCTTCGAAGGCGTGGCTAAGATCCCCTCACCCCTGACGGAGAGCTCACTCACCCCAAGGCGAAGCCGACCGACGGCATGGCAAGCTACTGCGCGACCTTTACCGATCATTGACAGACGATTGGCTTTCCGACAGCCAACAGTAGCAATGCGCTAAGCCCATGGCCGACTTGCTCACTCCTGTGGTGGCGGGGCCCCTCCGCGGCGTTGAGAACGAGCTTGAAGACTTTTGCTACCCCAAGACGACGACTTGGATACACCAGGTCTGAAGCCCATACTGGAGATCCAAGAGCGACTGACAAAGGATGAAGTGATCCAAGACAAACTTCGGGCACTCCGTACGACCACCTCGAATCGCCGCCCTCCTCGCACACACCCTCCTACAAAGCCGCAAAGCGCCCCCGAATCGACCGGTACCACCGACGCGCCCTGATAGTAGGCCAGACACAAGGCTTGGGTGGGCTCCATATTGAATGCGAGGGCAGCAATGGGCCAGACAAAAGTGAGAAAGAAGAGGCATTCCTTGGATGTAGGGCAGCTCGACGAACCGGCGGCGAAGGCTCCAAACGTGACAGATACCGGCGACGAGCTACAGCGACATTCAAGCGGCTTATATGCTTTCTCCCGCATGCACACTGTAGCTTGGGAATGTGATCAACGAATCGCGACCGATTCGCTTGAATGGCGCGTGGTACACCGTCGACTACGGACAGCCTCAAGCTTGAGAGACGCCCAGCAGCACACAACAAGGGCACAAGCCTCATGACATTGGAGTTGAAGGACAGGGCCGCGCGACATGTCTCCCGTAAATCTTGCACAACGGAAAAAGGCTATTCTCTCTACCCATCCTCAGCGGTCAAGTATCAAGCCGTCCGTGCTGAGGGTCGTCGGCAAGAGGCCAATGAGCCGCATAATCGATGCGACATTTGGAACGATGGACAGCCTCAGAACATGTTTATCATGACACGAGCCAACCAAGATAGGCCCGTTTGGTGATGGGCATAGCGAAGCCGGCCATACTCTCGTCAGATGGTCAAGATCCGGCCTTCGGAAGCGATGTCTTGAGGCTGAATGTCCTCATGAGCTCGGAGCGACGATGGGAATAGCACCGGGGTTACGCACATCCATGGTTGCAATATGCATGAGCATGCCGAGATGAAATACGAATAGTTCGCGCAGCGTTGTGCTGTTCATAGGACGTCTTCCAAGGCATTCGACGCCCTCACGACGGAACTCTGAAGACCATGGCGCACAGCTTTCCACGTTGCATGCTGCGAAAGTATCTCCCTAGCTCTTTCTATCGCCAGCGAGATGAACGATGACAGACCGTTATTATGGAATAATGGAAAACGAGTTGGCGGATTCCTCGATGAAGTTTGCGAAGAAGGAGCGAAGACGTGCGGTCGAAAGTCCGGGAAGGATGACGCGCGGAAGCGAATGTGGGTCGCCATCTTCCACCCCAGCCACCGTCGACGTACAGCCGCGGTTCATCTCTTGCCATCCTCACGGACAATCTGGCGTCTGCACAGTACTTCAGTACCATCGCTATCGACAGCGACCATGTTCTGGTACGGGTCAGAGCACGCAAATGTCAGCAAATATCCGACGACCAAGAGGAGGGTTACGTACCGCTCGCTGCGAGGGAGGCCACACTCATTCGCTCACGACGCTATGCATGAGGCCCACGGGCTAATGGAGACATGTGGTTTATTGGAGATTGGAGAACTTATTGCGCATTTGAATCTCAACTCTGAACCAAGATGTCGCTCGCATCCCATCGCCAAATCTGTTTCCAAAGCCCATCCACAAACTTCCAACACACCGCTCCGGGGGTTCCGACAACATTTACCACCCTTTACCATCCATACACCCAAATCTTCCCGATCTCTCCTCTTCAGAGTCGGAGGCATCCTCCGGGGTAGGCGATCGCTCTGTGAGTGTTGATCTTCGCCTTCATTTTCGCCCCCTTGGCAGCCTTCTTCTTGGGTGCGTTGACAAACATGCGGATCTGCCATGCCGAACACATGACGTTTTCGCAGATGCACTTCTCTTGTGCGGGGGCGGTGACGATGCTGTCCAAGCGGCCAGCACAGTTGATGTCTTTGTCCTCGTCCTCGTCAGAGGCGCCGTGCCAACCCAACACAGAACACTCCATACGGCACTCGGTCCTGAGCCCGACGGCAGTATTCTGCATCGGGTCGCAGGCGACATACTCTGGCCAAAGCCTAGCAAAGTTAGCTCATGCCTCATGTGCGGTTCGGATAGGATGGTGCTTGTACGTACCGCTGCGGTGCCATGCTCATATGTTCCGTGGACGGCATAGGCGCGAGCGATCCTTCCACAACAAACACACTGGTCCCACGAGTCTAGTGTGACGAAAGCGAACTCGAGGTTCTTGGGTCCGATGTGTTCGTTGTAGAAGTTGCTCAAGCGCTCTACGACGTCCACGGATGGAGCCGGCGTTGCGAACTTGATCCCATATGAGGGTTGCCAACGGTCTCCGTCACCGCGCCGAATGATGCCAGCGTCTTACGATTTCCCACGAAGACCCAAGCTAGAAGCTTTTACGAACGGACAACTCTGCGCAACGCGTTCAATACCGTTGGTGGATAAGGGCCCCGGCCTCGCCCTACCCAGTCGCCCCCAACCGAATAACTTGGGACGTCCTTGATGGTACTTGGCGTTCGTAACGTTGGCAGTGGCCCAGTAGTATGAGCGCTGTGAGAAGGTTAGCAAGATTGCACAGAAGTGTTGGAAGTGAGGTGCTTACATCGGCGCCGAAGCCATGTACATGGGTGCGGCGGATGAACTCGATGTGTTCTCTTCTTGAGATGCGTATGAGGCATCTAGTGAGTCCGTACCTCCACCTCTGCAGATAGCGCACTGGGCGGCACCGATGGAATCGAACTCGATGCGGAAGATCAAGCGCATGGCATCATGGAGGGTGTCGACGTGAACGATGTTGCGAACGGTGCCGAACTCACTGGCTAGATCTGCTTTAGTGTAAGCTTGGGCTGGCATCAGGTCTCGTCGAGTGCATACCGCCATACCCAGACTGAGTGTCCATCGGTGAAGGGAATGCTGAGTCGGCCACAACAGCTGCACCTGCGCGGCTCGCACTACAGCGGAGACAGGTAGTGTTCTTTGCGAAGTTGTGGTAACCGCAGTCGTTCTCGCCACACTTCCAGGGCGATGGTAGATCGTAACAGCAGCCTACATGATGCAGGAAGCTCTCGCGGAGGTCATCAGGAGCGTGATGAGGCCGCATTGTGTGTTGTCGGTGCACCAACCCCCATTGCTAAGGGAAGGCGACTTGCTGTTTGCGGGTCCAGAAAGCAATACGGCGTCCGCCGAATCGGGTGAACCAGCCCTCTAGTTCTGACTGCGTTGTGTCATGGGGAAGACCGCTCATGCGGAGATCGAGAACCTTGCTGCGCTCCGACAGGAAGGCGTGAACGTCCGCGCGGGCGTCCATGGGCTTGGCCAAGACGTCGGAGTGATTGACCGCAGTCGTTCTCGCCGGATTTCCAGTCTCCAGCCCTGAAGGGTACAGCGCCGGTGCCTCCACGCATGTGGCCGCCACCTATACCGTGGGGTTTGAGACGTTGCGGCGGTCATCATTCATCAAATGAGAGCCAATGCGGCTTTCATGATTGTGATGGGGGCCTGTAGAACAGAGCCATCGAAGGAGGTTGAGTGACGGTACCATGCCATACTCATATCCTTTATGAGAAGATTAGCAATGTCGCATAAGGAAGAGCTGAGATAGGGTACTTACCTTGGGGCTTAGGAAGCCCGCCGGGGCATAGGAGCCATTGCTCTCGTTTTTGGTGTGACGACTCGCCATCTCGAGTTCTCTTCTGGTATCGAACTTCTTGATAGCGAGTCATTCAGCCGTAGCATTCCATGCATACGGAGGGTGTGTAAGTCGAAACAAAGCCAAATCGTAGCACTCAACACTTGCAATGACGGTCTCCGGAAGCTTGACATTCGCGTTCGGCGCCTGGTGCAGCTGCACTCTCCGTGCGACGGCAAAGAATTAGTAGTTAATTTCCATGCGGTCGTTCTTGGGCTCGTCACACGGGCACATGTAGAGCCCTCTCCGGAAGCCATGATACCAGCGGCCGTTTTCCATCTAGTCGCTGTTCTGGACGGGCGCGGGACCACATGCACTGTCCGGAGGCGAGACCGTGTAGAGGACGATGGATGTACGGGGAACGATGATTAAGTACTTCAGTGCCTCTTTCAAGCGGTATCTGAACTCGATCTCAGCAAGGGGGTCGTGACGAAGGACAGGCCAAAGACGTGAGTCAAAGGAGGGGAGGGCCAAAGATGTGAGTCAATTGACTTGACAAAAGTACGGCAAGGGCTGTCGACATAGTCTGCGTCCATGAACGTAACGGGTGCAATTCGCAACCGTTCATACAGAGCGACTCTGCAGCCTATTTGATGTTAGTAAGTTCCAGTGCGGAGATTGCTGACGCAGTACACACCTCGAGCGGCGCCCGGAATGATGTCTTTGAGGCGAAGTCGAAGTAGTTGTTCTCGTAGAAGACCTCGAGGGCGACGGCCTGGGCATGCCCGGTGGCGAGACCGAGGAGAAGATGACGATGTTCATGAGGATCATCTTGAGGATCTCGTTGGGCAAGACAACGGACCAACGAGATCCTCCGCTGGCGAGCGCAGAGAGCAGTCATCTCGCGAAGCTTGGTGTCGACCTCGATAGATGTGGTGATCAAGGCCGACACCGGTGACATTCCTTGTGACTGTGGCATCCGGCTCGGTTACTACCAGCCACGATTGTCCTGAGTACTGAGTAGTATGTTAGTATGCAAGAGATGGAGCAAGGTTACACAAAAGATATTGACAGAGTACTGGAGGGGAGAGAGCAAGACGTTGCCAAAGGCGGGGTTCATGGCGCCTCGCAGCGACTTGGGGCCGGATGGTTATAATCGCGCGACCCACAATACAGAGCGCGAAGATAGTACAGCGCTCAAGCAGGCAAAGAGTGTGAGTGTGTGACTTACTAGGGACGCCACCATCGACGATGTAGCGCGCAACCGTCCATGAGTGCACGTATTAGGCTCGGAAAGCCTTGCGTTCGCCCGCCGTTCCTGATGAGATTGTCAGAGACTGCACGAAGAGACTTAGAGCGGAGTAGAGGGTCGACTTACTTGTGTGAGGAAGGTCGCTCATGTGCAGAACTTTGCTTCGCTCCGACAAGAGCCAAATGGGTGCCGTTGGGGCCTGTCAAAAGTTTGTATAGAGCTTCGGTGGTGGGGTGGTAAAGAGTTGGAGGGGGAGGTCGGTGGACGAGCTTATATGGCAGCCCTGGCAGCCTGGCCAGGCTTGCAGCTAAGGCTCGCGGCCTCACGCTCACCACCACTTGGCATCAATGGGTGTTCAGGATGCCCCTGAGGTCGTATCAACACCAGGAAAGCTGGAGGAGCTTGCTACGGGCTTCGCGGAGCTTGTCATACTGCTCCTCGGGCTCTGGGGAGGATGGGTGTCAAGGTATAGACAGGCTTGAGAGGAGACTCAATAACTTGGACCCTGAGCTTTCAGATTGCGCTATGAGTGAAGCAGAGAAGCAGTTGCGACCGTGCGGGGTGGCGGAGGCACACCCCAAGGGTGTAAATATGGGAGTGCAACTCCACCACGTCGAGAAAGAAACACCCGAGAAGTTGGAGGAGGATATCGTGAGCTCTGCGCTGCTTTTGGCACTGGCCAGATATTTTTTGGTCTGGTGGTGGTGAAGATACAGCGTAGAGGGAGTGGGTTGCCCGAGACTCCTCCGCAAAAACCAGCTCAAGGAGTAAAGGAACATCAAATCCTTCGCTGAGCTTCACAGGCGGGGACCTGGCAGCCTCATGCAACACGGAAGCAGACGTTCGTAAGAGTAGACAGAGCACAGCAGCGAAGCCCTGATCCGTACCTTTCCCCTCGCACTTTTTTGGACAGAATTGACAAAGTGGTTGTGGAGCCGCAGCTCGGACACGGAGAAACTCTCGAGACTCGGTGGAAAATCACTGCCTTACGACCTGGAGAATATCGAGTTGGCCGCGGAGGTGGCGGGCGGTACAACACCAAGGCCAGGGCGCCGGCCTGTGGCGTCACGACCACAAAGAGCTACCGAGTATCGAACGCCCTTGGGCTTGCCTACGCCAACACCTAGACCCTCTGACCTTTCTGGACCGGATCGCTTGTGCTACTGTAGAGCTACTATCTAGAGAATGCGAACGACCCTCGGCGATTCACCGCAAACCCAGCCCGCCGTATAGTCCGAACCCGCGATCGACAGTAGAGCCCCAGATTAGAAACATTCTGGAGCGCAAGCTTAAGACCTTGCAGCTGTCGCCTTGTTAAACACATGTCGGTAGTTGAGCGTCCAGGGTTCTGTACAGGCAGACATGGGGACGGCGAACGGCTTTGGGTATACGGAGAGGATCATGCCAGGATGGCCAAGGTACTACAACGTGGAGCTGAGATACCATGTGTGTCTTGTAAGTCAGTGTTTCCGAATTCATGCAGTAGAGGCTTCAACAGTTGTCATACATTGATGGGTCAAAACGCTTACGTGGATGCACGCAAGCACGAACAGGATCAGCGCGTGCAATGTATGCGTCAAGAGTACTGCAGAGCTATACATAATTCTACAAAGATATAGTACCGAGTCGGCGAATGCATCCCTTACGAGGTTGTTGACGAGAGCAACAAGAAGGTCACATTCCGGGTCTGGATGAGCTAAAGATGGCTGCCATCACCGCTGGGGTTATACATGGGGATACTGGAGGTGGCAGACAAGGTGCATATGTCTGATAGAGGCGATATGGCCTTGGAGGTGTCATGGATGCTGCTACAGGATCTTTTGTCTACGACAGACTTGCTCGTGGTCGGTGCTAGAGACTTTACTCGAATCAATGTGGTATTATCTACTGATTGAGATTATCGTCTTTCAGATGGATCTTTTTTGGTATCTTAACACAACTACATATCCTCGAAGCGTCCGTACACGGTCAGGAGGACATGCGAGCCAGCCATCCGCTTACTCAACTCCTTCCATTGCATCCTCCTTGAGCATCGCATACAACTCCCTCTCCAACCAGTTCCGAACCAAAGCAGTTCCCACCTTCCCACCCTTCCAGTTCACCTTCTTCCATCCCACCGGCTTCCCATCAAGACCAACCGGCCACTTCTCCCAAACAATCTCCAAATCCTCTCCATCCACACTATACGTCCACCAGCCTCTCGCAACAGTCCTGTGCTTTCCAGCCGGCTCCCTCTTGACCTTCTGCGTCTGACCGCAGAGGGATGTATACATCCAGTCTCCACCCGGAGGGTGACCGGCGGGAGGGGCACGGGTACCATGGAGGGCGGTTAGGCGCGCGATCTCGTCGTCGTAGAGACGCTTCAGCACGTGTTCGTTCTGAAGCGGCGTCAGAGAGGGGTGTGGGAGCGGCTTCCTGAGATGGCCGATCCAGAGGGGACAGTCCGATCCCTCCTCGAACGTGAGGGTCGTGATGGCGTTGGCGATCTTGGTCTTGGCCTGGCTCATGTTAGTACTGATGGTACATGTGATCGGATGGATGGACCTACTTCTTCTTCGACTGGGTCACGAGCGGGAGTCGACTTAGGACTGACACCAGGCTTTTCACCGGCGACAGAAGGGTCTTGCGGAATACGACCTGGGTCGAGGTCGGAGATGTCGCTCAAAGCATCACTCAAGACGCTGTCAGAGTCGGAATCCGACTTGTCGCCGTCGCCCACGTATGCCCTTTGCAGCTGACGATTCTTCCAGACAGGATTGCGGTTAGCGGACAAGATGCCCTGGTGACGACGTTGTCCGTCCACAACCCACTGCTGCCTCCTCGCTTCAGTCGCCTGCGCCTGAGCGAGCTCTTCTTGCTCAGTCTCGAGGTGGCGGGCGCAGATAGCTTTCGCCCAGTCCAATTCATCCCGTGTGACCTTTTGAAGGGCAAGGTGCGCGGTGATAATACGATTGGCTTTTTCTAGGTCGCGCTTCCACTGTGGCTTCTGCGCTTCCTTGATGACCTGGCTGGACTGAAGAGGGGTTGATGTTAGTGACTGCTTCCTATTGAACTGGGGTAACGGTGACTTACGAAACCGATTGGGGTAGGCGTCTCCTCCGGCAGTGAGGAGTTCGCGAGTGCATGACGACGAGCAGGCGTGTTCTTGTCCTGGACAAGCCCCGCCTGGTAGGCCGCGATGTCGCGACGAGGTTGAGCGATGGAGCTTGGCGACTTGTGCGCTTCTCGCTTCTCGCGAGCCATCTTGAATGAATGAAGAGGGTGTATAGAAAGTGGTATAAGTGTAAGAAGGAGGGGTATAGAGAATTGAGGTAGAGTTGTGTTGGTGGGGTTAGAATGTCGGTTATGTGTGGGCGACGAGGGAGTTTGTGCGTTTGACGCGAAACTCTTTCATTTTGGCGACCGCAACACCTCCTAGTTTTTCCGTCCTCTGATGTTTTGCTTTGGTCTTCACACGATCACCGCCGGCGGGCGATATAGCGTATGGGCTTTCGCATCGAGTGGTCGCACTCAGTCTCTGCTATCAGATCAGTCTTCTGCACAATGGCGACGAGGATATGTAACAAGATTTACTGCTGATATAGAAGTCGAGAAACTACTTGCCCTGGCTCATTATGGAGGGCTTCATGAGGCCTAACTAGTAGACGGAGTGTTTGTAAAACATGCTCATATCCACGAGACCGCCGGTCTATTTGCCATCTTCCATCAGGCGTGATAGAACATATGAATCTTGACCATGGAATGACGTTTGTCAGGCTGACGTGATCACTTGAATTGGAGCATAAGATGAGATAGACAGTAGGCAAACAGAATTGAATATGCATAGAGACATCAGGGGTATTATACAAGCGCTCATAGCGACATAAGAAATCCAACAACTCCGCGCTTCACATCATTCAACATCGTGAGAAAAGTAAACAAGAACCAGCCCGACCCGCCGTATTGATGGCTAGTCCAAAGGATGGCGCATTGAGTCGACTTAGACATGGTCGTGGCGTCCGAGCAACTTGCCCTTCTTACCGAGAGCCTTGGCCTCGCCCTGCTTGATCTTCGCAAGTCTCGCCCTGTATAGTCGTTAGTAGCTACTCGACATCACGTTGTTTGTCCACAGTGATACTTACTCCTCAGCAGCCTCACGCTCCAAACGATGAACATGTTCCCGTGCCTCCCTTACAGCATTCTTCGCAACAAAGAGCGCACGGTCGGCATCCCGCTCCGCAACCTCAGCAGTCATAAGACTCTGCTTAGCAGTCGCAATGCTAGGGTCTCCAGAGCCACGGCTGAACATGCCAGATGTACGCTTAGGAGACGAGGTGTATGTCGTGGTTGTGCGGCTGGTGGAGCTGCTATGGCGCGAATCCCTGTACGAAGGGGAAGAAGAGCGACGCCTGGAGAACATGGAGTGCTTCTGAGGAGGAGCAGGAGGAGGGCTAGGCTCCCGCTTGGATCCAAAGAGAGGCATGTTGCTGGTTGGGTGTAGAAGCTATGAGAAGCTTCAAAATATTCGATAGGAGATCTGGACTGCAGGATCCGTGCTTGGCTAGCCGTTGGGAATGATAAAGTTTGGAGTTTGGAGTTGAAGACTCGGAAGGCACATGCCGGGTCTTATATGTGAAGTCCTCCCTGTCATAGCGCTCCTCGGTCGTGTCTTCCCAGCTGTCTGTCAAAGTCGCGAAAGCAGGGTTCGGGAACCTGCATTGCGTGACGTCAATGCCCCAATGCAGGGGGTGATCTGCGCCTCCAACATCACAGCAAGCAGCCGCATCGTCATCGCTAATCTGCGAGATGAATTGGTAACCAAAAGAAACGTTCATCGCGATATTGTGAGATGAAGTTTAGCGTGGTGTTGAAGTTCGTTGTGGGTCTGTGAGTACGCGTCCTACGCCGGATCTGGTGCCGGAGGCACTTGGTGTACCGGACTTGAGCAGAGCTAGTGAGCTTAAGCAGACTCCAACTTCAAGGAATCTGGTGCCGGTTAAGCCGAGAAAGATGGGAATAAGTCTTCGTTAAGCTTTATTTTCGGCGATGCGACATTCGGTGTGCTCGTTAGCAGCAAGTGATAACAATATGTTCTGTCTAAGAAGGTCGTTGACCTCACCGGCCTTCAGCGCCATGCACATGCAACGTGTATACCAAAACGCCACCCAATGCTCGCTATACATATGATACAACATAGATCAACTACATTTGGCGCCTTCGCTGTTGCCCATCATCGTTTTGCTCGTCGTCTTGATGATGCTGATGACCATTACTATACCTCCAAATGCTGCAACAGCCCCAGCAATGTACGTCTTCAAGCTTCTTTGACTGAGCTTCATGTAGCAGAGAGGCGGCAGGATGAATGCCAATGCACATGCAGAAGTTGCGCCGAACAGTTCAAACACTATACCGAGATCGCAGGTAAGGAGAGAGAGCGTGAGGGCGGAGACGACTAGCGTGGTCGTGAAGATGAGATGGCGGTTCGGGTGGTAGGGCTCGTCCGGGAACCAATAATTGTTCATGACTTCTCGGCATACGAAGGCTTCGAGTGGAAGGGTCGTAAGCATGTTGAGCCCGAAACACAGCCGCGCAATATTGACCATGAGATTATCGTTCGGAAAGTTATTCAGCACGTTGCCAAGGGTTTTGTCCCCGAAGGTCAAGTAGCCTGACAGAGCCATGACAAGACATGCGACCAGAGATATGCTAGTGCTGTAGTGTGTAACGCGTGTGAATCGATCGATGGTGGGTTTGCGGAGGGAGCCGTAGATGAGGAGGCTGTTGTGGTGACAGACGAAGGCGAAAGCTATCACGCCGATTGCTTCGAAGATGCCGGGTCGGATGATGAGGTTGCCACGAAGTTGACCCTTCAATTCGGCGGGTACACGGAAGGCTTGTGTGACTACAGTTACTATGATGATGGTCATACTGACCAGTGCTAGACCACTTGCTTTGGCCAGCTGTATATTGTCAGCCCAAATCTAAGAGTAAAGCCCAGAGTTCCTACCTTCGATATGTCCCGATAAAGTGACAGTGGAAAGGATATGCCAAGAATCAGCAGGATCATGATGGCCCGTCTATTAGTCAGTAGCCAGAGAAACGGCATATCTGCTAAGGAAGGGAACATCGAATCTAAGACCCTTGGTATTGTGTCTCCGACTACGACGCAAAACGCGACCATGCCGCCGAAAGCGCTGTATGCTGTCAATACCCTTGCTGCCACAAGTCGCAGGGTGAACATACAAGAGCCATTGCGCGAGGGATATCGCTATTAACCCTGATTTCCCGAAACAGTGTTGCACCGTGGCTTGGAACGAGTCGGTACCGCTGAGCTTGGAATTTATGACAATGAGTCGTATGGTCCAGTCTACTACGATAGTAAGGCCGATGAGGAGGGCGGTGCCTGTAACGAGGCCTGCGTTGCGAACAGCATACGGTTGTCCGATGATACCAGCTCCTCTGCTGTATGTCAGCTTTCTTCTTTGTATTCGAAATTGGCGGCATACATTATACTGTTTGCCATGTTCATGAACGCGCTCCGCATACCGCTCCGTGGTCGCGCATTCTCGAGATGGTCTTCGGGATTGAAGGATTCTTCGGCGACTGTGACGCTCGGCGCCTCGATTCCGGTAAGCAGAGGAAGCCGCTGCGTCCTTTCCCGTCCGTCGCCGCCATCCAAGTAGTCATCTCCATCCAGCTCGAGCCAGTCGCCGCCATTGTTGTCCCCATTCATGCTCCTCCTGGGTTCCTCGAAGCGCACCCGATTGGGCGTTCTTGGCGCGCCATCAGGCCGGGCTTGTGCGAACGACGACTGCCGCTTAATGTTGCCATTTGGACGTGATCCTGGTGGTGCTGGAGACGCGGAAGTGGTTCGCGATGATGAGGGCGATGGAGACAGGTGTCGCGGACTTGCTTTGCGCTCGTGTTCGGGTTCTGAGTCGCTGTCTGAAGGGTGCTCATGCAGGAGCTTCTGGCTTTCGCTCATCGTGGCATTGTCGAAGTTCAGGGAGGTTTACAGCTTGAATGATCGTCGACATGTCATTCCCGACTTCTGACATCGGACATTGGACCCCTGTTTCGCCACTAGATCATATATGGCTTAGTGCTCATCGTCACTTCCGGCGAGAATTGTGGGGTGAACTTGGCTGAGGCATCAGAGTATTATTCTTGTACGTGTTCGATCATTCGCATTGCACTACATAATTGTGCTATCTATATTTGAGTTCGTTCAAGCTCAAGCCTGGGATTGTAACCGACGCATCTGCTGTGAGATCCTCCAATGCTGCTTTCAGGTTACATGGATGGTATGCGTAACGCGCATGCATCCATTCGGCCGATTTCATATTTTGCACCTGACCGCAAAGTGCGCTGAAGCTCAAATCGCGGAACGGGATCTCAGGTCGGGGCTGATCCAGACCCAGACGACATAATTCCTTCATCAGACTTCCAAGAAGATAGGAGCCACACTGGAAAGACATGTGAGAATCGCATAGGCAAGTATAATCTGTCCGACGATACATCTCAAGACGCTCCTGGAGGCCCTCAAGGAGAGACTCAATTGCCAGGTAACGCCTTGCGTCGATTTCATCTGTTGTGCATGAGAATATGTCTGATTGTGGCGATTTGTAAACCCACGTACCTGATACTATCGCAGGAATAGGGAGATCCAACGTCCTGAAGGACTCAGTAATCTGCCTAATGGATGTTGCCGTGGCTTTCGTGAACTGCTGTTCAATATCAAAAACCCATGCAATCCAGACCCACAATACCAGATCTCTACAGTGCATTTGGGGTATAGGTCTCTTTGTAAGCTCCAGGATCCACACCTCAGTGAAAACATCGAGAGCCTCTTCGAAGTTGTAGTAGTCCTCCAGAACAGCGATTTTGGCAAGCATTTCCAAGGACACTTCTCGTGGAACTTGCTTGTTGCGACCATGAACGATTCGCAAAACAATCAGGAAAGCTTCGGCATCCCAGTCGTGAGCCGTTATGTGGTAAAGGCCATCGGCTTCGTTACGAACAGACTCGGCGAACCCGTTCTGTGCTAGCATCCGCTTGAATGCGACCGACGCAAGTATCAGGTGGCGTGATGACACATGGTAATGGATTGACTCTTCTTCAGGCTCTTCCGGCAAATCCGGTGATGGCGTACGCTGCACAGCAGAGGAAGGCTCTGTAAGCGCGGTGGACCCTTCATCCAAGGTATACATGCTGCTGTCTGCAGGAGTCTCGACAAGTGCAGGTTCCTGATGAGGTCGAGATGTGGAAGGTTGTGGATGCTCATCACTGTACTAAGTCAGGACAATCTTGTCGTGCTTGATCGGTGGTATCCCTTTTCATACCCCGATTTCTTCCCTTTTTTGTTCTTCTTCTTCTTGTAAGATACACTCGACTTCCGTAAACCCGAACCCCAACTATCGACGTCATCTGGCTGCACTGGCACTTCAGACATGGTTGGATTGCGTCGTTCCTCCTCTGGATCCCAAGGCGCAAATATTTTACACGGATTCTTGAGCACTATGACCGTATCCGGATCCGGATCGATGATGTGGATGGTGGGTGCCATGACCGGTCTTGAGAATATGTAACGAGGTGAATGGAAGTATGTCTAAAAATTAAGTTGACTGGCAAGATGGACGTCTAAGTGAGATAGTGGAGAAGGGAACTGTTCAGCCTTTGGTCGAGAACTGAAGTAGGCTGACGCTTCCATGTCGCTTCCACACACTGCGCATCCATTACATTGACCTGCGCATGATGTCCAATAGTACATGCAGGATCAGCTATCAGTGCGGAGTCATGCAGCGATGTGTTTGCTGTCCAGCGCCAACACAACGGAAAAGTTGTGTCATTGGAGACTCACGTTACACAACGCCACCGAGCTGCATCACCAATACATGTTGGATAAGACATGTATGCAGAGGTCGGAATACAACGCGAGGAATGATTGGATGAGTCCACATAGTACCGCAAGCGCGCAACTGGCAAAGTCGTAGTGTAGTAGCTTGAGATTCTGGAGAAGTGCATGGAGAGATACCAGTTCGGCGGCTAGCGATGAGATGCGCAACTGCCATTGGCAGAGACCGTAACCATATTCTCCTTCCTACCCTGTCCCGCTCCAACACATCCTAAAGCGCCTTCCTAACCGCACTTTTAAACGGAATAATCTGCACATCCTCCAAATTCCACACCCCCTCCTTGACATAAACATCCTGCTTCAACCTCTCCACAACCTCCTCTCTCGTCTTAGCACCAATGAGGCACGCTGAGCCCTTCATCTTGGGTGGGTTTGTGTCGCCTTCTTTGATGGGTTCCTCGAGCATCGCTCCTGCAGGAATATAGCATTAGCACTATCATTTCCTAGTTGACGATGCCATTATGCCTGGTGAAGCAGACAGAAGACGGAACACCTGAATCGGAAACGAGAAGGGGTGTAAACATACCACCCCACAACCACATATCTTCCCTATCCGCCTTCAACCCCTCGAGATGTTTCGGGCGGCTCGCAATACGCTTCTGCAGCGCATCCTTATGATCAGGCACGATGATGAGCCATTCTTGTAGTGGAGCGCTGGATGATGATGCCATTGTGCGGTGGTGGAACTGCGGTACGAATCGTGTTGGTGTTGCGAGGTACGATGTGAGGGGACGGACGGAGCGGAGGGCGAACATATGTCTTGTAGCAAGCAGGTGGGCGTGTGGGGCTGCGGCTGTGAGAGCTTAGGAGAGCTACGAGGCAGTGCGGTATTAGCTTCTTGGTTGAGGCAACCGGGTGGAGAAAGATACGTACGGTATTTGGTACTTGGATCGTGTTTATAGAGGCACGCGGAGCAGTATGTACTTCCAAGGGCGCGTGTTGGTTGTACTGTTGTAGGGCGCAATGTGGGGAAGATGTAGCTTCCTGTTCGGAATTAAGCCGCGGCTTTCGGAATGTGTCACGCTAGTGTAAAAGCGTGGGGAAACAGAGGACATCACTGTGGGTAGACACAATTGCGCATGCGGAAAAAGCGTGTTCCAAAGAACGTGTGTTCGCTACATACATTACGTCTTGACAATAAACACATCCAACTCATGAGCTCATACCTCCTTGCGTTAATCCAAGCGTACCTACGCGTAAAGACCACCAACGCCAAATGACAATCAGGAAGACTGTATGCGTAAGAGCGCTGCTCTTACCTATGCCCGTCCTGCAGACGCACATGTATTGCTTAACCACTGCACATGACGCAGGACTCAGGGTTCTCTATCGAGCAAGCAAGGGCAGCTTCAGCATAGATGTCACCATCCCGCTCCTCGCTATCATCCTTGGAGTCCTCTTCTTGCTTATCCTTGCGGGTGATGTCCTCGTCCGGCTTGACCGCGGCGTCAGCAGCCACCATCTTTGGGCTCTCGCCCTCTTCCACATCAGCCTTGAACGGCTTGCTTGCGAGAGCGTTGCGGGTCTCCGTAGCAGGCGCTGGGATAGCATCTGGGGTGGCAACACCGTTCTCCTCCTTCTCAGCCTCACCGTTGGTAGGCTTGGTGGCGTACATCGGGCGAGGTGCCGAGGATGGAGTTTGCGAAGCAGTGACAGGTGAGTGTCGGATAGCCTCAGGCTGGAAGCCCGGTTGCTTTCGTACCTTGGGTAGAGCACGAGCAATGTTCGTGTCTGCAACCTTGAGGGCCTCTTGGTCGACAGTGAACTGAATAGGTGCCGAGGCAGCCATGGTGCGGAGGTAGTACATGCCAGTCTTGAGACCGGCCTTCCAGCCAGCAAAGTGCATAGAAGTGATCTTACCCATGGTAGGCTCCTTCATGTGGATGTTGAGAGATTGAGACTGGTCAATGAAAGCACCACGGTCAGCGGCCATTTCAATGATCCTCTTCTGCGAAATCTCCCACACGGTCTTGTAAAGCGTCTTGGTCTCCTCGGGGATGTTGGGGATTCTGGCGATTGAACCGCCATCAGCGATGATGCGGTTCTTCATGTTCTCGGACCACAGGCCCATGTCGACGAGATCCTTGAGCAACCATGGGTTGACAACCTGGAACTCACCAGCAAGCACACGGCGAGAGTAGATGTTGGATGTGTATGGCTCGAAGCACTCGTTGTTGCCCAGAATCTGTGATGTAGACGCAGTTGGCATAGGCGCAATGAGCAGGGAGTTGCGTACACCGTGCTGGGCAATCTTCGCCTTCAAGGCATCCCAGTCCCAAAGGTTAGTAGGTTCGACACCCCACATGTCATACTGCAGCTGACCCTGAGAGACGGGAGATCCCGGGTAGGTCTCGTAGGGACCAAGTTCCTTTGCAATATCGCATGAGGAAGTAAGAGCAGCGTGGTAGATGGTCTCGAAGATCTGGATGTTAAGCTTCCTCGCTTCGTTGGACTCGAAAGGAAGACGGAGTGCGAGGAAGGCATCAGCAAGACCCTGGACACCCATACCGATGGGTCGGTGGCGGAAGTTGCTGCGGCGTGCCTCTTCGACTGGGTAGTGGTTGACCTCGATGATCTTGTTCAGGTTGCGAGTGACGACCTGCGTGACTTCGTGGAGCTTCTGGAAGTCAAACTCGCCACGCTTGTAGTCGACGAAGGAAGGCAGGGCAAGGGAAGCCAAGTTGCAAACAGCAACCTCGTCAGGAGCGGTGTACTCGACGATTTCGGTGCACAGGTTGGAGCTGCGAATGGTACCGAGGTTCTTCTGGTTGCTCTTGCGGTTGCAAGCGTCTTTGTAAAGCATGAAGGGGTTACCGGTCTCGGTCTGAGCCTCAAGGATGGCGTACCAGAGCTTCTGAGCGCGAACAGTCTCACGCCCCTTGTTCTGCTTCTCGTAGCTCTCGTACAGTGCCTCGAACTCATCACCGTAGACATCAGCGAGGCCAGGGCACTCGTTGGGGCACATGAGTGTCCAGTTTCCATTGTCCTGGACACGCTTCATGAACAGATCGGGGATCCACAGAGCGTAGAAGAGATCACGGGCACGGACCTCCTCTTTGCCGTGGTTCTTGCGCAGGTCAAGGAAGCCGAAGACGTCTGCGTGCCATGGCTCGAGGTAGATGGCGAAAGCACCGGGACGCTTGTTGCCACCCTGGTCGACATAGCGAGCAGTGTTGTTGTACACACGGAGCATAGGGATGAGACCGTTGGATGTTCCATTGGTACCACCAATGTATGAGCCAGTTGCACGGATGCGGTGGACGTTGAGACCAATACCGCCGGCGGTCTTGGAAATCAACGCACATGTCTTCAGTGTGTCATAGATACCGTCAATGCTGTCCTCCTTCATATCGATGAGGAAGCACGACGACATTTGTGGCGATGGTGTACCCGCGTTGAACAATGTTGGCGAGGCGTGTGTGAAGTACTTTTGAGACATGTAGTCGTAGGTCTCAATGGCCTTCTCAATGTCGGCTCCGTGAATGCCGACAGCGACACGCATGAGCATGTGCTGTGGACGCTCGGCGACCTTGCCGTTGATGCGGAGGAGATATGAGCGCTCAAGCGTCTTGAAGCCGAAGAACTGGTAGTTGAAGTCGCGGTCGTATACTATAGCCGAGTTGAGCTCGTCGGCGTTGTCCATGATGATCTTGTAGATGTGATCAGAGATCATGGGTTGGCGGGTGTTGTTCTTGGGGTTGACATAGTTGTACAACTGTTCTACCACTACAGAGAATTGCTTCTGTGTCTGTTTGTGAAGATTTGATACGGCGATACGCGCAGCGAGGATGGCGTAGTCGGGATGTGTGGTGGTCATGTATGCTGCTGTCTCAGCAGCCTGTCGTCTGTTAGCCACTGGAAGGACATTGAGCTCGTTAAAAGCCGTACCAAGTCGTCTAGCTGGACGGTGTTGACACCCTGGTAGACACCAGAAATGACCTTCATGGTAATGGCGGCGGGGTCAACATGGTCGGGGTCGAGGCCGTAACACAGCCTTGACACTCGTGCTGTGATCTTGTCGAACTGTACGCGTTCCTTGCGTCCATCTGAAGTCAATCGTTAGCGGTGAAGATTTGAAGCGGTGAGGGCAAAGCAGTACATACCACGCTTGAGGACGAACATGTTGAATTAGAAAAGTAGTGGGGGTATCTGTGTGGGTATCGTGAAGAGGGAGTATTGAGGAGAGTGTGCAGGAGTGAGGGGTGGGTGGACGCAGGGACACTTATAACGCGTAAAGAGAAGAAACGCGTCCCGTCGCGTTGCTTGGGTCACGGATCCGTTTAGTGCTAAAGTGGTTGCTTGCATAAGCAGAGCAGGGATGTGGAGTCGGGGAAGAGACCGCCGATGCCCGAACTTTTCGCGGGCGACAGTATCGCGGCGTGCAAGAGGTTGAGGTAGTGCAGCAACATCAAGACGCACTCCACGCCCCTCCCGGCTTATACAGAACCAATTGCCCGTCATGGCAGGCGGTCACATGAAATATCGCCACCTTAGTCGGTCGTCGTCGCATCGTCAAGCGCTCCTGCGAAACCTCGTCACATCGCTCTTCAAGCACGAAACAATAGCGACAACATGGCACAAGGCGAAGGAAGCACAGCGGTTAGCTGAGAAGCTGATTACCCTCGGAAAGAAGAACACCGAGGCGACGCGGCGGAGAGCGACACAGATATTCTTTGTACGAACCACAATGGCATGTCCAGAGCGCGTACTAATACCATCAGGAACCAAATGAAATGGTACCCAAGCTATTTGGCCCCATAAGAGAGCGCTACGAATCCAGACCCGGCGGCTACACCCGAGTACTCCGCGTCGAGCCCATGAAAGAAGACCAAGCCGAGTCCGCCATCCTCGAACTCGTAGACGGACCAAGAGACATGCGCTTCGCCATGACCGCAAAGACACTAGCGAGGAGACCAGCAAATCTAGGCCTGACACCCGGGATCACAACGCACGTCAAGAAGGTCACACAATTCCGCAAGGACGGTGTAGACGGCTTGCGGGATATGGTTGAGAGTTTGCGGGTACTACATTCCAGAGGTCTGGACAAGAGAACATTGCCCGCGCCTAAGAAGGTGTACCCAGAGATTGCGATGAAGAGGGACATGCATTACTTTGAGGAGGTTGATATGGGCAAGGCCCCGAATAAGGTCTTCGGACCAACAAAACAGAAGAACATGATAGAAAGGCGCCGGAAGTTACAGCAGGAGAAGGAGGAGCGGACGACGGAGCATAAGGAGAGGATGGCAAAGACGGCAAAGGTTAAGGCGTGAGATGCCACTCTAGAAGCGAGGGCGCTGCCCCGCGGAGCCTTCTGTAGCAAATGTGTAAATGTACAACAAACAGATGTTCCATACAACTTCCACGCGGATTGATCAAGCAACTTTCGAGCAAGCTTTGTGAAGCAGCGTACGTCTATAAAACAGGGCGGGTGATCAAAATTTCCCTTAGGAATCCTAGTGCGAATATGTCACCCGGCTTGTAATTTGCTCGTATATGCGCTCGAGATGTCGAGGTGACCCAAATATCAGAGTTTAGTATCTGATAGTGAAGGATCCCCTCACTTGGCTAAACATCGCAGTGACCACGACATCGACTCCGAGATGGGGCTGGCTATCAGTATATAAACACGCCTTCTGCGACCTTGTCTCCCTTCCTCCTTGATCCTCTATACATTATCTTCTCTATAGCCAGTATGTCGTCCACCAACCAACAACAGCCATCTCAAACGCACCCACGTATATCGTAAGTCGTTACCCCCTGATTCCCCACGATCCTCCACAATGCTAACCTCAGCAGAGCACCCAACACGGCCGTCGCTCAGATCGTGGTTGGCCCCAAGGCAAAGCGCTTCCAGGTGCCCCTCAATGCGATCGTCCACTACTCGCCCTTCTTCCAGGCCGCTTTTACCGGATCCTTCAAAGAAGCCCAAGAGAAAATCGTTACGCTCTCCGACACCCAAGTTGGAATCTTCGAGCTGTTCGTCAACTGGCTGTATCGTCAACGCTTTCCCACGGAGGCCGACTCCCCGCAGCTACTTGCACTCTACCGTCGCGGCGAAGACTCCTCCTTCCAGTTCGATAGGCTCGTTAGACTTTATGTTTTCTCCGATAAGTACGATGTACCCAAGTTGAAGCGCCAGTGCCTAGATGCGCTCTTCGACCACTTCACTGATGAGGACGCACTACCAGACGTCAACGACGCTGTCTACGCGGTCAAGAACTTGAATGACCAGGACCCTCTTCTTCTGATGATCATCGATAATTTTTGCTACTGGGGCGAGAGTGCTTTATGGAACGTCTACAGCATCCAGAAATTGCCAATCCCGTTTATAGCACGAATCATGAGCCAACTCAGCGAGTTTCGACATGGTGGCCGCGATTCAGTTGATCAGCCTGATATGTGCGATTATCATGACCATGCATCGAGGGAGGAGAGGCAGGTGTGCGAGGATAGGAGGGAGAAGGCGGCGCAGGCGCAGGAGATGATGCAAGATTGAGAAGTTGGAGAAGCGTTGGTGGGTTCCTGGGGACTGACGATCGAACGAGCTGGAGTTTCAGAGTGCTTTAGGGCATAGGAATTTCACTGGCGAAAGTGATAATTTGGAGTTGTGGAGTTGATCATCTATTTTGCATCTCGGATTGGCGAGTAATGGTATAGCGACGAAGAAATGGCCTATCGGGCGAGGGAAGTCGAGCGCGTTGTTCTATCGGACGCAAAGTAGACTGCTTTTCTTAGAATTACACACTTGTAAAAACCCCATTTTGATAATCGACGACAATTGCTTTCTCGAGTGCCGATGCAGCCGCCTCTTTGAATGCCTTGTGAACTGGATCGTCATTAACGTAGTAATCACGGTCTTCGATGGAATGGAACTGCAGGACAAAAGCGTGGCTGATGCCGTTCTGGTCGATAAGGTCAGATTGTTGACGATCTCCAAACTTGGATCGGCGCTGAATACCTGCAGATTCTCAGTCGAGATATCCTTCCCTCCCGAGATCGAAACAATGTACGGCCTGAGCGTAGTTGGATGTATGCATGTTTTCTTCAGCCCAAAGAATTGCGCAATCACCTAAGAAGTGGTCTCAGCGTCGCTCATCAGCGTGGGTCTTGCGCGCGTCTAACCTCCTTGACAGCGAATTTGCTGGTGCCCTCTTTGAACTGGAACAACACGATATGCGTGGTGTAGGGTATGACTGGCCCATAGGGGCCGAAGAAGTACTCGGCGAGCGAATGTCCCACCGTGCGCGAGAAAAGTATGAGGCCTGTAGCGAGAAGCAGGCAAACGACGAGCCCGAAGGCCTTCTTTGGTATCATCATGCCGCTAGGAGATAGCTCCGTGGAGCGTGTAAAGTTGGCAGTGGTTCGATTCAAAAGCAAATCTATGCGCTCACTTTACTGCGAGACAGCAGCGGAAGCGCATTGGCAGAGGTGCGACAAGGATAGAGGGAAAATCATCCCCCTCCCCGACGCAAAGGCAAGGTGTACCTGTCAACGAACCGAGGGGGATGCGAGCGCTAAATCCTGGAAGCACATAGCCCGCAGCCGCAAATTGCTGGCAGATGGGGTAGTGGGTCCGAGCTCCCTGCTCACTCCACTTCCAAGTGACGTACCTGAATGAGAAACGCACGAAGGAAGCACGTCGAAAGTCGAAAAGCCAGTCTTTGCCCGTGCTGTGGCCATGCTAAAGTTGCTATGGCGTACAGGCCAGACCCGCTCCAAGGCAAGTGGATGGGACTTGCATCAATTGGGACGGGCTGAGCCAGGTTCTGGCTCGATTGTCCACGATGGGTGGGGCCTTGGCATCTACGTCATAGGAATGTCAGGTGCAGGCCCTCGCTGCGGCTACGACTACAAAAGAGCTCGTCTTCCTGGTCTCCTGCAAACCATCACCACAAGCAAACTCACTTTACTCTCCCCCATAACCTCATCTCAAACCACACACTACCATCACAATGGCCTCCCTACACTGTAAGTATACACCCACTCCACGTCCAAGCTGCTGCCCGCACTTGCACGAGCAATTGCGCCATATCTGGCAGCTTCAGCATCCGAATTGAAGAACCTGACTAACAATTCATCTCAGACCTCCCTCCCGTCAAGCCCTCTGCCATTGCCCTCGGCACGGCCTTCAACCACGCCGTCTCCCTCGCTGTCCTCGGCCCCGTCTTCGGTGACGCATACCGCCGCGCACAGCAGGCCAACTCCAAGGAGGAGTACTTCCACAGCAAGGAGGCTGCTACCGCCGCCGCATCATGGGGTAGCTCCGTCCTCGGCTCTGGTATCCAGGCCTACGGTGTTGGTGCTCTGATCAACGCTACCGGAACTCTCACCTACAAGGGTGCTGCTTACCTCGGCTCCCTGATCTTCTTCGCCTCCGCCGCTCCCTCCGTACGTCATCCCACATGCCAACCAAATATTCCGAACGTACACTAACATGTCAACAGATTGTCTCCCAGGTCGTCACCGAGAAGCGCCCCATGGACACCATCGCCATTGGTGCCCTTGCCCGTGTCCTCGAGACTGTCGGTCTCAGCATGTTCCTCACCTACTGGGGAACCCGCACCAACCCCTTCGACTAAGCGTCTCGCCCCATAACGGCAGAGGAGTTTAGGGATTCTCATCTTTGGCGGTTTAGATTGACGCTTCAGTCAGCGCATGATGCAGATGATATGAGCTAGCAAAAAGCTTGATAAAAGGCTTACTTTACGATGTAATATACCTCAATGAAGGAAATAATTCATGCACCCATCTCAATGATGCAATCGTGGTGTTGTGTTGTTCGTGCTTCCATCTATCCGTATCGACGTTCTCCATATCCGTGAAAATAGCAATTGAACATGAACTTGTAGTGTAAGCTATCCTGACAGATGATGCTAATTCGCCTTCTTCTTTCGAGTTACGGCAGGTCTTGTTCATATCCTTTGGTGTACTTGATGCGTGCTTGGAAACATCAGTGCACTCTGGTATAAGCTTCGGGATATTGATCCCTCGCGTTCTATTAACATCAGACCTTACCCAAGTCATAGCAACCGAAGAAAAGCTCTGATAACAAACATCTGTCCGACTCGCTCTCAATGGCGTTGACGAAACCGACCTTGGTCTTGCTGCGAAGACGTGATAGTAATGTTGAAGCATGACAACTATGACGTTGAACAACCTTGTGCCACGAGCCAATCGCAAGTTTCGCAGAACATTTGTGGTCGCTGTATGCAGCTGCAAATACCATCTGAAGTTACTTGTTGAGACTACAGCTGTAGGATGCATTGGAAATAATATGCATGCCAGCGTAGCTATCATGAAATAGTATTCGGAGTCTAATAGGTTTCTCCATCAGTGCTAATAAAAAGAGTTGCAGAAAAAAAAAAGGTCACTGCTGTAAAGACCATACTAGTAACTGGGTTCTTATGCTTGTAGTGATACGTTCTGTCCGAATCGTGACCGGATCTTTCATTTTAGTTTTAGAAAGTATAACTTGTTTACTAAACACGAAGGGAAAACTGTTTGTGTTGTAGTTCGAAAATCCGGGATTTACGCGCAAAACTCCTGGTCAATACAAGAATATTGAGATACAGCAACGCTTTTGTAGATAGTGGTCATTATTTAGGGATGCTGTATTGCTTCTATCGACTCGCTACCTGTGTGACTACCGATTCTTTTAACACAGTATCTGCTGTGCCGGTGTTGCGATATCTAAGTGTTCTCCTGGAGTATGGACAGCTGCTGATGAGGTCTTCGGAGTTGATCCTGCTCGTGACACTGAGAAGAGCGATGTTTTGTGGTAGCTCGCACTGTGGTCTGGCGTGGAGTAGACATGCCATCGGCCGGGACCCCTTCCCTGAGAGGAACTCCAAATGCGACCGCGATGCTGCATTACCAGCGTTTCGAAGCATGAATACAAGCTCCATACGATCGCCAGCTCCTCAATGTCGACCGCTCATACTCTGCCGCAGCTATTCCTAATACCGCAACCTCGTTGCGCTTTCTCATCTCACCCCCTCCCCGCCGCTTCCAACAACCCCGACACAGTCGTAATCCTATACCCCCTCCTCTTCAACACAGGCAACACCTTCCTCAACATCGGCGCCGTCCACCCCCTCCGATCATGACAAATAACAATACTGCCCTCCCTCACCATACTAAGCACATGCCTCGCATTAACTGCCGGATGCGCAATCTGCGGATCATGAGGATACACACTACCCAGCACCATCTGGTACCCCATGTCCCTAATCTGCGCCCTCATCTTCGTGCTGAAGAACCCAGAGCCAGGACGGAAGTAGCGCGGCGGATGCGGTTTGCCTACTGCGTCGTAAGTGCCGTTGATGTAGCCTTCTACTTGGGTTACTTCTGCGCTGAGGGTTGAGGGGCTGAGAGAACGAGATGGCTCGTCGTGCATGGCGTGGTTTCCTAGTTCCATGCCGCTTTTCACGAGAGCCTGGAGCGCTTCTTGTCTTCCTGAGACCTGGCCTCCGATTACGAAGAACGTAGCATGCGCCTCGTTTTCTTCTAGGACTTGCAGGATCTCGCGCGTGTACTCCGACGGCGCATCGTCGATAGTCAAAGCAATAACTTTCTCTGCTCCTGGTGATGTACTGGGTATAGGCACGTGCCACAGCACATCCGGCCACCTCCGTTGAAAATACCGTATCAACACATTCGGCGGCTTATAGATGACGTAAAAAGGCAGCACAAAAGCTACCATCACAAACACGAGGAAGAACATGGTGTACATGCGTCGTCGGCGCTTCGCTCGCGTTGTGGGTAGGCGGAAGAGGCGCAGCGGAAGGCGGGGCATGGTATGCCGGTGTACAATGGGATTTCAGGATCGCGATCTTTCATCGTAGGGAATGCGGCGCGAGATTGGAGGAAGCCATGTGGGGTAAACGTATAAAGTGTGAGTTGGGGATGCGCGTTGGTGGTTGCGCGGGTGAGGCTTGCTCGTGTTGGTGGTGGATCAAAGGGGTTAGGGGCATGTGCAGGGTTGTTCCATCGGGTCTAGCGCAGACACGTGCAGCCGTGCTTTTGGCGAAAATCGCGGTCCGCGAAGTTTCTTCTCTTCTGTACTCGACAGCTACTTCGCGCATGATGCGTGGTATCTTCGCCAGCACGTCGCAGCAGATTGTCATGCGTACATCTGTATATGCTGTCATGGCACATTTTACGGCTTACAATTAGGTGCTTATGTCGTGTTCAGAGTTTGAAACGACTGAGGTCCACCAGGATATACGCGCCGCGACCTCACTTCATCCGTACTCGTCCGTACATCACGATCCTCAATTTTTGTAGAATCAGGAACCAATTTGTCACGCTTATTCGAACAGCTACAACTTCGATATAAGCCCTCTTAGAATGTTCCAAGAACGACTCCGTGAGCGTTTAATTGACCTGGCTGCCTCTTTTTGTGGCTACTCGGGTCTCATTGCGTTCATACATTCCTTGTCTAACCTCGTTGCCTTGCGTTATTTTACGAGGGCCTTGGATGATCTGGATGCATCTGTCATGTCGGATTCCGGCAGCACTACGGCTGTCGAGATGTGATGAGCGGCTGTTATATGGGTCTACCGGTGCTCCTACCCGTCGACATGACGATACGGACACCGCGTATTGACTACTCCTGTAACGATGGGGAAGCCTTGGCGGTAGTTATGGATGACAGCGCGGAACGTTATAGGCATAGCCACTGCAAGTCAGCCTTGTTCATTTCTCGAAAGGGTGTCCTGGGACGTGCAAGAATGCCTCACAATATCTTAGCATTTCCATATTGACTCTGGATGACTGATCTCATCTCCGTATATTACCAATCTTGTAGATAGTCGACGGCATTGTCTTGACCCGTATACGGCGACTAAGAAGTGATCATCGATAGATGAATCATTGCTTACCCGTTTTGGACTTACTCCGCGTACTTGTGATGTGACGGCTTAGCTACATCTTTAAGCTTTTAGCTCCCGTCAATGCTGTTGTACCGTTGAGACACATCATCTCCGCGACGCCTCAATTCGGCAGTTGGTCACAATTGCAGGTTCGCGGCTGATGCCTTGTCGGCGGCACGAAGCGAGGCTGCCATCGTTGTCAAAAAGCAGAGTGGATGCTTGTAACGCGTTTCATCGGAAACAAGTTACCGTAGTGTGCGTGTTGGCATCACATCGTGATCCAAGACTTTGATGTGATGAGCGTCGACGCGCGTGCAGCAATCCCTCCGGTGCATGTATTTGGTCATCGTGAGCAACCTTCGGTCCAAAAATTCGATAGTTTGGGCTTCAGAAGAATCGAGAGCAACACATATGACTATGTACATATAAGGCTCGAAGCCCATCGTACGATTATGATGGATGCCAAGTGTGGAGAAAACTAACCGCTGCCAGAGCAGCACATGGTTTATCGATTAGGAGAGTACAAGGTTTCGAAAGGATGCTCTCGAGACTAAAAGATACATCGGTGTGAACGGCTTCAGGGTACGAATCGGGTAAGCGAGTAGATTTAGAGTGTAGGGGGAATCCCGAAGGTAGGGAAACTTTGCACACAAGAAGGCCCGATGCGCGAAAGGAATAGTCCGACGAGGTGGAACTTGGTGACTGGGTAAAGCTCGGATGAGAACACCATGGGCCATGCGGCAAAACTCTGCAACTTGGGCGAAGATTTGCAGTCTTGATACCGCGTTCCGGGTAAGCTCAAATTAGAAGTCCGATATACGGTGAAGGTCCGAAGTCGATGGTAGTTTGGCTTGGTATTGCTACTTCTGTTCCCAACGTTCAGGGCCGGCACCAGCAACGTGATGGGTGCGGTCGAGGATCAGGCCGCGCTCCCCTGCATGCCTTGTATGTTGTGCATAACATTACGGCTGCTGTTCGCACGGCTGGTACCCTCGTGAGCACAGGGTGCTCCTTGTGTAAGCGCGGTTTTGCCAACGATTGAGGTTCTTCTAGCAACATTCCCAGCAGCGGGGTTATTGCGCTAGGTTTGAGCACAATCTGCGGAGAGCACTCCGCGGCTCGTCTGGACCGACAAGGTTTGGCGAGCGATCGTGGGGGAGGCCTGAAACGCTCCTTGTGCTGAGATGCCGTCCTCGGCATTGGGAAGTAGACGCTCTGGAATGAATGGAAGGTGTCAAAGTCAAGAGGGCCCCTACAGGGATTTGCTGTGCAATTAACTGTATTGGAAGAGGAATTTGGGTGCATCGGTAATTGCTGTCTATTGTCAAGACATGCCGCTGCAAAGACCGAGAATATACATTGCGGTCAACGTCAAGAGACGCTAGATGTGCTGGTGCGCTACTAGTAGAGCGTAACAAAGATGCTCGTCTGACATGCGTATCCTACAGGTGTATGTTGTTACAAAGTCGTAATGCATGAATGTACAAGGAGTGGTTTCGATGGCCCGTGGGCGGATGGGTGAAAGTCTGTTCGCAATTAGACTGGCGGCGTCTTGGGCTTTCTCTTGCCGATGTTGTAGCCCCAGCTCCTTAGGGTTTTGACCACCTTGGGGAGGACGGCTGCGGTAAGTGGCACGCGGAAGAAGATCAGGGATTTGTGCACGAGGTAGGCTAGGCCGAGCTGTGACCAGATTGCTGTAGTGGTTGTCAGCGTTGTATACAGCACCAGAAGCAGCGGTCTTCCATACATGCGTTTGAGCCACCGTCATGTCCTACAGCCTTTCCAGCCTCAACGTAGCCTTCCCTCGCGGTGGCCTCGGCAGTGGTCTCGTCGGCTTCGGCCGCTACTGGCTTCTTGCCTGCGTCGGGAATGACGAGGCGGACGACGCTCCAGAGCGCATTTTTCAGCACATGCTCGTAGTGGCCTATCCTGTCCGTTCCGAGTAACCGCACTGCCATGAAGCAGAGGGGAAAGTCGATGAGGGACAGTCCCAGGTACACTCCGACCGCCGTCCAGCCATACTCGCGAGAAAGCTTCTTGAGTCGCTGTGATACCGAGGGCGCAGGTTCGGGACTGCCAAGGTGTGGCGTGGGGTTGTGCGACTGGACCGTAGGTTTGTCGCTCTTGAAGCGCAGAGAGCGGAAGCGGCGGCCGAGGGCAGATCGTTGATAGCGGAAGAGCAGCAGGGCGCCTTGGTGCAGCGATTTGCTTCCTAGGCTGGAACGGGCGGCGGGTTGGGCAGAGGTGAAGAAGTTGCGGAGGAAGGGCGCCGATGGGCGTGAGGCGGCACCTCTGGCGGCACCGCCAAACGGCAGCTGGGCAGGCCACAGGCGGGCGACTCGTGGCTTCATGGCATGGGACGATCGGAGATGGGCAGGGCAGGTGAATCGGTTTTCACGTGGGGCGGTGTGGTCGACTCAGGCTGGTTGTCGCAGCGCTCAAAACCTCGCCAAAGCTACCGCCGTTGGTGCATCGTCACCATTGCCATATAATTTAGTCAGGGTCCGTCCATCGGATCATGGTAATGCCGCTCCCCGGCCTATTCACCGTCGCCGCACGAAAGCCCATGGCGCCATGCACCGCGCTCGCATGCACACTTCCTAACGCGATTGCCGACTCTGCTTTACCCGTAGATACCACACGTAGTCGCTGCGCGGAGCATACCGTGCGGCGACGGGCATCATCCATACACTTTGTGGTTCTCGTCTCGAAGCATTCGACGACGCACAACATCCCGCCATGGACGCGCTAGAAAGAAACCAGAGTGTACCGAGTCACTGACCGAAATGTCATTGCCGCAACCCTCGTGTCATTGTCGTGGCCATGTCGCATGTCGGATCCTACCGATGATATGTCACGCCGCACTGATGGCGTGAAGCAGGCCCAGTGGAGCTGCCACTCAACAGTTTCGCCCATCTCTGCAAGAACTGTCTCATTTCCTGGACGCCTTCAGTTTCTACATGGCGAACTGACCCTGCCGTTCGCGTGCGCACAATCTCAGAGTTGCCTGACAGAAGCGTCAGCCCGCATTAGCCCAACCGTGGCCAAGAGCTTCCTCGGGGAGTCTCGAAGCGTGTTTCCTGCAAACATCTGTTGCAGTCCATGACCAGAAGGGCATAGCCAGAAGCCCCCTTGCGGACGGAACATGGGCAGCACTTGCAGCGACGCACGCCCGACTCCTCCGCCTTTGCTTGGCCAGCACCATCAGTGTGATGTCTCGCAAGCGCGCCGGTCATTTGCAATGCCAAAAGCCCGTCGAGCACGCCCGAAGTGTGGCGTCAATAGGTGCGCCTGCCAGCCGGCATCACGCTCGAGATGCATCGCGCCAGCATGGGCCTCCATGGCGTGCCGGATTGCATTTCACGCGTCGTATTTACTGTGCATCTTGAATTCTAAATTGCGGGGTCACCACGCGTAGCTTTATTATCGACCGTGCGGGTCCTGCTCTCGCTGTATGCGAACCTGTTCGCTGGTACCGAAAGCGCAGGAGTAGTGGAACAGGAGTGCCCTCCGTTACAGAAGTTCAGTCAATACAATCGTTTCACAACCCACTCTCCTCGCAACCGCATGCCATTATCCCGTCGCCTCGCATGGGGTGACTCTTGGTGGGCGGTGGGGCTGATCATCCTTGGGTATGACAACTGCCTGCATCTACATGGTCGCCTGTGTGGTCAAGCGCGTTGGCATCTCGCGGACGCATCCGGCCTCTAACAGTCTCCAACGTTTTACATTAGCCTGATTCGATCTGACAAGGTTCCACACATGGTTCCGCTGTGCTGCAGTCGCCGACTCGTCCTGATGCCTGGCGACGCGTTTGCAATTCCCGGCGCCACTCCCACTGCCGAACTGCATCACGACATCACCAACCTGCGCCGACCGTACAGAATGCTCATCTGCTTTAGTCGGCGTTCTCCTGTCACAAGCTGGCTCGCCCTTCCTTCTCGTCCAACTCTCTAGCCGACATTCCTGCAGCACGGCTCGGCGCCTGGCTGCGAGGGCCTGGGAAGGTTTGCAAGTTGATCCTTTAAAGTTTTCGGCGTTCCCACAACCCTGCAACCGCACCAGTCTCAAACTTTGAGCTTTGGGTACTGAGCTGACGAGTGATGGAGACCACTATTCATCTACCTGGCCTTAACATCGTCCTCTTGCCGCCGCATTAGCCCCTTGATTGGCCCGTGGTCACGAGCGTTCCTCTGCTCTGACGTCCCAAAGCACCGGACAAGGGCTCCTCTTCGAACGGCGCCAGCGTCGTCTGTCCCCCCTGCTAGCTCGGCTGGACTCTGGAGTTGATCGCCATGCCCTTGCAAAAGCTCGGCGCCGTTTGTGACTTCCTGGCGGACCAGGGCCCTGGTCTCTCACATTATTCGGCGGGATGATACTGTGCTTTCGTGTTACACCCATTCCTTCGCTTCACAACTTGACAGCGCCCAAAACGGCACGCTCCCGGAGCCAACTGTTTGAGGCTTCGACTAAGCTCTTACCCTGCGCTGCTGCATGAGTTGTTGTTCAGGATCTGCCTGTTTCTCCACGTGGGTTCGTCTCATTCTCAACTTGCCTATTAATATGCCTTCGTATATAGACTACCTGTCCGCACTACTTCCTCACCTATTCTGCACCGTGTCTCACTACCCGTCACCGCTCTCTTGACATTATCTTCGACTCCCACGCTCCTTATCTTGTCAACACTGCTATACTACTATCAGCCGTCGCTCCTTCCTCTCTCGTTTAGCCTCATCACCAACCAATATATCCTGCATTACACAGCAACCATGGGTGGTAACACGGAATATATAGCAGGCCACGGCTACCTCTCTCTTGGCCAGGCTGTTCACGTTGCTCAAAACAGTGACGGAGGCGTTGACCAGCAACTTGCCCAATTCCTCGAAAAACGCCTTGCCGTGGTCTGGTCAAAACTTAACGCTCAACCACAATCCTACATCCTACCGCCAGACGAGTTTGCTCTCATGAACTACTATCGCACACGATTCGGAGATAACGAAATAGTTCGCAACGCTACCAAAAGATTTTGGGACAATCACAAAGGCGGCCAATAAGAGCTTGCCGGAAACAACTGCTCTCGTTCTCATACGGCGGGGATCCACACGGAATTAGCAAACCACGGAACGGCAAAGCAACAACAATCTACCTCGCAACCACCTTTAAACAAGCCTCCCTCCACAACACCTACTTTCCGCACCCTTCCGCCGCATAGTGAATGAGGCAGCTGCTGCATTTTTGAATCGACGATGTAAGTTTCGCCCGCCTGTTGCAAATTGCATCAGTACTGACCCCGATCAGCTGGCTATCACACATCGTCATCGACTTTCTTATTTGGCGTTCATCGGTGTACCAAGATACCTGGACTTCCGCAAGATACCTCTCCAACGGAGTAACGGCGTTTTCAAAGCAAACCGCTACTGACCGGTTGCTAAAATGGCGTTTAGCATGTGCGATTGGAAGCGCAAGAGCGATGGAATTCATGCAAGGCGTAACGGCGAACTACTAGAATTGGCATCACCTATAGGAGCGGTACCCAACAACGGACGACTGTGTCTCGTAACTCTGCTCTTAATACTAATGACGCTATCTCAATCTACTTCCGCTTTACTTACGACTACCCCGCTTGCGAAACCCTATCCCCAGACCGTGTCCTTGAGAAACCGTGCCACGAACGAATCATCTCTTCTAGAATGCCTACAGGTTGCGCCACCAGTCCTAAGTCCAACTGATGCATGCCAGAAAACCTTGATGGTCCATACTTTTGCCTCCTCATACGGACAGCCATTTGTCGGGCAGTACAACCCGCCGGACTGCAGCTTCAACAGGGTCACTTTCAACTTTACCGTCACATCTGCTGGCCGACAATTTGACCGACTCGGTGTGATGTTCCTCGGTGATACCGAGGTGTTCCGTACTTCCACCGCCGAGCCAACACAAGCCGGCATAATATGGACATATGTTAAGGACATGAGCAGCTACCAATCTCTGCTCAATACGCCACAAAAGATTATATTTGATCTCGGCAATATCGTGGACGATACATACACGGGTTCCTGGTATACTACGTTGACCGCCACCTTCTTTACCGCCGACGATGCTATCAAGCCTGCAGATGTCATCATCCCGATCTCGGCACGGAAGTCGGGTCAAGACGCATCGAGTGTATTCGTCGTACCGGAGACAAGGGCACTCAACAGCGTTGTGCTTCCGCAAAACGCAAAGAAGGCCGCGTTCTCTATCTCCGCATGTGGTCAGGCAACTGAAGAGTTCTGGTGGAGCAACGTATTGTCATCAGACACAAACGCATTCGGCAACGACACTACGCTATACGGTCACTCGGCCTTCCGAGAGCTTCGGCTTCTCATCGACGGATCATTGGCTGGAGTCGCCTGGCCCTTTCCCGTCATCTTCACTGGTGGCGTTGTTCCTGGCTTTTGGAGGCCCATCGTAGGCATTGATGCATTCGATCTGCGAGAAGACGAAATTGACATCACACCATTCCTTCCATTGCTCAGCGATGGCCAACCCCATAGCTTCGAGATTCAGGTTGTCGGCGTCGATGATGATGGTCATGGGAACGGAAATTTTACGACAGCGATCGGATCGAATTGGGTCGTTACTGGAAAGATCTTCGTTTGGCTTGACGCTGGCGACAACGCTATTACAGGCCCCGCGCCTACCTCTGTTTCGACTTCCAGTATCATACTACACTCGTCAAAACGCGGATACTCGAATAGCAGCGCAGGCATCTTCTTGGACTATTCTATTCAGGTCACCCGCAATCTAGACATTCAATCCACGCTCGACACGCCGACCGGATCCAAAGCAGTTACCTGGACTCAGAAGCTCACCTACTCCAATGTTGGAACCCTCAGCAACGGCGGCAACGACCAAATCGTACGTCAGTCGACAACAGGCACGCATACAGCCTCAAACTATGCCAAAAGCTTTGAATACCCTCTACGGGTACAGTCGTCTTACAACGCGCCATCAGGCGGCAACGTAAGCATCAACGCAAGCATGGAGCGAAGCAAAAACGTGCAGCAGCAAGGAGACCTAGCCTTTCCAAACGACTGGAAGACGTTTGACTACACGCGTCTACGCTCGACGCCCTACAGCAACCAGACCTTCCATGGCTCTGACGTGGACAACTGGCAAAATGGCACAGCATCCTACCTGTCTGTCCCCGCACTGAAGAGGTCCTTCGGATCAGGCAGCACAGAGCAGCGCCTCACACTCAGCGGTGTAGGCGCCGGACCACAGGACGCAGCATCCCAGCAACTCTACCAAAGGCACATTGCAGCCACCAACGACTCGGTCGTGTATGACGACGAGAGCTTCGGCGGTCAGGTGAGAGGTCAGAGCAGGTATGCCGCTCCTAGCGCTCAGGGCACGCGAGACGTCGCGCATGAGTTTGCGGCGTCAGGCATTAGAGCGATGCTAGGAAGGGGGCCAGCGTAGGCGACTGCGAAGCATGATGAGGGGAGGTGGAGGTGGATCTGCATTGGGATGAAAGGAAGGTTTACCGGTATCTGCACGACATGTGTCGAGCAAGGCGATGGATGGATGGGACACTACAGGCATGGGCATCTTAACAGTCTGTGGGGACTCTAGGTGGTGTGCGTATTGGTTGTCACGTCGCTTTCAGGATAACGCAAGCGAAGTGGAGGGATGTGGCGGGTGGCCTTTGTGGTTTGCTGCTATATTCGTTGCACTGCATGTATTCTCCGTTATCGCACTGCATGCATTTCTCGACGTTGATCATGCCTCACGACATATGCGCTGTCAGTCTTCTCTCCGTATCGTTTGGCGAAATAGCATAATCCAATCTCAATGCACTCGCATTCTCTTCCATCAACGCGAACGCGGTGATCTCATACCTGTACCATGCAGCGAGCCGTCCAATCTAGCTAGGCGCCAGGGAATAACGGCCTTCTTCCCAGCGCAATGGTAGTCGCAATACGAGTCGCGTGGTATAACACACCTGCACCTCATCTCGCCATCAACGTCTTGGCCTTCCAGCCACCAAGTCCCACAGCATAAACTTTGCAGATAGTCATGAGGCGAAGAAATACTGATCGTCCTAAGATGTCCTATGTACAGCATTCCCAGCTAAGAAAAACTTCGCTTGCAGTTATCCATCCTATCTTGGCTAACTACTCAATAGTTCGCTTTCATGCCGTTCCGCCCCGCCTCACCCTATATCACCTTCGCTGCTATATTCCCGCCTAGCTGCCTTACCCGAATGTATCATAAGTACCCCACGCCGATCCACATAGAACGTCGACCAGGAGCCAGGATTTGTATTTCATCACCCTTGAGGCTTGAGGTTTTCACATCATGGGTCTTCCCTGAGCGCGCTAATGTCGCCATCTCCGAAGCGGTTTGCGTTGCCGTCCGTTGTGATGTGGGGAGGAGAAAAGAGACGGTAAAAGGACACCAGTGACCGGATATCGTCTGTTCCGCTCGAGGCGCGCCATCATGGTCTCGATCATATATGCCCTAGCTTGTCTTAACGGCGGCCTCAAACCTAATCGTAACGTTGAGTGGGCAGGCAAAGCGGTCGGTACAACTGTCCGAGCAGATTATCAAAAGTCCCTTGCGTATATGATAATAGGAAATTTCTTTTCAGCATTCTTTCAAATGGGCAATATTCGCAATGGCTTCATTATTGTCAAGGCTATCATGCAAAAAGGGTTGTTGGTGATACAGCGCGCTTAGGTCCCGAGGTCACGTTGGAGAGTCCATTCCCTTTTAGCCGACGGGCTTTCGTTAACGCGCGCTCCCGCGGGGCGCCTTAGAGCGGGAGATTTGCAGTCGATCTGTGCGTACGCTGCGTCTCCTCGTGGCAAGCCTGAAACGTCGGTAATGCACCGTGAACTGTGGTTTTCGCCTGGGGATTGTCTACTCCGTGCAAGAGGAATCTCGCGCGATGCCCATTTCAAGGTTGTAAGGGAGGAAGGATATCGCTAAACCAACAAGACACTACGGCTAATGGTGCCTCACTAATTTAAGAAGAAGCGAATGCGAGCAGTTCGTCTCGTTCGTCTCGGAGGCGCATTTAGGGTTTGTAAAAGGAATGTCCTTTGCAGGTCGGGGGTTTGAGGCTGTCTGCCGCGGACACCGTCTTGCGAAGAGAATCTTTCCGACCCCTGGAGGTACCTAGGTAGATCCACTGTGTTGGAAAATTACGTTCCCTTTCCTGGGAACGGTTAGCGATTGGTCGCTGAGAAGGAGCGCTACAATGAGAAGACATTTATCACACCAATATCACGTCGAGTGTAGCGCGTGCTGCCGTGTGTTCCAGTCTTATCCCCCCCATAGTATCCATACTTAGCTGCGAGTCATGATGGTCGTTATGAAACGCTCCACCACTCATTTTCCTTTTTCGTTCCAGCTTACTGGGTGCTGCTATGGGTCCACACATGACGCAAGGATGGTGCACACCTCTTTCCCGAAGGTCGTAAAGTAAGTTCAGAGATTACCGCTGACGGCCATGGTGCTGTGGTTCTCATCTATCTGTAACACAATGGGTATCCCAGTTTTGGTTGCCTGCCGCGATCCCCGTATGCGGACGTGTGACTGACAGGCCGGGGTGAGCGCTTCGCTTGCATCGATTCCAATGTGTGACGAGTGGTAGCGTTGGTGATGGTCAAGCGATATCCATGGGATGGCAGACGGTGATGTTGTGCACTAGAGCAGTGGACGCCGTTTCGCGGGCTGGGAGATGCCGCAATTCGCTTTGGTGGGCCGCGGACTAGCGCTATTGATGCTGGTAGTGGTGTGCTGTGAAGTATTGAATATTGACAAATTCGCTCGAAGATGGAGTCTTGCCTGGATTCACCGGTTTGGTGTGGTGATATGCTGTCACACCTGAACCGAAGATAGTGTGGGAGGCCTTGATCCGACAGACACAATGCAACACTCCAGCTTCCCCCACGGTAGCCTATCACCAGACCTGCGGCAACGTCCTCAACCCGCCATCTTGTGGCTGCGAGCCGTTGGCCCGTTGAACTTCGTATTCGAAGTTTGTTTGAGCCACACACCTACGCGCGCAAGCATTGCTAGTCCTGTACGACATTTGACGTCTCCTGCCGTTCATCGGTGAGGTGAACCTTCGGTGGGCGCGACGCGCCGATGTGAACGCCTCTAACTTTGTCTTGACGACCCATGCATAACAACGGTGGGCTGATGGTTCCTTCATCAAGTGGATCAGTGTGATTAGATGGCGATCAGGTCAACATTGAGCTGGTTCTCCGCGTTCTCGAGGATGGCTGCCACGAACATGCCTGCGAACTGACACTAATGGCGTTCGTGGTTGTCTGAGGCAGAGTCTGGGTCGCGCATAGTTGTTGACTGGAAAAGGCCCGGATAACCCCATCCTACGTGAAGACCGAGTTTGTGATTCCGGTTATTTTTCCAGACTAGGTACCTGTCGAACGATCCCCGATGATGGAACCGAGGTACTTCCGTGAACCGGAGTGCCCCAACGTCATCGTGAGAAATTTACATCCGAAGCCCCAACATAATTCACGGAAGTCTCTCAAGCTAGATGCAGAGGCGTGGTCGCGTCCAAGATGGATACTTTTCCATGAACCAGCGGGGTCTGGGGAGAAGCGATGCGAACACGAAGGAGGGGCGAATGTGTGGATCCGGGGCAGTGTCGCGTGTCTGTGACTCGTCGAGCGATTGCGCCTTCCTCATTCACGAGTGGCGCCTATGGCTGGGCTTTCGATCGCTTTCCACCATATCTTCATGTCGTCGTCACCGACTGCCAAACCTCCATGAACACCTCATGAAGCATTATGGTCCAGCCGCTATTTCCCGCGTTCCCTCAAGACGATGATAAAACCGCGCAGCGTCTCAGCGAGCACGAAATCGAGGCAGAATCGTCACTTAAACCCGGCGATAAAAGCGATGAGGCGCTAAGCGTTCATCGCGGGGCAATCCGTGTCCCTTCGCCGAATCCGTCCCTCATATCAATAGACGACGCAAATATTGTACGACTTGGTCGGAATCCAGACTATGCTCCTTTATACCATGAAAGATATGCTTCACGTTCACCAGCCCCTCCGCGCACCCTCAAGGAGAAGATCCAGACTTCTTGGACGGCGAACAAGGGTTTAGCGTACGTTTTACTTGCTCAGTTCTTTGGAAATCTGATGAACGTTACCACGAGGATATTGGAAATGGAAGGAAACAAGGGTAGGCGAATGCTCTTGTAACGGCATCGACATGTGCTGACCTAGTACTGTAGGCAATGGCTACCATCCATTCCAGATATTGTTCGCTAGGATGAGTATCACGACAGCATGTGCTTTGTTCTACATGTGGTATCGGAAGATAGAACACTTTCCATTCGGTATGAAGGAAGTGCGCTCGTTGCTAGTCGCTCGAGGATTATTTGGCTTCTTTGGAGTCTTTGGCATGTACTGTAAGTCATATACCCGCCTTCTTAGGACCATGCGTATGCAGTAACTTGTCTCAGCTCGTCTGATGTTGGATCACGTCTGAAGGTTATTGCTACTGCGTTGCTGTGATGGATTCCACAGTACATCATATGCGTCCTACCTACTTGACACAGTGCTGACTGTCATAGATTCTCTGATGTACCTGCCTCTGGCCGATGCTACCGTCATCACCTTCCTTGCACCGTCTCTCGCTTGCTGGGCGTGCTCCTACTTCATCAACGAACCCTTTACCAGGATGGAGCAGATAGCTGCATATATCTCGCTATTTGGCGTCGTCCTAATCGCAAGACCTGTTTCATTGTTTTCGGCGCTATCGCATTCCGGTGACCCGATCCCTCCTGCCTCGGGTGGCTTAGACGCAATTCCGTCAAATACCACTGTAGCTTCACCCGATCGCCTCGCTGCGGACTATGATTCCGTGACACCCACACAACGAGCAGCAGCAGTAGGGGTCGCGATGTTGGGCGTGATAGGATCAACAGGAGCATACACCACAATTCGGTGGATCGGCAAGCGCGCGCATCCACTCATATCCGTCACGTATTTCGCAACGTGGTGCACCATCGTTAGTGTTGTGGCAATGGCCGTCATGCCAGGCGTTGGCTTCCTACTTCCGAAGGGCGCAAAAGATTGGTCTTACCTGCTCTTCTTGGGTATCTGTGGATTCGTCATGGTACGTATAATTGACAATCTCGCGTCGCGCATCTTAGCTGACATGGCATAGCAATTCCTCCTAGCCGCCGGTCTCCAATACGAGAAGTCTTCTCGCGCAACGAACATGATCTATATGCAGATGTTCTTCGCACTTGGATTCGACAAGCTGATCTGGGGTACAACGCCGAGTGCCTTGTCCATAGTTGGATCGTCCCTCATTCTAGGTTCGGCCATATACGTTGCGATGAACAAAGAGGAGCCAAAGAAGATAGTTGAGCCAACGGCTAGAGGAGATAGCGAAGAAGAAAGGGGGTTGATGTCGCCAGTCTTTGACGCCGAACGAAGAGACGATGAAGACGCCGATATTGCTATGAGGCCGCTGAGATGATGAACCGACGTTCGCATTTGGCGTCGCACAGGACCGCTGGTGCGCTCAGAATATAGAATGCTAGACTGCTTTGCATGAACATAGATAGAAACGTAGAACATAGACGCTTCGCGAAATCATTTCTTGTAGTTGTCTGAAACTATTACACGACTATCATATCTTGATAACATCGCATCTTTCTCGTCGCCGCTTTTCCATGATCATGATTCTCTACTTGCTATTCGCGCTCTCACAATATGTTTGGTGATGTGACCGCGGAGACCTCGGGAATAATACGTAGTTACCCCACTTGCGCCCCACGCACAATCTTCGGCCTCCTGCTGACCAGAGACATGTAGTGCAGCAGCCTCAGCTCATCATCATCAATCTTTTATACAGTTATATTTTTACAGATTGAGCAGCACTTCATCAACAAATCCTCTGTGGCGCAATTGGCTAGCGCGTCTGACTGTTACATCAGTGGCTATCAGGAGGTTGGAAGTTCGAGCCTTCCCGGAGGAGGATTATTTTTGCCTCATCAGCAGCCTTTTGCTCCATATCAAGTCGCTGTAACAACTGCTCAGAGACCGCAACGCATGAAATTGCTGTGGCAGACTTAATAGGGTCATTGGTTTTTGGTTCTTAGAAGGAAACAAATGTATTACTATCAAAGTGAACAATCATTTTATGCCATCGACAGCTCATTCACCTCCCAAACAGCCAAACTCTAAACCCTACTTCTTTGCACACTCTCAAACCTCACCCTTCCATCTTCAATCTTGAGAACATTAACTGGTACTTTGATGCGCAACGGCTCTTCGCCTGGTAGATTCATCGGCGCAGAAAAGCCTGCTACGTGCGAGACGGGGCTGTCGCAAATCGGGCACTTCCAGTTCCTGTGCGCTAAATCCACATCTTCGTCGCTGTTCTGATCGATGCACTTGATGCAGATGTTGCAAAATTGGTGGTCGCAGGGACGGATACTGGGTGTGTGAGTACCAGGACATAGAAGAAGATGGAAGGTTGGAGGGAGTGGAAGAGAGAAACTCACATGCAATCACACAGCCTAAGTTCGCATGTCGTGCACATCTTCGGCTTGTTCGGATCGAACTCTGGTTTGGTGCTTATGCCGATGTGTTGGTCCATTTGGCTGACACTCTTTACGTTGTCAAAGTCACCTCCATCAAGCCGCTCATCTACCTTCTCTTCAACAACGAAATACTGGCCGCCGGCTTCAGTGTACGCTTTGACGTCGGTGGTCGGCGGGGTTGGAACTATGTGCGTCACTTTCTCGCAGCTTACGGGGTCGAGGATATGGATGTGGAGGATACGCGCTGCTGCGTGGTTCCAGGTTGTTGCCGGGTGAGGATCTTTGTATATGTCTTGGACTGTACGGCAGATTAGTGGATGATGGAAGGAAGATAAGGATGGGGTAGATGTACTCAGCTTGCCGCCTGCGGCTAGGCCCATGGCTTTGATGTTTTTGGTTTCGATGACTTGGGTATCTACGTCTTCACCAGGTTCGACCATATCATCAGCCTCGCCATCGTCCTCGTCAACATCCCTGTCTACAGTCATATCATCTACTTCCATGTCGTAATAAGTGCTGGTGATGTAACCTGGTGTGTCAGAATAGTCTGATACTGATTCGGTCTTGATGGCATGTCGTGTGAGAGTGTTTAGCTGTAAGCTTGGTCCGAGTTCAGGCGTATCCTGAGGCTCACGCTGCGGATTGACCGCCTTGCAATCATTTATCAGCGACGTACCTCGTCAAATATCAGAGGAACTCACAGTACACTCAATAACTTCCCCTGGCCTCGCGAAGAGCTTCGCCTTGAACCGCTCCTCGAACTCACTATCAGCCGGATAGCATCTCAACACATCACCGATCTTGCAACCCAGCTCTTCAGGCGTCTCCTCCTCTAGTAGACTGACACGAGGACCAGGGCCCTGTCTGAGGATATATTCGTGTTTGCTGTCCGACCACAAACGCAGGTCAGTGAGGAACTCGGGTGTGATTTCGAGTTGAAGGCCTCCGTGCTGCTCTTTCGATGTCTTCTGGCCTTCGACAGTGTAGCCGGAGCCGACTTTGTTTAGTTAGTTGATGCTTTTGGGGGATTGCGCAAAGAACGTACGTGGCATAGCAACGAACTGACGAACAACACCAGGTCCTACACAGATGCCATCTAGCCACTGCTGACCTGGTATGACGATGTAGTCCTGCTCGAGCTCGTCGGACTTTCCGTCGGCGGTTTCTTCCATCGTGAGACCAGAAATGGTGTTGACGTGGCCCATGAAGACGCGGACGGCACACTGCTGGTCTGTCGGCCCAAAGTTGAGCCACATGGCCTCTCGCTGCCACATGGGGAAGAAAACACCACCGGTGTCTCTGATGTTGTTTGGGAGACGGTCCGCATAGGCTTCTACACTGAATAGGTCGTAGCTCCCTAGCGAGGCCGGCAGTTGGTGCAGTTTATTATCGTCTGGCATCCTCGGAGTCCGCTCTAAAGACATGTGGAATCCACAGCTCGCTTCGACTGCACGCTTGGATGCAGGGAGCGGAGCGATGTTGAAGTCGATTTCTTGGCCGTGATGATTGTTGGCGTGTGACTTTAGTGATTCTGTCATTCTAATTGTGTTTCTGGTGGAGATTTGGTCGTCTGCGACTACGACAACTTCTTCGTGGACGCTCACAACGCGTTTGGGATCGCCTTCGCTATGGCTTGTGCCGCTTATGTTCAGCATAGCTGGCTTATGGAAGCCACAATCTGTTTAGTGTTAATGGAATGCTTGGATCGGAGGAATGTAGCTCTCCAACTTTCGATCCGATTCCAAAGCTCACATAATGGCTCTTCTTCATGCATCGTCATGGAGAATGTCGGTAACTCGAGATATTCATCCTTGTTTCCTCTCTGCTCGGTATTCTCTACACTCTGGACTTTCTCTAGGCCTTTGATTACTATTTTACGAGAGTCCGTTGGGATGACGGAAGGTGTTGTGGAGGCCATCGAAGGCGAGACCTCGGCGAATTGAGTGCAACGGTCAATAAGTTGATGGAACCAAGAAAGAGAGATGTTGCGGCGACCAGGCTGAGGTGTAAGTCAGCTCGATGACAGCCTCAGCCTCGCCAGGTGGGGTCGTGTCAGCTGCATGCGCGCCCACATCCATCGCGTTCAACCAGGCTGACGCGTATGCTTTCCTCACATTGCGATAAGCCTCGTGCAATATGTCTTTTGGCTTCTCGATAGGGGATATTAGTATGTGTGCCAAACAGTTGGCCTATGCACAAGTGCTGATTGCGTCTAGTCCTCCTTGGCCAATTAACGTACGAGCTTTATTCGAGCCTTAGCTCTGGGCGACAGGCGGCATCGCGAGATTTGAAAGAGCTTGAGGAAGTGCTGTTTAGTCTAAAATGCGCCCTAGACCACCTTAAAGAGGCCTCCAGCGATGTACTCGCAAGACCAGGCGTTCAACATGGAGGATCAGGGCTCAAAGAGAAGCTGGATGTTATGATCGGATCATGCGCTTCAACACTGCAAGAGCTGGATAAGGTGACGAAGAAGCACCGTGACGTCGAGATACATGCAAACAAGGGAAAGACAAAGTTGCGCACGCTGGATGACGTCAAGAGGAGTATTCATGTCAACTGGCAGAGAGTGCGATGGGACCGCGAGAAGCTGTCGTTACAGCAGTATCGGGAAAAATTGAAGTCGCATACTGATGCGATAAATTTGATGTTGACCTCGATAATCTGGTAAGCGTCATGCCTTTGATCGCAGGTGAACACAGGCTAATCACTCTGCAGGGCAAATACTGCGTTCGCGAACGCTGATAGCAAAAAGAACCACGATGTAACGCACTTGTTGTTAGACAACGTATTGCGCAATCCAGTTGCAGATCCTGAAATCCGAAGCATGGTAGAGGAGATGCACGCCGTGCTTACCAAATCGCCTGCCAGGGCGCAGCAAGATCATATGGAAGCGATAGGGCGTACTGGATCGTCTCCTAACGAGGTCGGTGTGACTGCAAATTCACTGAGCGGCTCAATGTTTGACGAACTACCGAGTCCGATTGCAGAAGAACTGCAGATGGTCACGGTGCAGAGCACAGAACCACCTCATGATCAACTCGATGTCGCTGCATATTCATTGAGCGGCTCGTCGATTGGCGAATCCCCTGTTCCCATTAAAAAATATGGGAGAGGTTTGCCTTTAGTGAGCATGTACGCCATATCTGCTTTACCATGTAGAACGCCCACAGCAGATGCGTATATTAGACCTGCCTCAACAACAGTATCGGTGCGAGGAGTTGGCGGTGCAACGCCTTGGAAACGCCAATCTACTGCAGAGAGCGCACCTCGTCATAGGGGTCTGACACGCCATGCCGAGCTACCATCGGCCACTATCCAGCTCAACAACAAACGCCGTGCTTTCGGAGCAAAGGAGTACGAAGCTTTCAAACAGCGACACGCACAGACGAAGAAGGCTCCAAAGCCGTCTTTCCTAACGAGTGTGGCGCCCACTAGTCAAGAGCTGCAGGCCTGTATACCACATATTTTCCAATCGACAGCAGAGGGTAAACAGCAGACGCAAGAGCTGAAGAACGGGATGAGTCGGTGGACGCATGAATTCTCTCGCTTCGTCAACGACGAAAGCGTAACGCAGAGAGTCAAGGACAAATGTCTTTTGACGTTGTTGGGAGCCCTGAACGAGGCAGTCGATAGCAGCACTGGAAAAACTCGACAGCTGTTCTATGAGAGTTCGGACTCGGCGGGCTTCACAGCTGTGTTAGACCGAATAGCGACTGTGTCGAAAAGTGTGAGGGTAATGAAAGAGATTGAAGAGTTCCAGGATGCCAAAGAAGAATGGTCGGAGCAAACTTTCAGATAATTCTGTGTAAGGTGCTCGTAAGCGCATCATGTCCTACACTTGTATTCGCTGGAGGACCGAACAGCGACAGTAACTTCGCGTTTCCTTGACCTTTCTTGTGCCCTTGCAATGTACTCTGTAGGACGTGTCCGGCTTCGCCGCATGCTCCTTTGAAAATGAGCACGTTTTTGGTCTGCGAATCTACAAAGAGGCCAGGCTCCATGGTGGAGAGTTGGGACTCGTCCGGATTATGAGGTATGATGTCGTGGATTATCAGACGATCACCGGTGGGTAGCAGACACCACAAGTCGCCAAGTGCGTTGCGTTTGGCAATGACGTCTGCCAGGGTGTGTTTTCTGAAGTCGACAAAGCGATCTTGCTTGGTGATTTTCGGTGCGTGGTCGATAGGACCGTCGGAGTGGGCGTACCATCCGACATCCTCATGCGGAGGCACAAATCTCTGTTCCTTCAAGACATGTACGAGCATTTCTGCTCCAGCCGCGGCAAGCTGTTGTTCAAGCATCTGAGCCGTCTCAGGACGAGGTTCGGAAGGAAGGCAAATCTCGTACCCAGGCATGGGGGTTTGGGCAAGGATAGTACCCTGGTCAAAATGCCTTGGATGCAGTGTTTGCACAGAGACACCGGTGTACTGCCGCCTCTTCAGTATGGCATGTGAGACGGGTGCTGGGCCACGCAGATCGGGGAGCAGCGAGGGATGCACGTTGAGACCGCCGTATTGCGCATAGTTGAGGATTCGCGGTGGGACGAGGAGGCCGAAGGATACGGCGATGACGACATCTATGGGGGTGGGTGGAGTCCAGCCGGTGAAGGTATCGATCACATGGGTGGGCAGGTTGAGCTCTTCGGTGGCTACCTGCTTGATGGGTACTGTAACGTGTCAATTGATGTTGTGTTGTAGCTGAAAGACGTTCCTACCTTCTCTCAACGTCTTCAGACCCCGTCCGGTAGGCTTTGCTGGGCGATGGATGACATCAATGCTCTCAATGAGGCCCGGGACATGCCGCTTCGCGTCTACTACGGCGCGCAGTGACGCGATGCTGAAGACGTCAGAGCCACAGAAGAGAATCCGCAATGGCTCCGACGTCCGAGCGGGAGCAGACGTAGAGCTGCATCGGCAGGGCGAAGTGGCGATCAAAGAGCGGACGGGGCTGCGCAGCCTCCAGATCATGGTTCAGAGGTGAGGAAGCTCGGCGACAAAAGCCGCGCCGCAGGGTCTGGACGTTGCGATCGCGATCCCGTGGGGCATCTTCACCACGACAATCGGACGGATCCTTGCTGCCCGGGCGCCGCATCGCGATGGACTGCCGTATCTGACTATGAAATACAAATAGGCCACGACGACCGCTTGTTGTTGGGGTTGCGCGTTGGCACGTTCGCTGGCTGCCGTCTCCTCCGCGTCTCCTCCGCACGCGTGACGTAGTCATCCATTACCCAAAGCCACCCGAAGCGCCTCGCGACAGGCACTTCGAAGAATGCACGCATGTCTTCCACGGCGGTTCCCAAGGTCGTCCCGGCGCAGCTCTCCTTCTTAGCTATATACAATCCCTCGCTCGGAACGTCAGATGAGACTTTCCACCAGCAGATTGTCTTCTACTACTCCAAGGCCGCCAAGACGCGATCTAAGTTGAAGGATGGCGATACAGAGCGGGAAGAAGAACTGCGCGAGCAGGAGAATGAGAAGCTCCGCCAGGTCGGGCTAGCCCAGGGCATGGTAGGCTTTGCGAAGTAGGACGCATGCAGGCGAACACTTTGGTGTATTTGGCTAATCGCGTGCAGGAGTTTCTCCAATGGCGAAGCAGTTGACTCTGTGGAAACACAAAAGTCGCGTATTGTTTTGCGTGAACTCGAGGATGGGTGGTGGATATTGGCAGTATGTATGCCCACATGCTCAGCCATCCTACAATTAACACCACCATAGTCCATTGATCTCACCCAACTGCCCCCTACCGGCGGCCTCACACGAACCGACTCAAGCACCGATACCACCGAGCCCATAATCGAGTACTCGTCACGCGAAGTCAGCCCACCTGCGCTTCTGATCCAACAGCTCGTACGCGCCCAATCCGTCTTCCTGCTACACCATGGCTCGACACTCGAGAACATGTTCTCGAAGCACGGCCGTGCCAAGTTTTGCAGTATACTCGAGAAGTACTGGTCACGATTCGCGAGCAACTGGGACGTGCTACTACATGGAAGCCCTGCGGTAGACATATACGGTGGCATGAAGCTGGCAGCAGGTGGCGAGCTGGGCATGGGCGTTGGTGAGGAGGAATGGGGAAGCAGCGAGCGAGACGTGCTAGAAGACTTTGCACGCAGAACTTCAGGCCTCGTTGATGTCATGGTGTCCCGCTTTGGCGAAGCATCACCGTTGCAACAAGCCAAGACATCCACAGACCCAAAGACACTCGAAGTATCGGAGCTGGAGCCCTGGATTGGTGTGGGAAAGAACGTTCATGCCGCAGATGGCGTTGTCTTCTCGGGTCTCGGCGCTGTGAGCCGGAAGTCACTGCGAGACTTGTCTCACTGGGTAGAGACTATCTACGCTCACGGCGAGTATGCTTACGGTGTACGAGACAACCCAACATCTGATCGCAGGAAACGGCGGAGGAGAAATCTGAAGCCAGAGCCTGAACCAGAAGAGCCATCGCCTCCGATACAAGAAGAAAGGCCGCGTTTTCCTCCGTCGAGCAATGGCTCCCTGCCACCGGGTATCCCTCCACCCATTGTCAAAGCAGCTGAGAATTCTCTTGACAAGGCATCCGCCGCCGTTCAAAACAACAAATCCCAAGCCGACTCTACTGCACCTGAGTCTAAGCCAATGCTAGCGTCTCTGGGTGACACCGAGACCTGGATGAAGTACATGACACTTGGCTATGGGACAGCGTGGGGTGGAAAGAAGAGCGCCGAAACCTCGGAATCTGCTGCTCCAACGCCAGCGCCAGCAGCGCCAGCAGCGTCAGCACCACCGGCTCGCGAACGGACACCCTCACCAGCAGCGATGCGCTACATAGATCCGACCCCGGATGTGGACCCAGCAGAGGAGAAAATGAAGCAGCAGATACGCCTAGAGAACGACGGGTACTTCCTTGTTGGGCTCAAAGGCGATCTGCAGGATCTAGACGTCGACGACGAGAATGGGGAGGGCGACTGGAACATCCGTATACCGCTGCGGACTATCCATGTGGAGGTCGACAGGCGAGAAGCTTCACTGAAAACAGAAGAAGGCGACTCAGACTCGACTCCGCAGTACGAGAGAGACATGAAGGTCGAGCCGATAACAGAGAACAAACTGTCACGTTTACGACCTGTTGTCTACGTGGTAAGTTCCCACATCATCAACAGACTCATTACCCCTACTAATGCCCACCACAGCACCGTCCCTTCGTCTACACCTTCCTCTTCGAACACCGCACCCACTCCCTCGGCGTCGCATCTTTCTACCGCGACATCCACAACTTCTTCTCGCCCCTCCACCGCTCCCTCGACAAAAGCACCTCCCCCGCCCTCGTCGCCGCGCGTCTCAACGCCGTCTCAAGCCACTACACAACCGAAGCTTCATCTGGCGGCTCAGGTCACGCCTCCGGCCCCAACACACAAACCATCTACGACCTCGTCTACGACCCCCGGACCTACACCGTGCATTCCAGCCTACCAAACATCCCCGACCCGGGTACCCTGCTCGCCGAAGGCCTCGGCAGCAACAGTACTAGTTCGCTCGGCTGGAGCAGAATCGAAGCACTGAATGTACACTCTCAGATTCTCGCTACCGTAGCGAGTACGCGCCGCAACCTTTCTGAAATCGAACGTACGTGCAAAACCTCTCGCGGATGGTGGGTCGTCTGGATGCGTTTGCCCCCTTCTCAAGTTAGCAACGAAGATACCGCGTATAATAATGCTTCCAACGAGGGCTCCGGTTCGGGTTCCGGCTCCGGCCGGTTTGATTCTAATGAGCTGCGCGAAGCGTTTCTTGTGAGGAGAGCAAGGGATACTACAGCGCACAGTGCGAAGTCTTCGAGTAGCTTTGCGAGTGGCATGTGGAGTGGGCTTGGTATGGGAGGCGGGAGTACGTCGAGGAATGAGAGGATGGGTGGGAGTGCGGCGGGGTGGGGGCCCAAGGGGTTGGCCGAGGGGATTGGGATTGATGCGAGGAGGTATGTGGACGAGTTGTTGAGTTTGAATAGGTAGAGAGGGAGTATCGAAGTAAGAGATTACATGACCGTGCTGGTATTGGGTC